AAAGGCCTTGGCCCACCCACCTCCACCTTCGGCCCTGGCAGTGCAGCCCCCGGCCCGGGGGACTGAGAGTCCCACATGCCAGCAACCCACTAGAGCACCACTGGGTATCTAACACACTCTCGTGGCTAGTGCATATTGAGCACATGGTACCGTGTCCCAGGCACCATCCAAGGCTTCAATACACGATCCCACTTAATAATCGTGACAACCTGATTATTACCTCCCTTTACAAATGAGGAAACTGAGGCTGAGAGAGATAAAAACTCACCCAAGATCACTCCACTAGTCATGGGGCACCAGGACTTAAACCCAGGGAGTCTGACTCAGAGACCGCGTGACCAACAACCACGTCACTCCGCCTTTCATCCCCAGATCTGAAGGACCCCCTTGCACACTGAAGTCCACTAGTGGCCCTGCCAGGGAAGGCGGAGGCTGTGGGTGTGCTGACAAGCCTGAGAAAGCTGGCAATGAGTCCAGATGGACAGAAATCTGAGAGGAGAATCATTGCTCACGGATGTTCACAAAGGGCTTGCACCCACTGTATCAGCTACTGCTGGCATAATTAATAGTGCTGGTAACAACCAACCACAAACCCTCAGGGGCATCCAATGACAAGCACTTGTTGCTCACACATCTGGGGTCAGCTGGGAGTCAGCTAGGTAGCCCTGATTTTGGCTGGAATCACTCATATGTCTAGGGGTCAGCTGGAGGTTGGCTGATCAAGTCTGGTTCTGGCTGGGTCAGCTCAGCTCCACATGACTCTCTCCTCCTCACAGGAGGCCACTGCAAAATGAAGGCCAAAAGGCATGGATACAGAGCGGGAGGAGGGGGAGGGGCTTAAGGGCCAGATTGACAATCTACCACACCCGCTTTATCTCAGACACAAATTAATAGCATAAACTATGGCAGGGCAGAATGGAGGGCGTTCACTGGGCTGGAGCTCTGAACTCCGCCACTGACAGGCAGCGACAGTGTGAGTCACTTTACCTCTCAGAGCCTCAGTTTCCTCATCTGTAAAATGGGCACATGCCCTCCCACCTAACTGGGAGCCAGTGAACTAACAGAGGCTTGTGATAGGAGGAGTCATTGCTCCTCCTGACCTCACTCCCTAGACTCCCACTAGCAAACCTTCCGTCTGCCTTTCATTCCTTAGGCGAGGGAGCTTCATTCCCAGCAGGCCTTGGGGCCAGTTCCCCAAAGCTCACCCTGATCAGGCAGGCGGGTGTCTGCAAAGGTTCACACGGTGGTGGGCCGGGGGCACAGAGAGGCAGAGACTAAACACAGAGCATCCTTCCAAAGCATCAATTTTCTCTGAAGATTGTGTGGGAAGAAAAAAAAATGTACATTAAAATGAACCCAGCTATGCTACGAAGTAAGCTGCAAAACTCAGCTCAAGCTCTCCAGATGAAGAATGAGCCTGCAGAGACATGTTGCTGTCGTGTGCCTGCTGCGCGCTAGACCCCAGATCATCACTCTGCCGCAAACTACGCAAAGCAAATCCGTCTTGTAAATAAAGTTTTATTGGCTATGGCCATATGGCTGCTTTTGCACTGCAACAGCAGAGTTGACTAATTGCAGCAGAGACCGTATGGCCCACAAGCCTAAAATATTTACTATCTGGTCCTTTACAGAAAAAGTTTGCCAACGCCTGATCTACTAGGATTCCTTGATGGAAAAGTCTGGAGAATTCTGTGCTATTCTGAAATCTGAGGCCCGCAGGTCTATGGATTTAAGAGTGAACATTTCATTACACATTTACGATCCTTAGTGTTTTAAGTGAATAAACTGTTGTTTAATTCTAACAGCAACCCTAAGAAATAGATGGAATTGTTGTTTCTATTTGATAGGTGAAGAAAATAAGGAAAAGAGAAATGAAACTTGCCCTAGCCTGGTTTTCCCCGTATTTTAACTGCAGAAGACCCACCTGCCTATCTTGTTAAACTGCAGACGCTGAATCAGCAGGTCTGGGTGGGAAAGTCTGCATTTCTAACCAGCCCCACGTTATGCTGATGCAGCTGGTCCACACCGCTCTGAGTAGCAAGGATCCAAACCACAGACTCACTACTAAGAAGCACTGAGGTGTAAACCAAGCCCCTGACCACTAACTCTATGGCTTCGCAGAGGAATTGTTTTGAATGAGTCATAAACCCGGTGATAAGTTCGTATCTGCATCTCCCTGGCCCCACAGAGACCTCCATGACCCAGCCCAGTTTAGAACTTCACGGATTGCCTTGTTGTCCAACAACAGATAAATGGGTAACCAGGCCCCACAGGAGGAAGGGGGCCGTGGCGCCTTCTTGCTCCCCGCCTCTCCGGCCTCTCCTCCCTCTCCAGAAACCTGGATTTTTGTTGCTTTGCCGCCTCTCCCCGACTTCTACACGTGGTCTGAGCAGAGCCTCCAGCCCTGATCTAGGGGCGGGACTTGTGCTCCAGGCCTGGCCAACCAACACATTGCATCCCTTCCCCCACCACCACAATTGGCTCAGGGATGGGCACGTGACCTGTGGCAGGTCCAATCAGAGAGCGTTGCAGGACTTCCGCAGGAGCTACCGGAAGGCTGTCACTCCCACCCTGCGGGGTTGGAGGATGAGGACCACGAGGCTGCAACAACAAAGTGAAGGGAAGGAGGAAGAAGTGTTGGTTTGTTCACCAGGGTATATTTGGCAATGTGCGGAGACATTTCCGGTTGTCATGACTTGGTGAAGGGGGGAGAGAATACTGGCATCCAGTGGGTGGGGGCCCGGATTGCCGCTAAACATGCTGCAAAGCACGGGGCAGCCCTCCATTGCCCAAAGTGTCAGTAGTGCTCCAGTCAAGAAACCCTGGGCCAGAGATCCTGTAGCCATCTTGTTCCCGTGGAAGGGAGAGCTTACAGCTGCTGCAGGCCACTCCATGGAGCCTCAGAGTAGACCCTCACAGTGGAAGGCAGAGCCAGAGGTGGAGGGAAGCCACGTTCTGGGGGCATCATGGGAGCCCTGGATCCAACTGTGCCTGAAGTTAGTCTGCTCCTGAACTTTTCCATTTTGTGGCCAATCAGTGACCCTTTGGGTTAGGCCTGTTTGATGTTTTCTATCAGTTTCAAATCCTCATAGGAACGTGGTGAAACAGACTGGGCATGTGTCTCTCTGTCTGTTTTATAGATGGGCAACCCCGGGCCAGAGAAACTGACTTGCCCAAGGTCACCCAGCAAGCTCATGGCATGCACCAAACTGATATTTGTTCAGTGACCTCCTACAGGACAAACCTTATTTTTAAATTAAAGCAAACACAGCTACATGGAGCAGAATGCCAGATTCACATAGACTTTGAAGATAAAATAGGAGACTTCAGAAATAATTTGTTGTAGAGACTGCTACAGAAGGTAAACAGGGGTCCAAACTGTTACGAGGATTTAGGGGTAGAGTTGGGACTAGAACCCAGGTGTTCTGATGTCCAGTCCAACTGGATTCCACCCCCCAACCTCCCTCGCCTTTGCAGGATCCTTGGGAGATTACGAGATGCTTTCACCCCCGTTTTCTCACCCCTGGGACAATCCGGGCCTGGATTGTTACCTAGGAAACTCAGGCCCAGAAGATAATTGACCTGTTCAAGCTATAATGCTCAAACCCAACGGAGTGAGGACATGAACCCAGGTCTTAAAGTTGCCACTTTCTCCTCTACTCCTCTGGCTGGGCAAAGGGCAGAGTCTGTGGTCACAGAGCAGGGCTGTCTTACCAGAGCCCAGCCTGTCTGGCACTGCGCTCTGACCACAAGCAAGGAGAATGAAGGTCCGAGGAAGAAGGGAAAAGTTCATCAGGAAACCCTGCTCATTTTCTCCACCCCTCCCCCGCCAAAAACTAGGGGCATGTTGCAGGACTAGGAGGAGATTCAGGATGCCATCTCCAGCAGCATCAAGTAAAGGGCCTTTGAAATCAGACCCATTTATGTTGGAATCCCCATTCTGTCACTTAGAAGCTGTGTGATCTTGGGCAAGTCACTTTACCTCTCTGAACCTCAGCTTCCTCATTTGAAATACGGGACCTATTGAAGGGTTTTGTAAGGTTTAGATTAGATAAGTCATGTGAATGCACCTGACATATATGTGGTGTTTGGTGAGCATCAACCTTCCTTTCTAAGAAGCTCCTGCTTTGAACCATTTGGAAGATGAAGTTATTGCAGGAGTGCAAACTGCTGTTGTCTTGGGAGCAGACAATAAAATACATCTTGATCCATCCTGCCAAAGTCCTCCTCTGCCAGCACTCTCTCCTTCTCCCCATCACTCGGGCTGCCAAACCCCAGCTGTGGGGGTCTGTCCTGTGCTTCTCCCATGTAAGCATGTTCCCTGTGTTTCTCAGGTCCTCACCACAGTGCTGCAAAGCAGACTGGGCACAGTCTGTTCTCTCCCTGATTCACAGATGGGCAAGCCCTGGGCCGAAAGACTTACATGACTCATCCAAGGTCACACAGCAAGCTATGGCCCGGCCTGGACAGAATTCCTCAACCTCAGCACCATTGGCATTGGGGGCTGGATCATTCCTTGTGATGGGCTGTCCTGTGCATTGTAGGATATTTAGCAGGATCTCTGGTCTCTACCTACTAGATGCCAGTAGTACCCCATCCCCAACCATGACAACCAAAACTGTCTCCAGACGTTGCCGAATGTCCCCTGGTGGGCAATATCAGCCCGATTGAGAAACACTGGCCTAGAATGCTGTATATTTAGCACGCCAATCTAATCTCTTTTTTGAAAACACAACTCCAAGGACCAACAACCAATATTTTTCTTCCTCCCCAAACATATAATATAATCTCTTGAAGGCAGATAGAACCCATATTTCAATTCCCACCTTTGGCATCTTTCTCAAAGTATTTCCAGGGTGACAGATGGGAGAAAATGGAAAACAGTATTTCAACACAGACCCTTTTTTCCACTGGGGTTTGAGAAAATACCCATCTTGCGTACACCTAGTATATCTCTGGCCGATAAGCCCGTTCATAAAACCAGGGCCTTAGCTAGGGCCATGCTTACAGGACTCCTACGGACACACCATGATCAGGGCACTTCTGCTGTCTGCATTGGTGGCTGGAGGTAAGCCTTGTCACCCAGAGGCACTTTCCCAGTCCCCTGGTGGGTCCGAGGACGGGACCTCCCTGCCCCCACTGGACTCAGTCCTGTGGTTATAAGAAAGCTGGAGTGAAGTTCCAAAGAAGTGGAGCAAAGGGCAAGGCTCTGTGACCTCTTAGGATCCTTCCAGAACAAGGATCAGAACAAGAACAGAACAAGGGGTTTGGGAATGCAGCAAGTGTCGGTTACATTGTTGAGGTCACTGCTCCCCAGGCTCACAACTCTTTCTTTTGACAGCTCTCAGCTGTGGGGTCCCCACTTACCTGCCCCAGCTGCCCAGGGTGGTTGGAGGTGAAAATGTGAGGCCCAACAGCTGGCCCTGGCAGGTGAGTCACCCACGCTACCCTTGTTCCCTCCCTGCCCCTACTCACCTCACATCATGTTTTTACCCTCTGCCGTGGAGACTGTTGTGCTGGCAAAGAGTAGAATTGGTGGGGAGTCAAGGGCAGGATGGGAAAACTCAGCAATGAGACACACTTCTGTGACCTTGGTCAACCTTGGGGGTGGAAGGAGAGGTGCCTCCACCAGCTTCAGTAAGGAGCCGCCCCATTCCACCATCCGTATAGTAGATTCACAAATATAGTCTCACTCTGTTAACCAATCACATGCTTGCTTACAAATGTACTGTTATCCCATGAACCATTCATCACTACCTATGCAAATTTTCCTTGCTTTAAGGAACCAATCAGTGGTTTTTATGCAAATTAATCTTTAACTACAGGCAAATTCATACTGCCAATGAACGTAAATGTTTCCTTACTTTAAGTTATCATAGTGATTTTGAGACTGAAACGCTGGGTGGGGCACCAGCACAAATTACTAGGTATTGAATTCTATTAGCAGTAGGACTCCCAAAGGAAATGTGTGAGGCTTACATTGACATAAATAAATGTGGTAAAAATCTCTTATCTGACATGGTTGCGACAGAGTGATTGAAAAGTTGGTTATAGAGAAATTATTAGAAACCATGCATATATTCTTTAAATATTTTATTTTAAAAATTGTAAATATACCTCATTCACCAATCTTTTGACTTCTTTACTGTCTTGTATAAACCACCCCCCATAATATATCATCTATAATTCCATTTCTTTAAAGTAGAGCAATGACTTTGAGACACTCACGAAGCAGTCTGAATGAGCCCTTCCAGATTTTTATGACAGTTTTTCCAATCTTTCCGTTTCCTCACAGACACCTAATTCAATAGCAAGGTTTTTTTTTTTTTTTTTTTTTTTGGTGAGGAAGATTAGTCCTAAGCTAACATCTGCTGCCAATCCTCCTCTATTTGCTGAGGAAGGAAGAATATTGGCCCTGAGCTAACATCCATGCCCATCTTCCTCTATTCTATACGTGGGACGCCTGCCACAGCATGGCTTGATAAGCAGTGTGTAGGTCCACACCCAGGATCCGAACCAGCAAACCCCAGGCCACAGAAGCAGAATGTGCAAACTTAACCACTATGCCACCGGGCTGGCCCCTAGGAATTTTTTAATATCCCCAGGCCTTATTTATTTTACAACTGGAAGTTTGTATTTAGCAATTTTTTTTTAAAGTCACAGTTATCTAGTCTCTTCCAAGCACATAACTGAGTTTCCATATAAATCACAGCTCTCTTTTTGAACTCATATTTCATTGGTTACGTTTAATCAAATTACATAATTACAATACGTGCACAACTGGCATAAACAGGTTTGGGAGCCAAAGAACTGAACCGGGGTAAATTGATAACATGAGAGCTGGCTGTGAGTGTCAGGGCGCCCCACACAGCAGTTGACATTTCACCGAGGGCATGGCACGCATCTGTTCAAGTTCCCCTCAGTGAAGAGAGCTTCAGTCATAGACTGATTTTTCACAATTTATGTGCTCGGTTCTGTGTAGTTTTGCCGGTTCTTTTACTTTTCTCACACTCCCACAATCTTGTTTCTCTGGGAAGTTGGAACAGGGGCCATATACCCTGCATAGCAGAGGTCATCCTTGTCTGAGAACCAATCAGAGCTGCCTACAAGAACATTTCCTCACCCCCTGGACGGGTTCGCACTGCTTGTACAAAGGTAGCCTTGCCTTTGGAACCAGTTCACGCTGGTCTTGGAAGAGTGTCTTGGCACTTCCTGCGTCTGCTTCCCTGGCGACATTTTTTCCCTGGGGTGCGTTGGCAGGTCAAGCAGGGTAGAGGCTAGGGTAAAGTAAGTGAAGCACTCACCTTAGGGGCAAAATTTAACAGGGGTGCCCCAAAACTCAGTAAGCAAAAGAGATAATACTTTAAGGCAAATATTTTTTAAAAATCAAACTAAATGCAAAAATTTAAAAATCCAAGATGAACAAAATATCAAAATTTTAAGCAAAGCCGGGATTAACATAACTTGGCTCTGCACTGCCAAGAAGACACTCTGAGAGGTGTCTTCTGTCCCACACTCACCCCAAGATTGTGGTTCTAGGTCGCAATCCACCAGACACTCGACAGGAAAGTGCTAGGTGCTAGACAGATGTGTAACGTTTCCAGACACAGCTTCTGGAGCCGGATGAACGGGGCTCAAATGCCTGCTCCACCGTGCACCAGCTGCATGACCTGGAGCAACTCAGTTTACCTTTCTCAATGAGTAATATTAAGAATATCTAACCGCCTTTTTGGCATGGGCCACATTGTACAAATGTCTCTTGGCTGCCTTAGTTTACTCATCTGTGAAATGGGAATGATAATAGTGCCTCATGGGATGGCTGTGATTATGATTTGAGCTGATTCACATTCTGAGCTCAGAACAGTGTCTGGTACATGGTAAGTGCTCAAATTATTAGACATTTAATGATTATTAATCATCCCTAGAGCCCTGGATGGTAGGCACCATGATCCCCATTTTCCAGATAAGGTAACTGGGGCTCAGAAAGGTTACATAATTGCCCAAGGTCACCCAGTTAGCCTGGGGGAAAAGGGGATTCAAATTTGGTTCAATCCTTGCTCTTCTGGCCACACTTTGCTGCCCACAAATAATAGGTTGACATATTATTTCACAATTTCACATCTGGAGGATGGTTTCAGCCTATTTTGAGATTTTGGAGTGGGGGCATCCTTTTCGGTGTCTTTTTTCTTTTTGTCTAATTTTAAGCATTTTCTTAAAAGCCAATTTGTCTAAGCCCCCTTAATGTCGAGCAAATGAGAAAATGCCAAGTGGCTAATGAGAAATGAGATGTCTGGAGAAAAGCAGGAGTGCTGCTTTTCCATGGTCACAGGAATCGCGGTCGAGCAGTCAGTGCTCTGCTGTCACCTCCCTTCTCTCTGCTTGGCTGTTGGCAGGGACTTGAAAAGAAGGGGAAGGAGCTGGGACAGCTTCAGAGGCTCAGTGCCAAATGCAACCACCTTAAATTTCCACCCTACACCTATTGAGTTATCCGATCTAAACAGAAACAGCCTTTTGTTTTAAAAAAGAATGTTGAGGATCTCTAGGGGCAAGGTACACTTGCACATTCTCATATTCTCATATGAGTGGCTTTAGTCTTCAAGGGAAATCTAGAGCAAGAGGCGACACGCTCTGCAGGAGAGACCAGACCCCTGCCCTAGTGATTTCATTCGTTCACTTATTCATTCATTCGTTTGCTTATTCAATCAGTAAGTATTTATTAAGGACCCACTATGTGCCAGGCCCTGTTCCAGGCACCTGGAATACAGCAGTGGGAAAAAAAAATCAAAGAGGTTATATTAAAGTGAAGGAGTGAGGCAATAAACAATTGAATGAATAAATTCATAACATGTCAGGTGATGAAAGATACTATGATGAAGAGTAAAGCAGGACAAGAGGAAAGAGAGACATATGTGTCCATGTGCATGTTCGTGAGTGTGGATGTGTGTGGACGTGAGTGTGCACATGTGCATGTACATGCTCTGTTTTAGATAGGGTGGTCATAGAAGGCCTCTCCAGGAGGATCACCTTGAGCAGAGACCTGTAGGAAGCGAAGGAGAAAGCTACGCTAATGCCTGGGAGAAGAATGTTTGACGCAGAAAGAACAGCAAGTGCAAAGGCCCTGAGGCGGAAGTGGGCTTGGTGTTTTTGCAGAACTGTATGGAGGTCCATGTGGCTGGAGCAGAGGGGAGTGGGAACCAATGAGGTCAAGGAGGTCACGTAGAGCTTTGTAGAGCATCATATGTTTTGGGTTTTACACTGTGTGAGGAGGGAGCCACTGGAGGATCTGAGCAGAGAAGAGACAGAATCAGTCTTACATTTTAAAAGGATCATTCTGGCTGCTGTGTTGAGAAAATCTAGGGTGAGGGACGGGCCAGCATGAGAGCAAGGAGAACAAACAGGAAGCTAAAATAACAATCCAGGTGAAAGATGAAGATGGTTGGGATTAGCAGTTGAGGTTAGAAAGAGAAGTAGCATTCTCTCCACGTATTCTGAAAGTAGAGTTGGCAGGATTTGCTGGTGGGTTCGAATGAGGGATATGAGAGAAAGAGAGGCATCAAAGATAACACCAAGGGTTTGGCCTGAGCAGCTGGTAAAGTGGGGTTGCCGTTTACTGAGACGAGGAAGCCTGAGGAAAGAGCAGGTTTCGGGGGGGAAGTCAAGATAGGGCTTTAGACATATTAAATTGGAGGGATATGTCCTAAGGAAACAGCTCCCAAGAAGGGGAAAATCCCAACAAATCACGTTGCAGAAAGATGTTCAAAATAGTTTTTTTTAATAGTGTCTTTATTTAAATTTTTGATATTTTGTTCGTCATGGATTTTTTTGTGTTAATCTTTTTTTTAACGTTGCATTAAATGTTATTGATCCTGATTACCGAGTTTCTTGGTGTCCCCTTAAAGTTTGCACCTGAGGCGAATGCCTCTTTGCTTTCCACTAGCCCTGCTCTCGGGGATGCTGAAGAGCAGAGTGGCCCTGGCTCCTTCAGCTACCAGAGCCTGTGCTTCTCCCCAGGTCTCCCTGCAGTACAGCAGCAGTGGCCAGTGGCGCCACACCTGCGGAGGATCCCTGGTGGCCAACAACTGGGTCCTGACAGCTGCCCACTGCATCAGGTAACTGCTGTCACCCACCACGCTCACCCCATTGGCCAGCGCTCATCTCCGAGAGGTGAAGCCCAAATGGCCTCAACCACCCAATATAAAGACGCTTTGCAAAGAAACACTTGCCTGGCAGAGAGGCAAGCTTCGGCGGATCTATATAGTTCAGTCTGTTGGTCCATTGACGGGTCATTACATGACATGGATTGAGTGCCCTGTGCAGGACACCGAGGGGGAATATGGAAGAGGGGGAGGCCCATTTCCTGCCCTTTTAGGGGTACTAGATGTGGCCTCCAGATTTGGAATTGGGCTCCCTTGAGCAACTTACATGACTTCTCCAAGCTTCAATATCATCACCTGCAAAAAAAAGCAGGTGACAGAGTTTAGCGTGGACTAAATGAGATGATGTGTTAAGGGCCTGGCACTTAGTAAGTGCTCAGTAAAGGTGAACTGTTACCAGCATAAGGACCCACAAGGGAAAGGAAATGTTTTCAACATTCAACATTCACCTGGCCTCTTCCCTCCCTAAGACTCTGCTTATCTCACACCAGCTGGAGCTCCCTGGAGTTTCTCCTGATGGGTGTGACTCTGCCAGGAATGGTCCCTCTCCCCACCTAATTTACAAGCTCCATGAGGTCGTGGGGAGGATAACAGAGGCTTGAGAGCCAGGAGTCCTGGCTTCTAGTTCTGGATTCTCACTAAGTAGCTGTAAGACTCCGTACCAGTTACTTCTCTCTGAGCCTCAGTTTCCCCATCTAAAAATGAGAGGCGGGGGATTAAACTAGAAAATGCCCTTGAGAGCAAATGTCTGCTGTTCTGTATGTGTCCATCTCATTTCCCTCAAAACAACAGAGAGTTTATAGTATTATGACTTTTACGTTAGATTATATAGTTTATAGTTAGTATAGTGTAGTTATCATTATTACATAGGTATAGTTACTATGTTGTATTATAACCAACCAATTGCCCCTGGGGAAGAAGAATTCCACGCTCCACCTGGTGGCTCACGGAGCAGTCACGTACTTGGGCCCATCGCAGCGTTGTCCAAAGCCAGGCTTCTGGAGACAGTGCCCTGGGGTGTCCCTGCCCATGGGGGAGGGGGAGGGCAGAGAAAGGAAAGGACAGCCCGGTGCTGACCCTTGCTCGGCCCCCTGTCTCCCAGCTCCTCCAGGACATACCGCGTGGTGCTGGGCCGGCACAGCCTCTCCACCAGTGAGTCCGGCTCCCTGGCTGTCGCAGTCTCCAAGCTCGTGGTGCATGAGCAATGGAACTCCAACCAACTCTCCAAAGGGTACCTTCTGTCTGGGTGCACTGGGGGGTGGGGTTGGCAGAAGCACAGACAGGGGAGGGGTGGTCTTCGCAGGAGGCAGTGAGAGCAACCCCACCCCCTCCTTTCTCCTTCTGTAAGGAGGAGGGAAGAGCTCTGACCTCTTAGTAGTGGAGCCAGCCCCAAAGATGCCTGGGGTGGGGTGTGCACTGGGGGAGGGAGCGGCAAAGACTGTCAGAGGGACGTAGGTCTCCTGCCAGTTAAGCCTGCAGGTCCCCTGTCCACCCCAGGCACTCACTGACCATGTATTTATTCCTTGCCAAGCCCTGGGGACACAGGGATGGGTCTGCAGGCCCCAGGACTGTTAGTGGAGTAGGACAGTCCCTCCCGCCTTCCCCCACCCCACATCCCCCAACAAGGACTTTGACATTCTCAAAGATTCCCTGATGCCCTGCAGGGATGGCCTGGGAGAAACGTGCACAGGAAGATGACAAGGACAAGGGTCTCAGCTCTCCAAGGCCTCCCAGTACCATTCTTCCCTGCCCTGCAGGGACACGGCAACTCCCCTGCCCACTTCCTCTTAGATGAGCACGGACCACCCTGTGTTCACCCTGAGCCTTTACTGACCACCCCCCTGTGCCATATGCCATGCTGGGCACTGGACTCTGGGTGCTGGACACACAGAGATGCACAGGTCACCATACCAGCTCTCAGGCAGTCGTGGACATAAGCGTGGCAGTGAGGCAATGCCGGGTAGTGGTTAGGGCTTGAGCTCTGGAGCCTGATGGCTTAGATATGAATGACTGTGTGGTCTGCACGAGTTCCTTAGCCTTTCTGTGCCTCAGTTTCCCCTTTGGTAAAATGAAGATAATGACAGTGCTACCTCTAGGGTTGGTGTGAGGATTAAATGAGATGATGCATGGAAAGCACTTAGAAAAGGGCCTGGCACATAATAGAAGCCACAGGTGTGAGCGCTTAGTAATAGCAGTAGTGCAATAATGGGGTAATAAAGAGGCGTAAGTGCTGGGATGTATGTCTGAACCCTTGAGGTGATGGGGAGTGGTCCCAGGAAGTAGGGAAAAGGAGGGAGAGGAAGAGGAAGAGAAAGTCCTGCCCATCAGAATTCTGGCAGAATCTGCCGCTCACTCCTGCCCATCCCCACGCTCAAGGTGCAGGCCCAGTCAAGGCACACAGCTCGCTGCATTAGAGATTAGCACACGTCTGATTCTCCTTCTAGCCAGAATTTTGCAAGGGCTGGGCTGTGTCTGATTCACCCCTGAATCTCTAGCCTCTGACCCAGGGAGGGGCACATAGTAGGGCCACGGAATATTTGCTGGACCACCAGGCTTGTTTCATGATCACTGATCCTGAGATCCAGGTGGCGCTAAAGAAAATCAAACCCATAGGTTCGCTCAGGCCCTCATTCCACAAATATTTGTTGAGTCCCTACTATGCGCCAGGCCCTGTTCTAGGCATCAGGGAAAGAGCTGTGAGTGAGACACACAAGGCCCCCGGCACCGTGAGGTTTAGGGTAACCTAAACCTGAGCAGCTCATTGCAGCTCGGGGAACTCCACTTTCCAATCCCACAAGCATAGGCACTCCAGTGACCAATGGGTCTGTGCCCAGCCAACTTGGTCTTCCATTAGGACAGACAGGAATGTTGGGGATCGCCAACCCTCCAGAAACCTGCAGCCCAGGATGCCTTCCAAGTGAGCTCTCTGGCAACCCCAGGAGTTAGTTTTCACAATCATACAGACTAACACTTAGTGCGTCCCTTGTGCCAGCCACTGCTAAATGCTTCCCATGAATTATCTTATTTATTCCTCACAACAGCCCTAGGAGTGAGGTACTATTATGACCTCCATTTCACAGACGAGGAAACCGTGACCTGGAGAAGTTACAGATCTAGACAGGAGCATTAAATGAGGTGTGATGTAGCAAGCAGAGCTTGATCCTAGCAGGGCTTCGGTACACTTTTATCATCATTGTCCTCTGCCCCCTGGAGAGAGAAAGTTATCCTCCCTTTTCCCTGCTTCCCATCACCTTCCCAGAACCTGCAGGTGTCTGTCATCCTCTCCTCTCCCAATCCAAAAGAGCAGGTCTCCAGTTCCAAAAGGGCCTCTAGAAAGAAGCACCCCAGCCATCACTTCAAATCTGCATAATTTATCCATGCACACAGCCTCTTCAGCCCAAGATGCCACTCTTGAATGGCTGCCCAGAGAGCTCACTCTGCCAAATCTTCCAGAAGACTCCTCGTCACAGTCCCCTGGAGAGGAGGAGGGCAGCATGTGGCTGTAACAGTCGGCATTCCCTCGTTCAGTCAGCCCTGTAGTCCAGCACGGATGACAGCTCACGAGGATTCAGGAGGCCCCGGAGGCATGAGTCAGTCCCTGCCCTCATAGGGCTTGTCAGCTAGATGAGAAACACACATACGACACCAGAAAGCCAAAAAGTGACACAGGATATGTCAAGGAAGGCCTTGAGAGATGGGGAGGGCATGGGTGGGCAGAGTGGAGAAAGGGCTTTTCAAGTCAGGAGAAGCGCCAGGACGAGGGACGGGTCCCAGAATGGGCAGGTGGTGCTGGGGCAGTGACCAGAGCAGTCCAGCAGGAATGGAGGACAAGTGAAGAGAAATTGTGGGAGAGATGGCTAAAAGGTGTGTTAGAACTGAGAAGGCTGTCAGCCCTAAGGACCTTTAATTAATCTGTCCTGTCAATCAGCATCACTCTTCTGGTTATCTATTGCTTTGTAACAAATCACTCAAAAACATAATGGCTTAAAACAGCAACAGTCATTTATTATAATCATCTCCCAGGTCTCACTGGGCTCAGCTGGGCAGTTCTCACTAGGGTCTCTCGTGAGATCGCAGACAGACAGTGGCTGGGGCTGCATCATCTCAAAGGCATCCTTCCTCACCTACGGGGGTGTTGATGCTGGCTGTCAGCTGGGACTGTTGTCCAGACACCTACATGTGGCCTCTCCATGTGGCCTGGGCTTCTTCATGGCACAGAGACTGAGTTCCAAGAACAGGAGTGCCAGAGGGCCAGACAGAAATTGTATCTTCTCTCATGACCTAGTCTCAGGAGTCACATGGTGTTACTTCCACCATATCAAAGGCCCCCAGCCTCTGCCCCCTGATCCAGAGGGAAGAAACCCAGACCCTGCCTCTCGATGGACGGAGTGTCAACATCACATCATAACAAGCGCCTGTGTGATGGAAGATCTCATTGCAGCCATCGTGGGAAATACAATCTGCCAATCACTAATGGTTTCCTAGACAAGAGAGTGAGACAAAGGGATGAATCTGGTGGCAGAGCTCAAGGTAGAAGGGAGAGCAAAGAGTAAAAGGCAAAAAGATCTTTTTATCTGAGCATCTCTTGCGATTTTCTGAACCAAACACTGGAAGTATATAACCAGGACAGACATCACCAAGCAATCACAGATTTTCTTCCTTACTAACCCTGGACAGAGCCTCAGAATCCTTGTCCACGCAGCCCACCAGGCAGCCATGGTTAATCCATCAGAGTGGACATTACAAGACAAAACTTATTTGCCATCCCTCTTCTAAACATTCCCCTGAAAGGCCTTAGGGGAATTTAGGGCTCCACGTTCCACCAGGGACAAAATGTAATCCTGGGGTTAAGCACAGCTGCTCCCCAATCCCTTGCAGCCCCGAGAGATGGAAGATTCACAATCAGGCTGGCTGAGGAGGGGGTTCAATGGTCCCAGTTAGGTCTAGAATCAGAAATGATATTGGAGCAGGAACAGTCAACCCTCTCTTTACGCTCTGCCTCTTTACCAACCCAGGAATGACATTGCTTTGCTCAAACTGGCCAACCGTGTCTCCCTGACCGATAAGATCCAGCTGGGCTGCCTCCCGCCGGCCGGCAGCATTCTACCCAACAACTACGTCTGCTATGTCACGGGCTGGGGAAGGCTGCAGAGTAAGTGGGCGCCGGAAGCCCCAAAGCTTGGGAGGGCAGGGAGGGGATGTCACCCCTGTCCAGTCAGGAGGCTCTTTCCCCACTGGTCACCCCAGGGGGTTTGGATGAAACGGTGGCTGCCTCGGAGAGGCAGGATAGCATAGACTGAGAAGAGGTTTAGAAGATTCTAGGAAGCCTCATGCAGATGAGTGATTGTTTTTTCACAATGATATAAACCTATAAGTGACATATTGTTCCAGAGGTACATCAACACACACACACTCATTAAATTAATACTGCCTTCTTCACGGGCTTACCTGCAAACACAAGAACACGTGGAAACTCAGCAGAAGTGACAAGAAGCTTATCAAGATACAAGCACAGCTACTTGTCATTTCAAAAAACACCCGGACGGGAAGTATTTCATCTGAGGCAGGCAGAGCCCGGGAAGGGTTCAGGTGGTCTTGGGCAAGCGGTTAACTTCTCTTGGCTTCAGTATCTTATCTGCCAAATAGGAATGAAGATTCACTGTGAGGATTAGCATATTTTGAAAAGCCTAATAAAAAGCGCAAGTGAAGAATTATACTACTGCTAATCCTTGCCATTAGCAGCAGCAGTAAGAGTAATGGAGATGATGGTGGCGGTGTCATTGGGGGCCATTAGGAAAGCTCTACCTTCCCCACATCAGAATATTTTTCCCAATCTGGGGGCTCCAAATGCCAGCAGGCTCACTGTCGTATTTAAGGTAAGTGATGGAAACCCATGAAGCTAGCTCAGCAAAAAGTGGAATTTTTATAAAGATTTAAGAGTCCCAAGCAAGGGCAGAGACACAGCCAGGCTTCAGGTAGAGGAAAAAATCAGAGTTGGAAGACTTTAAGAAACTCAGGAAACTCTCTCAGAATTTATTTTCTCAGCGGACCTATTTCATCCTTCTTCCTCTAAAAGAAAACGATAGCCACCGCCAACAGCTCCCAGATTGACGTCCTCTCTGGCTGGGATTTCATGGTCCCAATCCCGGTATCCCAGGAGAAGGAGCTCATTGGCTTAGCTTGAGTCAGGTGTTCGTCCCTGAACCAATCACCAATGGCCTGAACACTAACCAATCAGCTGTGAGGACACTGTCCAGCCAAATATGGCCGCTCCCATAGCCACACTATGGATGGGGGGGAAGTAAGAGGGACCAGACAGAAAGGGGCTGGGCAGAAAACCCAGAAGGTGTTCGCGACTTCCTTTTTTCTCAGGAGTTCTTTCGACCTTCTAACGCCTTCTGTCTGGTCTCATGCAGCCAACGGGGCTCTTCCTGACATCCTGCAGCAGGGCAAGCTGCTGGTTGTGGACTACGCCACGTGCTCCAGCTCTGGCTGGTGGGGCAGCACCGTGAAGAGCAATATGATCTGTGCTGGGGGCGATGGCGTAATCTCCAGCTGCAATGTGAGTGCAGAAAGCCAGGTGCCTGCCCGCCCCCACCCAGCCCTGCCAGGAAATGGTCCTGGGGTGGGGACCTGGGGTGGGGAGAGGCCCTCAGGGTCCTGGAGTCCATTCTCCTACGTGCTGGCAGAAGCACCAGGAAACAGCTCCAGACATTTGAGACCCTGACCTTTGTCCTGTAGTCTCCAGAAAAGATGTTTTGAGATTCTTCTTGTAGTGTCCACCCCATCACTGCTGAGAAGTCCTTCCTTGGGTCTCATCGAGGTCTCTCATTACTGTCATCTTTCTTATACTTTCCTCTGTGTAGGAAGGGAGCCAAGGGGCGTATTCTCTGGGTTAGGGCCTCTCTAAGGTGACTTGGAGTTTATCTGGAGAATTAATTCCATGAATGGCCCAAATGTGTCCCTTCATGGTAACTGCCACAGAGCCTACCTGGAGACAGTGTCTTAACCAAAAGGAATTGCTATGTGGTGGACTTTGCAGCAGAGTGGGGTCAGCGTGGAAGGAGCTTTACATGTCCTTCAAATCGCACTGTGTCCCTAGACTCTCTGCCCACAGGCTGCCCCCGCCCCCGGAACTCGCTCATCATGGGAGGACGTGGCCTGTGATGGTGAAGTGCACGGCATTCTAACTCTGGGGCACAGTGTCAGCTTCACTTACTGCCCCTACAACCTCGGGCAAGTCACAACCCCTGAGGGCTTCAGTTTTCCCTCTTCAGTGAAATGGGGACACTAAAATGCTTACTGCATAGGTTTCCATGAAGATTAAATGAGATAAGGCGTATAAAGTGCTTAGCTCAGTTCTAGGCACACAGAAAGAATAAATGTTCACTCTTGCTGGTATTATGGTGCCATCTTGAGCTGTGCCCACAAGCTGGTCTCGGAGAACACGGCACCCTGCAATGGAACGATACAACTGCCCTGCAAACATGGGGGGCTCTCACAGGCAACCCCCGCCCCTCCCATTGCCCCATCCAGGCTCCCAGGTCCCTCCTGACAGAACTCTGTCCTTCCTCAGGGGGACTCCGGTGGGCCACTGAACTGCCAGGCAGATAACGGCCAATGGCAAGTGCACGGCATCGTCAGCTTCGGGTCCTCCCTCGGCTGCAACTACTACCACAAGCCCTCTGTCTTCACCCGGGTCTCCAACTACATTGACTGGATCAATAACGTAAGAATCGGACAAGCCCTGGGCCCGCGGGCCTTACCCTGCTCACCTGGCCCCATGAGGGCAGTGCCCACCTAGCGTCTGAGAACCCACTCTCTCCTCCTGAGAGCTAGGCAGGAGCTCCCTACAGGAGGCTGCAGATCTGGGGAACCCCTGCTGAGCCCCCCACAGACCCCCACAATTTCTGTGTGGGTAAAGTGGAGTGAAAAGGCACACGGAGGGTGGCCTTGCCCGAAGAGCTTGAAAACAAAGGCTGCTCCTCAAGCATTCAGAGCAGGTTCCTTAGGATTAGTGGGGTTGTTTCTGTCTTATTGTGCCTGGTGATGGATGCCAGGAAGGAAGAGAAGGACACTCTCTGCCAGTTGGGGGCACTTTTTTACCCACCGCCTGGCATTGCCACTGCCTCTGTTTGCTCTTCTGTAAAATGGGACTTGAATTCGAACAGGACTCCTCCACGTTTTTAGGAGCCAGAGCAAGTTGTGGTGTTTGCTGCAGAGCCCCAAAAGAAGGGAAAGCTGGTATCTGGTTTCATTATTTTAAGTTTAATTTGCAGAGAAATGTTGAGTGGAATCAAACTGGCACTCTGTGATGAAATCAAATATGGAAGCACGGCTGTGGGCACGTGGGCACAGAACTACACTGTCAAATGGGTACTGTCAAAATAAGCGGGTGGCTGCCTCCAAGCGTTCCCACTAATATTGCCGGCTCCTTGTTCATTTGTCTGCCTGCTGGTATTTCTTTGCCAACAAGTGGTCATAGGCACCAGAGGTTCCAGAAAAGTTTGTTGAGAAAAATGTGAAATCAAGAACAGAGTGGCCATTAATTTGCAGGGGTTTTCTGGTCAATTGGGGGAAAGCTATGATTCCGTTCTGGCAGAGGAAAATCTGAGTCCAGCTTTTGAGGTGCCACCAGCATTTCAAAGGAGCCTGGCCCAAGACTGGATGGAAGGTTGCTCCGAGGGCCTTTCCCAGCCAAATCCCAGGATCCTTTTCCAGCCCCAGCTGCTGCATGAGTCACCGTGCAGCTGGTCCTGGCAGCACCTTGGGGGTCCAAAGCAGGGGCCAGGAGCAATTGTCCTGATCTCTTTGTCCCAGCATCAGCTGTTCCCAGCCACAGACTCAAGCACAACAGGACAGGCCACAGCTGAAAGCATGGCACGATGTCAGAGGGGATCACTGGGGAAAGCCAGCCTTTCGAGGCAGCTGGGCAGAGGCCCTGCCTTACAGACAGCAGCCAGAGCAGGCACATATGCCCAGAACGGGTTCCAGGAGTGGCAGAGCCAAGCAACCAGCTGTCCTCTGGGGGGGCCGCCCCGGCAGCTGCAGAAGGGCTAGCAAAACGTCGCAGTGGTCCCAGCCCAGGTCATGCCATATGCAGCTTGGAGTCACACACAGGCGCTTGGGAGCACCTGCCCAGACAGGTGACGAGGCAAGGTCAGGAAGCTGCCAACAAAGGCATGCGCAGGGAAGCGACAGGAGACAGTGGCCAAGGGCATTCATCCTTTCAACAAGTGCTCATTAAGTGATGGCAGCACATGAAGCTTCAGCATTCGCCAGCTTTATTTTTATTTTAGAAGGTAATACATACTCTTTGTAAAAATATTAAAGGAATAGATGAGTGTGTCAATTAAAAGTGTAGAAGTCCCCCCTCGTTTTACATCTCCACCTCCACCCCCCAGAGATAATTACTGTTAACAGCTCAGTGTGTGGTCTACTGGACTTTATTTATGTGCATATATAAAATACCTATATATGTACATATATGTATACACTGTCTCATAACCAAAAATAGGACTTTACTCTTCCTACTATTCTGCAGCTTAGTTTTTTCACTCCACACCATATCACATTTTACATGTGAGCACAGACATCGTCATCATTCTTCTTAACAGCTAAACCATATTCCATAGTTTCCACCCCCACCTGGCTGCAGTGAACATCCTTGGACACACGTTCTTACACGTTGCTCTGAGTATTTGAACTATAGATATCCAGCAGCATCCCTGGATCACGGAGTTGGCATGTTCAAATGTTTCATATTTACTGCTAAACAGCCTCTGAGCACAGGTGACAGCCCCACCCACAGTGCATAACTGGGCCTTGCAAACGGCAGTGCTTGTTAACAGTTTGGAGGCGCTCAAATCCTTTGAGAAACAAATGAAATCCAAAAGCATGCCCATTCCCACAGTCAGCACATAATTTTTAGGAGTTCACACTCCCCACAACCCTGAAACCCAAACAGGACTCCAGGCTAAGACCACTCTTTCCAGGACGACCCCAGCAGGTCAGCAAAAAGCTGGGACAACATCTTTTTCTCCCAAAGGTCATCAGGGCCCCTAGGTGAGAACCGGTGCATCGCTGGCAGCCTCTGTTCATAGGAGCAGCGTGGAGCCCGGAAGGAGAAAGCCGGGAACTGCGAAACGTAGCTCTGCTCCGCTAAGCGACCCTGATTATTTTCTCACGTGTGTCCTGCAGGTGATTGCAAATAACTAACCAGCAGAAGTCCCCGGACTGCTTGAGACTTGGAAAGGTCACAGAAGGAAAACACTAATAATAAAGTAACAACTACACGCATCACATCTTGGTGAGAGTCTTATTACCAAACCATCCTCACATCCAGCCCTAAAAGCAAGAAGCAGGCCACGGTGCGGACAGCTTAAAAGACCTCAGGGATGGGCCTTCGCTGGGGAAGCTCAACATCTCAGTGTCACACAGGACGGTCACCCTAGGTGCAGGGGTCTTTCAGCCAGGAAGGCAGGCACCTGGAGCCACAGGCTGGACTCAGAAGACCTGGGTCCAGCCACATCTCTCCACTGGCCACCTGTGTTCCCCTGGACAAGCAACTTGACCTCTCTGAGCACACAGGTCCCACCCAGTCGCCTTCCTGGGATGGGGGGGAGGATCAAATGAAATAAGAGATGGGGAAGTGTTTCGAGAACAGCAAAAGTCTCCTTTATAAGGAAGAACAAAGAGTTGGAGCAAGATGAGGTGGGAAATAGGCAAAACACAGTCCATATTCACCTAAGATTTATTTTTTTTAAGAATATTGCAATACAGGAAAAATTAGTAATTTTTAAAACTTCATTTAGGATTCACAGATTCCAGCTGTTCAGACTCTAGTTGCCCCAAACTTGCTGATCCAAGGGAGATGCTGGCTGGTTTGCAGCCAAAAGTTCCTACAGATCAGCGGTTCTCAAGTGGCCCACCAAGGGACATTCGGCAATGTGTGAGGACATTTTTGGCTGTCACTACTCAAGGGTGTTGCTACGGGCCTCTAGTGGATAGAGGCCAGTAGTCAAACATCCTACAATCCACAGGAAGGCCCCACAACAAAGAATGACCTGGCCCCAAAGATCACTATGCCGAGGCTTAGAAGCCCTGCCCCAGAGAAAACAGGGGTCACAGACCACGGTTATTAGCCAAGAACCAGGCGCTGGTGGAGAGCGGCATGATGACCCTGGCGTGCTTCTGCTTCCTCTTCCTCCAGCGCCGGTCATGTGTCTCCAATTGGGAAGCTCGTAAGAGCCTGTCTGCCGCCGGTGGGGAAACAAGACTCTCTACAGGCCGCCAAACGTGGCAGCTGTGGTTGGAGAAAGGCCCAGGCCTCAGCCGCCGCCGGGCCTGGAGCAGGAAAGTTTGGGGGTAAAGAGAAGGCAGGGTGAGGGGCTCTGGCCTCAGTAAGTTTTAAAGAAAAATTTTTTCCGGAGGAAATTAAAACAACCAGGAATCTGTTTGTAAACTCCTTTCTCCGAAACAGCGTGAGCTACCTGTGAAAACACGACCACAGGGAGGGAGGTCTGTGAGTTCTCGCGATGGAAGAAAGAATTCCCAGCGTGGAGCTGGGGGAACGTCCACAGAATCAGCACTTCAGAAACAGCTCTAACTGCAGCACCCTGGAGCGGGAGGTTTAGAGAACAATCATCTCAACTATAAGTTTAGAAAATTCAAAATTTTAAAATGCGAAAGTCAACGGTTCCAATCAGATGGGAAGGTTTGCTTGAAGAAAAGCTGCGAGCAGAGACGGGGCCCAGGAGCCAAGGGCACTGCTCAGCTCTGAGGACCCCCACCCCACGGGGCCCGGCTCCTCTGAGGGTCATTTGTGGGGGAACGGCACGTGGTGCCCCCTGGAGTCGTGCTGGGTGGCAGGCCTGCTCTCCTCCGCTCAGCTCAGCAAGCACAGAGCCAGAGCCTCCTGAGGGGAAAGGAGCGGTCCAGCCCTCAGCCCCTTCTCAGGCACAAGATGCCTGAGCCGAGCAGGAAGGGCCCACGTGTGCTCCGGGACCCTGGGAGGAAGCAGCTGCTCTGGGCAGGATGTCACTCAGCGAGGCTGGGCCCAATGAGACCCTCCTTCCCTGTCCTCTCACGGGGCCACCCGAGAAGGGGGTATGCTAAGGAGGGATTCATGACTCCTGAAGGTCAAGAGCAGATGACTATGCAGCGGGGCAAAGGGGCAGGGACAGCCCCCACAACCTGCCCTCAGGAGGTGCCACGCTCTGGCCACTGAGCCGTCCCACGTGGAGCTGAGGACTAGCTCCGTCATTGGGGGGAGCAGGTGGTGTCAGCCTGGGGACCACAGGGGAGCTGGGGAAGGTGCCCTTTCAATAAGGGGCATATGTCATTGCAGACAGTAACCTCTCACGTTAAAAGAAGCCGAAGCGCTGACCCTCACGGCAAGCCAAGGCGCAGAGCAGACGGGGCGACAGGCCGTCCCTCTGATTTAGGCTCGGGGTCCTGCTCAGCCCCACCTGGCCCTGAGGAAGACACTCCGCCCGTCTCCTCACCCTGCCCTCTCCGCCCCTCAGCACTCACCCTGAGCAGGAGGGTCTGCAGGTCTTCAGAGTGAGCCCACTGCTCAAACACACCATCCAGGGTCTCGACGTACCAGGAGCCGCTCTTGGGATCCCGCCAGGAGACAAAGCCTTGGGAAGGAGGAGGGCTGAACTCCGCGCCAGAGCCGCCCCCCCACGCACACAGGCTGGGCCCCTCCGGACTCTGACCCGTTTACACGGCCAGCGGCAGCAGCCTGCGTCTCTGCACTCTGTCCCATTTGTGACCTTATTTCATCCCCACCACCACCTCATGACTTTGGTTATGATTCCAATTTTCCCAACAAGGAAGCCAAGGCCTGAAGAAGTCAAGTGCTCACCGAGGGAGAAGAAAGGAAGGAGATTGACACCTGTTGCACCTGCTGTGTGCCAGGCACCCTGCTCAGTGATGTGCCGGCCACCTTGTTAACCCCCACGATGACCCCTAGGGTTCGGTTACTATTCCCATTTTAAAGATGAGAAGACCAAGGCAGGGCCAGGACAACGGTGAGGCAAGTGAGGCCCACAAACCCAGGGGTGCGTGCCTCCTTAAATTTTGCAAGCTAGGCCCCTCGCCTGCCTTGCCCTGAGCTGAGGCTCAGAGACGTGAAAACTTGCTCAGGGTCACACAGGTGGCAAGAGGTAAAACCAAGACCCACAGCCAGGTCTTCTTCACAACACAGCTGCTTCTAGGGCAGATGGGGGGGACGCGCTGGCTGGGAGGACGCGCTCACCTGGGAAGGTGGAGTAGGACACAAAGATGTCACTGGGTGTGGGCAAACTGGACACAGCATCCGGCTGGTCGAAGGTGCCTGGGCCTTCCTGGAACGGGACAGCATCTGGCTCAGAGTCACTGCCAGGGGTCCTGTCTTCAGGGGAGGTGGAGTCCACCTTACACCCAGGGTCTTTCTGCTCTGCAGGAAGCAGAAACAGACACCACTTGTCACCGGCACACACAGAGCAGGACCCCAGCCAGCCTGCCCCAGCCTGAGACCCGCTGATGGCTCCGGAGCTGGGGTTCCAGTGCTGGCAAACATGAGCAGGACACCACAGAAGCTCTACCTTCTCCTACAACAAACATTTCACAAATTCATAAAGTAAAATTGGAGGGGAGAGAATGTAGAAATTTTAAAAACAGCTATAGAAACAAGTTACGAGGTATACACCCAAAAGAAGTGAAAACACGTATTCAAAGAAAAATTTGTACAGCAATGTTCATCGCAGCATTATTCACAATAGGGAGAAGGTGGAAACAACCCAAGTGTCCACTGACAGATGAATGATAAAGAAAGCGTGTGCAGACTATTCAGGCTTAGAAAGGAATGAAGTGCTGATATGTGACAATGTGGATGGGCCTCGAAAGCATGCTGAGTGAAAGAAGCCAGATACGAACGGCCCCAGAACGGGATTCCATTTACATGAAACATCCAGAAGAGGCAAACCCAGAGAGGAAAGCAGGGCTCTGAGTTGTTGCCGGGGGCTGGGAGGAGGTGGGAATGGAGAGCGACTGCTAATAGGTGTGGGGTTTCTGTCTGGGATGATGAAAAAGTTCTGGAATTAGATGGTGGTGACGGTTCTACAACATTGTGAATGTACTTAATGCCACTGAACTGTATACTTTAAAATGGTAAAAATGGTACAATTTACCTTATTAAAAAACAAGTCACATTATTCAGCTTTAAAAAGGAAGGAAATTGTGACACGTTACAACATGGATGAACCTTGAGGAGATTAAGCTAAGTTAAATAAGCCAGTCACAGAAAGACAAATAGTGCATGATTCCACTTATATGAGGTGCCCAGAGTCATCCAACTCCTAGAAACAGAAAATGGAATAGTGGCTATTAGGGGCTGGGGACGGGACTGGGGAGTTAGTGTTTAGTGGGGACAGGGTTTCAGTCTTGCAAAATGAAAAGAGTTCTGGAGACGGATGGTAGTGATGGTTGCACAAGAATATGAATGTACTTAAAACCATGGAGCTATACACTTAAAACCACGGAGCTATACACTTAGAAACAGCTACGATGGTCAATTTTATGTGTATTTTACCACAATATTTTTAAATTTTAAAAAAGTTACCCCTCAAAGGTCACAGAACAGTATATAAAGTATGACCCATTTGGTCTACATATGATGGGTGGACACAGAGATAGAAAGAAAAGAGAGAGACAAAGAAAAGTCTGGAAGGAAACACCAATCGTTAACAGTGGCCGCCTCTGAGGAACGAGACTGGGAGTCGGGATGAGCAGAGAACTTTTACTTTTCACCTTTATATACCTCTGAAAGCTTTGATTTCTTTTTGGTTATTTTTTAATGAGCATGAACTATTCTGGTCTTAAGAGTTTACCTCCCAGTATTATGTACGTTGGCCATTTTGGCATTGGTTGCTTTTTTTAATCACATTGACGGCCTCTTCCCTATCACACATTACATCTCAACATAATGATTCAAAACAAAGGCCCACCATGTTGGCAGCACCCAGAGACAACCAAGGCTAAAAGGTGGCTGCATCTCCATCCAGCCTTTTGTCAATTTGTTTTTACCTGGTTATTTGCAGGATCAACTACTCGTGCCTTAGTCCTTTATCACAGCATCATGAGGATTTTCCACGAGTCATTACAAAGCCTTCTTTAAAATCGTGGGTTATGACACAGATGGCAGACACACACACACACACACGGAGTACCCCCGGGGTAGAGGGCACCAACACGGTACTGAGGAAAACACAAGAAGAAGAGAGGGTCCTTCTGTGTGGGGAGCTAAATGCCCACATGGAAAAAACAATGCCTTCAATTTACATTGAGACTTGGATTAAAAAAATGATATAAAACCCATCTCTTTTTTGGGGGGGGCGGAGAATATAGTGGAGGAAACGTCCACTATATCACACAGTGTCCCCTTTAAGACAACCAGGGGAGAAAAATCGCCATTCTTGGCTTCCGTCTTACAAATACCAAAAGAGATGGATCCTACAAGCAATTCTGTCTTATCCTGTCTCACGTCGGCTGCTGGAAAGCACAACGCCAAATTTGCGGGCCACCTCTAGCAAGCGTGCAGGACCTCAGAGGATGTGTTTCTAGATCCCAAACTTACTCTTCTTTTCTTACACCTCCATTTCTCTCCATTTTGTTCCACTATATCTCTTGTACTTCTTAAGCTATCTCAAATCCTTTTATGGAATCAAAGAAAGCACCAAGTGGTAGGTAATGGGCTCCACAGAGATGTTTACACCTCTGACCCAGTAATTTCCTAAGGAAATAACTCAAGTGAAGCCCAAAGCCCTCTATATAAAGAAATTTGTGGTCATGTGAGCCAAAAATTAGGAATCACCTAAACAGCCAACACTAGGGAAGTGGATTAGTGAGTGAGCGCCCTTCACTAAAACGGAACGTTATAAAGCCACGTGAACTAGTGGTGATGAAGACTCTGGGCATGTGGGGCTGGCCCCGTGGCCGAGTGGTTGAGTTCGCGCGCTCTGCTGCAGGCGGCCCAGTGTTTCGTTGGTTCGAATCCTGGGCGCGGACATGGCACTGCTCATCAGACCACGCTGAGGCAGCGTCCCACATGCCACAACTAAAAGAACCCACAACGAAGAATACACAACTATGTACCGGGGGGCTTTGGGGAGAAAAAGGAAAAAAATAAAAAAAAATAAAAAAAAATAAAAAAAGACTCTGGGCATGTGGGGAAATGCTTAAGGGAAAATGCCAGATGAGAAAAGCAGACCAAGCCCATGGACCGCGATCCAAAGGTAAGAGGCAAAAATGAGACGGCTGTCAGGCTCGCAAGATTCTCGATGATTTTTTTTTAAGTTGTCGTATTTTCTTTCTTTTCAGTTTGAAAATCCAAATGCCCCAAAAGTAGTGGCAGGCCTGGAAAACAGAGGGGTCAAGGCAGGCCTTGGGCGGCTCACAGCTCAGCCACAGAGCCGTCAGGTCTCCTGCAGGAGGTCTCCTGGGATGAGTTCCGGGGAAGCAGAGAGCACTGCAGGGTTCCACAGTCTCCTCCGGAAAGCAGCAGCTAAAAACAGCTCCCCTAAAAGCAGGCAGGCAGAGGGCGGAGCGGCCTAGAGGGCTCCCTAGGGACCATTTCTGGAGCAAGTGACTGTGACCCAGGCTCTGACGTGAGAAGGAAGATCAGTCCTGGGGGGAGAAACAGCACACGTCGGCAGCCCCCGGGTAGGGGAGCGGGTGGGTTTGCGTGGCTGGGTCTAGGTGGGAAACAGCAAGGAGGGAGGGAGGTCACAGTTCCCCAAAGGAAGCTGGGGTCCCATCTGCAGGAGACAGAGATGGTTCTGGCAACCCCATAATAATAACCCCAACATCTATTGACCTCTCACCTCCCACAGCTGACTCAGAAACCTGGTAATTTGTCTGCATTCTCACAGCTAACGTGCAGCAGCCAGGATTCTGCCTCTCAACTCCCCTGCTTCTTCCCACGGAGGCTCCCAAGCCTGCAAAGAGGGCTCCTTAGATGGTGAAAGCTGGACTGTGCTATAGCTTTCTCGGGTCACTGCTTTTGATTGTCCTCTCGATGGAGATTCTGGAATCTGCCCTAGGTGTTGGGAATGACTTGAAGCGGAGGAGGGGAAGGGACCCTAGCTGTGAATATGGGATAGCTGCCGGGCCTGCCTGGGCAGCAGGGGCGACTGGCAGAGGGGGCGCTGGCGGGGGAAGCCAGAAGACTAGCCAAGGAGACAGAGGTGGGCACAGAGGAGAGACAATGAGATCCGAGTGAGGACGATGGGAAAAAGAGGGGTGGGTCAGACGGGGGATGCTAGCTGTGTGTCTGCCTCGTTCTGCAAATCTGATGTGAAGGCCTCACCCACAGAGGGATGCATTTAATGCACAGCTTTGTTCTTAAGGAGCGTCGTCAATACAAACCTCCTAGTAAAGCCAGACCAACTTCCCATGAGAACAAATACATAGCAGGAAGAGGAGCTGTTCCCTGAGCACAGAAAATCCACCACGACTGTGGCATCTCGCTCTTCCTTCCGCCTTTTCAGCATGAGCTCTGAACTGCTGAAGAAGCCTCGCCCCAAAATTCACAGCACAGCCTAACAGAGGCCGTTCGGCTTTGGCCAAGTGTACCATGCTCTGTCGCGCAGTAGCACGCCCCCTCTTCACTGACATTCCACCCCAAAGTCACCCACGTTGGGGTTTTTCCACTCTGAGGGCCGCACTACCTCTTAATGAAGGGGTGGATCACACGTCAGAGGATTTTAAAATTATTTTAAATTGTAACAACAGTGAATTTTAAAATAGCAACACAAGAGTCACCAAAACCCAGAGCAGAGGTTCTGACGCATGTAAACAACAGGACACCACCCCCCAACACGCGCTGAGAGAACTCGACATTCCGCTATTTTTGTTTTCAGCTGACAACGGCGCCCTCATGTGGCAGCAGTGTTAAACACAAGGTCACGCAGCCTGCCGGGCTAAGCAGGGACTGGAACACCAAAGGTGGCATCTTTTTTTTTTTTTGAGGAAGATTAGCTCTGAGCTAACTACTGCCAATCCTCCTCTTTTTGCTGAGGAAGACTGGCCCTGAGCTAACATTCATGTCCATCTTCCTCTACTTTATATGTGGGATGCCTGCCAGAGCGTGACTTGATGAGCGGTGCCATGTCCGCACCCGGGATCGGAACCGGTGAACCCCGGGCCACCGAAGTGGAACATGCAAACTTAACCACTACGCCACTGGGCCGGCCCCCAGAGGTGGCATCTTAATCACTGCATTCCAGGTTTGGAATCTTGCTGCTCCCAGTGACTTGTTTTGTTTTTTTTTTTAATGGCAGAGTCTACTTACCTTACTTTTGCTCACAGATATTTTTATATGGTTCTATTTCAAATTCAAATGATTAGAATCCACATAAGATGCAGCCATACTGTGAGCTTTGCACCAGGCTGGGTACCCGGCTGTAGGACAGATGGGCCTGGCCCTGCCCTGGGAGAGCTGACCAGGGGATGATGAGGTCATCTCAAGACAAGGAGAAAGTGCTATGACAGGGGAAGAAGAGGGGCGGCAGGAAGGAGCACAAGGGTCAGCTCACTCTTTGTGCAAGGAAGACTTCCTGGTGGTGGTGACAGTAAGTTGTAACCAGACGGATGGATGATTAAGAAGAGTTGGCCAGGAGACAAGGCAGAGGAATAGCACAGGGAAAGGCTGAAGAGCAAGCCAGAGCCTGTGACATCCCGGGAAGATTGAGCAGAGATGGGGCGGGCACAGCATGCCAGGCACAGGGAGGAAAAGTGGCCTGGGCCAGATCACCAGTGGCCTTGTAGGTCCCACGAAGGAGTCTAAAGACACTGCAAAGATCCTCGTTGCCACTGAGAATGGACAGCAGGGTGGGCACTGGGCTAGAAGACCAGCTGAGTATAACTTTCCCAGAAAGCTGGCATCCGAGCTCACCCTTCATTCATAATGCCCTTGCCCACTTCCTCTTTCATTTGATTCAAGGAGAAAGAAGGACCACATGCCTCAGAGCAAGAACATCACTGGCCCATACATTTTGGATCATAAGAAAAAAGATGCATTAGAAAGAATTTCTACAACTCCAAGAGCAGCAGCCACCTTGCTATCGCCATTACTCTGAGGCAACTGAGCGGGAGGGCTCTTATGTGACACTGGGTCCGCCAGGGCCGGGGCCGGGGAGGGGAACTTTGCAGTTATGAAAATGAACCCATGTTAAGTGCTGTACACGCGCCAGTTTGTGCATTAGATATTATCACAGTAACGCTGTGCCGGAGCCTCTGTAATTATCCCCACTTGCCGAGACTTCTAGAGGTTGACTGGCCTGTGGTCGTGCAGGGAGTAAGTAGCCAATCCAGGAGGTAACCCAGTGTCCTCAGTCACTCAGGGCCGAGCTATGGGCAGTGACTTAATCCAGTTCCAACCACATTACAGATCCCAGGGGGCAGAGACCCTGTCTGTCCTGTATCCCCAGCACCTAACACACAGCCTGGTGAACACAGCAGGTGCTCAATAAACACGTATTGGAGGAACCCTGTGACGAGAGCCTACTCTCCCAGACAACCCACCCCCACCAACGTGGAAGAGTATGGGACAGATGAACGTGTGCAGAAGAATAAGCCGCAGGTGCCGTGTTACATGTCACTGGCAGGGACAGCCCTCACCTGGGCAAGCTGGAGAGCTGGATGGTGCAACACTGGCCGCTCCTCTGGCAGATCAGGCCGAGGGCGAGGAACTGAAATGCCTCTCAGGCACCCCCGCCCCTGGAGAGCCCCAGGCAGAGGGGACTGACTCCCTGGGACAGAATTCCCGGTGTTCCCCACCTCTGCCACCAGGTCCCATGATCCAGGCCACACAATGTTCCTCTTTCCCCTCTTTTTCTTTTTTATAACAAAACCAAGTAACGGTGAAGCAGAGCTTAGGTTTAAAGTCAGGGCCAATGACAAAACTACAAATGACCCAAATGATCCTTAAAAATGACTGAAATCCCCAGTCCCTGGGCCATTGGGAATTCTAATAATTAATTCAGCTCTGGCCTCCGTTTCTCTTGGATAATGGAAAGGGGGCTGATGGAGGTCGGGGGAATGATGATAAGGAAAATTAAGGAGTTCATTTTCTCTCTCCTCTGCTCTGTTTTTTCCATGTCTGTAAAGTTGCCAAGTTAAATGAGCCCCTGAGGCTACTGCACTGAGACAGAAGACCCTGACCGCTAAAGACAGATGAAGCTGAGGCCTACTCTAGCTGGATGGAGGTGCTGCTATTCGGACAACAGTGACCATGTCTGGGACCCTCTGATTGCCGGGAGAGACCCCTCCGACATTGTCAGGGGCAGGATGGAGAAGGACGTAGGTGGCGGCTCCTTCCCCACTAGATCCGTCTGCAGGGGCCTTGGGACCTGCTTACCCCCACCGCAGGCCTGGATGAAAAACAGCTTGGGCTTCCCTCCCAAGCTGGGGCAGCCAGTTCCATTGAAGATGTTCACGATGCTCTCGATGGACACAGGACATCCGTCTGTGCCATAAACAGCCCCCGGGAACTGGAGGTGGCTGGCCTAAAAGACCAAGAATCCTGGTTACAAAACCAAGAAGTTGGAGAAGGAATCCAACAGCCTGTTCAGAGGTCTTGTGGGGGCCAAGCATCTAGAAGGCCCCAGCCAGGGGCATGAGGCTGATCTGGACAGAGCGGGTTGGTTCTCAAACTCATGTGCCTATGGGGGCCAGACAGCCTAACTGGAGAATGCCCGCCAGCTTGCTGCAGATCAGTGGTTCTCAAGGTGTGGTCCCTGAACCAGCAGCAGCATCACCTGGGAACTTGTAAGACAAGCAAATTCCCGGACCCCACCAGACCCCCTGAATCAGAAACCCTGGTAGTGACAACCAGCAATCTTGGCCTTCAGGCGCCTCTGATGCAGCTAGACGTTGAGAACCACTGCTCAAGACCAGGTATTCTCAACGTTATGTGCACAGGGATCTTGTTCAGGCGCAGGCTCTGAATGAAGAGGTTGGGGGTGGGGTCTGAGGCTGCATTTCTCAAGAGCTCCCTCGTGATGCCCACGCTGCCAGTCCAGGGCCACACCATGAATGAAAGGACCAAAGGGGCAGCCCCCACCCAGCTACAGGCCAGAGTTTTCTCTGTGAGGATGCTGGCCTGTTAAGGTAGTTTTTCATAGGAAGCTGGAGATCCTGACTTTTGTGTGAAAGTTGCCAGTTTTGAAAACACTGTGCAACCACAGGGGGACTACAGGCCCCCAGCTTGTAATCTCTGTTCCGTCCAACCCCTCGACTTTAAAAGATGAGGAAACTGAGGCCCAGGAAGGGGGAGGGGCTTGGCCACAATGACCCAGCACATGAGTGGCCAAGCCCAGAGCGGCTCCCAGTGTCCCAACTCCCAGCAAGCAGCAGAGGGTCTGGAACAATGCCCAGCACGACCGAGGCAGAAGCTGGGAGCTCTCGTGTGCTGTGCCCAGCTCTGAACAAAATCCAGGCGTAGGAGCTTTGTGAGCAGAGCTTGTCTCCTCCCTGCCTCTCCCAGATGGCGTCTCCCAGGAACACTGTGCCACCCAGGAGGGACATCCAACTCCTCGGAGGGCCAGATGGCTCCCAAGAAAACAACAGGAGGTGGATGGCGCCCCACGGCTCTTCCCACAAAGCCAAGGTGTCTTGGACGCAGGAAGGAACGGGCTCCTGCACGGCCTCTCTGTGCACCTTCCCTGTCGCCTGCCCAAGGAGCTGAGCCTCCTACCTGACAGCCGTGAGAGAGGATGACCACCACGCAGCAGTCTAGAGCACCATGGTCGCGCCGTGCCAGCTCCCCCAAGGCCCGGAGCATTTGCTACAAGAGAAGGCTACAGGTGAGCCAGAACACTGACAGGTCAGGCCCCATCCTGGGCCCACCCAAGGCCTGGGCAGAGCACCTTCCCAGCTCCCGGGGCCAATACTGAAGTAACGACAGTCCTAACAGTCACAGGAGCCACCGTTCTTGGGGGAAAGGTGCGTGCTTGGGCACTGTTCGTTTAACCCCCTCTACGACCCTGTGAGGGGAGTTCTATCTTACTACCTAGACAAGGAACCAAGGCTCAGGGGTCGCACAGCCCGTGGCGGGAGAGCCAGCCACCTCGACGATGTCCTCAGCCCAGGTGTCTCGGAGTCTGAACTGGTAACCACCGAGCCCCACTGCCTCCCACACACGGTCCTACAGCCCTGAGGGCTCATCTTGGGGAGTTGCTTGCCTTCGGGGTCCCTTGCAGGACACCCCGCCCCATCTCCCTCTGCAGACGGCGACCCTACCTTGGCGGTCAGGTCGCCCTTCACCTCCACCATGAAATGCAGCAGGCTGAAGCGCTGCCGCAGCTTCTCGCAGTCAATGTCGGAGCCGACGCGCCTGCCGAGCCCCGACGCCAGGTAGAAGTTCACGTTGTTGATGATGAGGCAGTGGCCACAGGGGTCCGCGTTCAGGACGTACGCCTGCCCAAGCACAGGGACCAACATAAGCCAGGGACTCACCGTGCTCCACGGGAGAGAAGGTGACCCCCTGGTTTTCACTCGCGTGGTTGACAATCTGGAGGGGTGGGACAGAAACTGGGGTCTGCCCCACCTCTGCAGGAGAAGCAAGGTCTACACCCAGCATTCCAGGGCAGAAGCAAGCAGCCTGAGACAGACTGGGGAGAGCACGAGCTGTGAGATGCACGAGTAGCTTACCTGGGGAGAGAAGATTAGCTCCCACCGCAGTATTCAGGGACAGGAGCTGCCAGCTTAGAAGTCTGACACCCATAGACATTCACCCCAAAAGGCCCTTACAGATTGTCTGAACAAGGGGAGTGCCTGAGATTTGTGTGGGTGGCTCTGCCCAGGCCCACCCTCACCCCTTCCTCGACATTTTGCTTGTAGTCCTCTCTCAGAGCAGCCTGTACTTTTTGTTTATAGGACTTAATACTATTTATATTTATATATCTCTTTGTGTAACTGGCCGCTACTGGGCTGATGGCTCCATCAGGGCTAGAAACACAAGTGGCCTGTTCTCAGGTATCCCAGCACAGAGCCCAGGGCTGGCACACAGGAGTCACATCCTAAATGCTGGGAATGAGAGAGTGAGTGACAGTCTGGACTGGGTGCCACAGACTATTCTGATGCCCACCCCCCCTCATTAGGTCTGACCCCCGACTTCAACGAGGAAGGAGGAGCAGGGATGGACCATCTGCTCCAGAAAGAGGTGTGCTGGGGTGAGGGAGGTGTGGGGGCCCGGGGCTGGGAGCCTCCCTCCAGCCGGGCTGGGTTCTCTGGGCTCGTGACACAGCTGCAGGGAAGGACCTGGGAGGGGAAAGCAGAAGGACCCAACGCCAACACAACTGGCCCCAAATCACATGAAGACTCACCAAATCGGCGTTTCCCCTCAATCTGTCCTGAGCACCTGCAGAGAGAAAGAAAAAAACGTGAATGTCAAGGTCCAGCGGGGGAGGGGCAGGGGACTCTGTGAGGACAGCCCCCACAGAAACGGAGGAATGGGAACACAGGAACCCTCAGGCACTGCTGGTGGGAGTCAAGGGGCACAGCCACCTTGGAGAACTGGTCAGAAGTTTCTAATAAAGTTAAACACACCTACCCTTGGAGCAGCAATTCCACTTCCAGGTATACACCCAAGAGAAATGAGTGCAATGGGCACAAAAAGACTTGGTCACAAATGTTCAATGAAACCTAATTCATAGGGCCCAAAACTAGAACCAACCCAAACATCTGTCAACAAGGTGATGGATAAACAAATTGTGATACAGCCACACAAGGGAACAATACTACACAGCCTGAAAAGGAATGAGCCACTGATGCGTGCAACTCCATGGATAACCTCAGAAACATTATGCCAAGTAAGAAAAGCCAGAAGATTCTATACGATGTGATTCCATTTATGTGACATTCTAGAATAGAAAGGCGTAAGGAAACTCCAGGGGAGCAGATGCTCCCTGTCTGTGGAAGCCACTGTAGGTCCTCAGGAAATATTTGCAGAATAAATAAGTGAGTCAATTTTCCTTCAATGTCAAAAGAGTTTTCACTTCAATTAGCAAGATGTCAACTAGTCACCAGCCTATAAGGGTGTGGGACACTTTTTTTTTCTTTTTTAAACAAAGAGAACATGGTGGCTACCTCCAAGTCATGCTGGAGCCTACAATCACGATCCAATGATAGTGACATTCAATGCTCAGAGCAGGCCTGGACCCCTTGTTGGGAACTATTCTCTTGCCAGTTTAAAAGCCATGCCAGAAAAGCATTCATGTCCCATTTTTAAAATTAGAAATGGTTTTACCTAGCCTGAAGACCCCTATTAGTCCCTAGACTTCATTCTGAAGCTACTGCTCATTTCTAAAATTCCACTGCATCCCAAAAAATATAACCATTATTCACTACTGAGGAATTTATTTATTTCCCAGATTAACAATAATGATGCACAAAGTGAGAGACTGACATCATCAAAACGTCAAAATAAGAATTTTCAACTGCCTTCCTCCACAAAGAATACCAATTTTGACAATCAACCATGGACAAGAGTGCCTTTGTGGAAGTCCAGGAGTCCAGTGGAGCAGTCCTGGCACACCACTGGTGCAAAAGAACAATCTGAGATGGATACACTGAAGAGCAATATGAATCGGACACATTCAGTAAACACTGGAGGAGGTGGGGCTGGCCCTGTGGCCAAGTGGTTGAGTCTGCACGCTCCACTTCTGTGGCCCAGGGTTTCACCAGTTTGGATCCTGGACGCGGACATGGCACTGCTCATCAAGCCATGCTGAGGCGGCGTCCCACATGCCACAACTAGAAGAACCTACAACTAGAATATACAACTATGTACTGGGGGCTTTGGGGAGAAGAAGAAGGAAAAAAAAGAAGATTGGCAACAGATGTTAGCTCAGGTGCCAATCTTTAAAAAAAAAAAAAAGACTGGAGGAGGTGACAGCTTCTTCAAATGCAAGACTTCAACAAACATGAAAAATCAAGAAGACATGACATCACCGAAGGAACACAATAATTTTCCAGTAACTGTCCCCAAAGAAATGGAAATCTGCAATTTGCCTGATGAAGAATTCAAAATTATTGTTTAAAAGAAGCTCAGTGAGCTACAAGAAAACACAGAAAGACAATTCAATGAAATCAGAAAAACAATACATGGACAAAGCAAGAAGTTTAACAGAGAAACAGAAATCGTAGAAAAGAATCAAACGAAAAACTTAATTAACTTTTAAAAGGTATTCATGTTAAAATCATTTAATTGGATCTTGTTATTTACCAAAAAAAAGGAACAAAACAGAAATTCTGGAACTGTAGAATACAATGAATGAAATTTTTTTAAAAAATGCAAAGAGAGCATCAATATCAGACTTGATCAAGCAGAAGAAAGAATCTGTGAAGTAGAAGACAAGTCATTTGAAGTTACCTATTCAGAAGAGAAAAAGAATGGAAAAGAGTGAAGAAAGCCCACGTGAACTATGGGGTATCATTAGGAGAAACAGTCTACGGATTACTGGAGTCCCAGAAGGAGAAGAGGTGGAGAAAGGGACAGGAAGCTTTTTTAAAGAAATAATGGCTCAGAATTTCTCAAATCTGGGGAGAGATGTGCATTTCCAAGTTCATGAAGCTCATAGGTCCCCAAACGATTTCAACTCAAAAAGATCTTCTCTAAGACACATTATAATAAAACTGTCTAAAATCAAAGAAAAAGAGAGAATTTTAAAAGCAGCAAGAGAAACAAATTCCTTACATATAAGGGAAGTCTCTTAAGGCTATCGGCGGATGTCTCAACAGAAACCTTACAGGACAGGACAGAGGGGGATGATATATTCAAGTGCTGAAAGCAAAAGAATTGCCAACCAAGAATGCTTTACCCAGCAAAGCTGTCCTTCAGAAATGAAGGAGAGAGAAAGATTTTCCCAGACAAATGAAAGCTGAGGGAGTTCATCAGCACTAGACCTGCCTTACAAAAAATGCTGAAAGGAGCTCTTTAAGCTGAAATGAAAGGATACTAATTAGTAACATGAAAACATATGAAAAGATAAAACACACTGAAAAAGGTAAGCATACAGTCAAATTCAGAATACTCTAATCCTATAATATGGTGCAGTGTTCATCACTTAATTCTAGCATAAAGGTTAAAGGACAAAAGCATTATAAAAAACTATAGCTACAGTAATTTGTTAATGGATATACAGTATAAAAATATGCAAATTCTGACATCAAAAACATAAAATGGGGGGAGTAAAAGGGGAGAGTTTTTGTATATGATCAAAGTTAAGTTGTTATCAGCTTAGAATAGACTGTTACAAGATGTTTTACGTAAGCCTTACGGTAACCATAAAGCAAAAACCTACAGTAGACACACAAAAAGTAAAGAGAAGAGAATCAAAGCATACTACTACAGAAGATCTTCAATTTGCACAGGAAAAGAGAAAGAGAGGAAGAAAGGAATAAGGGAAGTACAAAACAGCCAGAAAACAACTAATGAGATGGCATCAGCAAGTCCTCACTATCAATAAATACTTTAAATGTAAACAGATTAAATTCTCCAGTCAAAAGGCATAGAGTATCTTTTCTGATGACAGTGGTATGAAACTAGAACTCAATAACAGGAGGAAAACTGGAAAATCCACAAATATGTAGAAATTAAACACCACACTCCTGAACAACCAATAGGTCGAAGAAGAAACCAAAAGAGAAATTAAAAAATATCTTGAAACGAATGAAAATGGAAACACAACATAGCAAAACTTATGGGATGCAGCAAAAGCAATTCTAAGAGGGAGGTTTATAGCAATAAGTGTCCACATTAAGAAAAGGAAAGATCTCAAATAAAGAATCTAATCATACACTCAAGGAACTAGAAAAGGAAAAATAAACTAAGCACCAAGTTATAAGAAGGAAGAAAATAACAAAGATCCTTTGTCAAAGGGTCACCATGAAACCTACCTTGGGAAACATTCCTGTGCAGTACTCAGGAGCCTAAGGCCCAATACCTAAAAGGATACCTTTCAGCAGACTGGGGCAGAGGAGGCAGTCACTTATTAAGCCAGAAGACCTAGGCCCAAGTCTCAGCTCTGCACTTGAACTCATTTTGTGACTGTGTTGTTCTCAGAGCCCCGCTTCCTCCCCTGCAAACAGGGTATGATAGCAGAGGGCCTGCCCTGTCTTCCACTGCACAGCATGGTTCTGATGACCTGAAAAAGCACTGTGTGCACTGTAAAGTGACATAGACATTTGAAGCGATCTTGTTATTGCTACTATTATTTATCCTTCAGATTTAAGCTCCTACTGGGAATAAATATTCACAACAAATAGGAAATACAATACCTTCCAAAAGAACAGGAGGCATCAAGTCCAGACTGTTGGTCCTAAATGACTCAAACTACCATTCTACCAAACCAGATAAGAGTTGGACTTTATATTTTGCCTGGCCCGTTATAGTAGGACAATAAAGCATACAAGCAATTCCAGAAACGGTCTTCTTCCTTAGACTCTCATCACGTTTGTTTGTTTCTCTGCTTTAACAGGTTGCCCAAAATCACACAGTTATTCGGCACAGAAAATAGATTTCACTTTTTGCCCATCACATAGGAAAAAATGTTAATACTCACTGTTGGCAAGAGTGTGGGAAAATGGTCACTTTTGCTCATGGTTGATGAGATTATAAAATGGCATGTTTTTGAAGTACAAATTGGCAGCATCTATCAGACAGGAACATTTACCTTTTCACCCATCAATTCCATTTCCAGAAACCTAACCCCAGTCAGAGATAGATGAGCATGCAAGGCTACTGCAGAAACAACACAAATGTCCATTAACAGGGACTGGGTGAATAAAATACAGTGCAAGGCACATGTGGGGCTACACAGCGGAGCAGACAGGGCGGGGAAGCCTGGACTGCAGTCCTGTTTCCACTTCTCACTAGCTGTGTGATTGGGGGCAAGTCATTTCTCAATCTGTCACTCACTTTGTTCAACAGTAAAATGGGAAAACTGTACCACCTACCTTACGAGAGAGTTGGGAAAACTAAATTAAATCATTTATGTGAGCACTCCCAAACTGCCTGGCAAAAAGTAAGCACTCAGTAAGGTTAACCACTAAATAATAATAATAATAATAATTATTATTATTATTATTATTATTAGCATCCACACCATGCAGCGGTCCACTGGGCAACCACGACATAAGAAGTGCTGGATCTCCATGTGCTGCCATAGAAACGAAGCGCTCATTGAAAACCCACATGTCTATCGACAGAATGGTGAAATAAATTGTGGATGATTCAGAACAGGAACTACTACTACCTAGCAATGAAAAAGAACAAACTACTGATATGAAGAACAATAGGAGTGAATTTCACGAATTTAATGATGGCGAGAGAAACCAGACTCCAAGAGCACAAACTTTAGGATTTCATTTATATTGAAGTTCAAGGACAAGCAAAAGGGAACCGCGGTGACAGAGATCAGAACAGTGATGACTCTGGGTGGAGGGGAGTGGGAGCAGACTGGGAGGAGGCACCGGAGAGTCTTACAGGACACCAGAATGTTCCATATCTTCATGACCTGGGGGTTGGTCATCTGTGTGTACACGGTAAAAATCATCCAGCTGTACTCTTAGGATTTATGCATTTTACTGGATGCAGCTTTGTGACCTTAAGGAAATTATTTAACCTCCCTGCGCCTCAGTTCCCTCATCAACAAGAAGGGGTCTAATGAGACCTGCCCTGCAGGGTTGTTGTGAGGGAAGGAGGGAGGGATATGTACCATGCTGGCAGGGCCCAGACTCTTGACAGGCGGAGGCCTCCCTCCTGCCGCCAGACCTGGCTCCTCCACACTACCCACACGGACCCAAAGGTCAATCCTGAATGACAGCTTGATCTAGAAACACTGATCAAAACCTGGGACATCCAAAAGAGACTTCAACACATGCTTTTCAGAGGAGGGGCTTTCCTGAAGACCTGCCAGAATATTCCACTCATCCCCTATGAGTACTCAGAAAGATAGCACCAAAATGAAATTCTGAGTCTCAGCCCACTTGGCTGTACCAATGGTCACTCTCCAAGGACCATTCATTACACCCACCCGCCAACCCCTCTTCTCAGTACTCACGGACATCACTGAATCCTCCAGAACCAATGTCCACTGGCCTGGGCACCTCTGGTCTGAGAACCTCTGGCCTGAGCTTGGCCAGCCAGAGCTCCTCGGGCCCCAGCACCACTGGAGTGAGTTTTCCTGGAGTCAGCTTCGATGGGTCCTGCTTCACTGCTGTCAGCTCCTCTGGTTTGAGGCCCACTGGTCCGAGCACCACAGGTGGGAGGTCCGAGGGTCTGATGGCCTCTGGATTCTGCTTGGCGGCTTGGCTACTCGTTCTCAGGAATGAAGCCAGTGTGTCCTGGCCTGTGTCCTCTAAGCAGGAGATGAACAAAAGCAGGGCTTGACTCCCTCGAGTCTCTAGATCTATGATCAGCTGCCTGGCCTGATCGCGCCGAGATCCAGAGCGCTGTTGGGAAAGAAAGACATGGCGCTATTACCCACGCGCTTTCCTATGACTCTCGCCATCTTCCCCCATTTCCTACCTAGCGTAAGTCTAAACAGTGAGGCACATGGGCAAAAACTGAGCCTGCAGGTACACTGAGTGTGTGCCCCTCGCCAGCCTTTGCTTATGTACTTGTTCAGTATTTTGGAGGCATCTACCGTGCACCCAGCACTGTGCTACACGCTGAAAATACAGCAGCGAACAGTCTCATCTTCAAGGAGCAAACAACTAGTGGGGGATGCAAACAGACAAATCAACAACAACACAGCAAAGAGAGAAGTGCCAGGAGGGAAAGCACATGGGACTGGGAGGGTACAGGGGCACCCAACTCAGCCATGGGGGGTCAGGGAGGCATCCAGGAGGCGATGTCTTAGCTGAGACCCCAGGGAACACTAGGAAGTGAATAGAGAATTCGGAGAAATGAGATATGTAAGCAGAGGTGGGGAACAGCAGCAAGGCATGAGGCATTTGCGGGGCCATGCCAAGAAAGCCGTGAGGAGCCACTGGAGAGTTTTAAGAAGGGAGTCAGATTCAGATCTGCCTTTTAGAGAAATCATCCTGGGGGCACAGAGGACAATGGAAGGGAGTGAGACATAGCCAGGTCAGGTAGCAGCAAAGATGGTGAAGAAGTGAGAGGACAGGGGCCAGCCCTGTGGCGCAGCAGTTAAGTGCGCATGTTCCTATTCTCGGCGGCCAGGGGTTCGCCGGTTCACATCCCAGGTGTGGACATGGCATCGCTTGGCAAGCCATGCTGTGGTAGGCGTCCCACATATAAAGGAGAGGAACATGGGCATGGATGTTAGCTCAGGGCCAGTCTTCCTCAGCAAAAAAAGGAGGATTGGAGGATTAGCAGTAGTTAGCTCAGGGATAATCTTCCTCCAAAAAAAGAAAAAAGAAGTGAGAGGACAGACCAGAGAAAGAAGGAGGGAAAATCAACTATACTTGGGCATTGATTGGGTTGACTGTGAAGATGCAGGAATGGTCAAGGTTGACAGGTATGGGATGGTGGGGCTGGTCACTAAGGCAAGGAGCAGGGTGGGAGCAGGAGGAAGATGTCCCTTGAGACCTAGCACCAGGCAAATTCCTCAGGATCCACAGGGATAAAAAACCACCCCATCTTCAACTATCCTATGGCAGTGCTGTCCAAGAGACCCTTCCGTAATGATGGAAATGTTCTTTGTCTGCACTATCCGATATGGTAGCCATCAGCCACATGTGCCTACCTGGGTCATACAACTGAAGAACTGAATTTTTTGTTTAATTACTACGTATTTACATTTAAATAGCTTCATGTGGCTAATGGGTACTACACTGAACAGCAGACCTATAGTGTCACTGAGAAGATAATTCTTACTAGCAAAACAGCTACATGTCTACTTCTCTGCAAGTAGATCGTGGTGTTTTGATTTCTCTCCACATTTACTGAACACTCAGACACTGTGTTAAATGCATCATTTCATTTACTCCCCCTCAACAAGCTTAATGGGTTAAATCACAATGATTACAACTATTCCCACTTTACAGAAGGGTGTTACAACTTCCCTATATGTAACAAAGCCAGGATGAGGACCCAGATCCATGTGGCTCAGCCATACCAGGCATGGCAAAATGGCAGCCTGTTGTACACACGATGTTCTTTAAAAATTCTGAATTTGTTGCTAACATCTAAAATCATGGAATTTGACACTGAAATCAAGATTTCCAGTTTCTCTTTAAGAACGTGAAAAATCAGCAACACCAGGCTACATTCTGGTATGACCACACTCAGCTGGAGCTGGGGGGATGCCTGCACTAGTGCCCACCCAATGGGCCTCCCAGGCATTTGAGTTTGCGATCCCTGTGAATTTACCTGAAGACAAGGATATGGCCTCAAACCATTTCCACTCCTCAGTACAAGCCACACAACAGGCACTCATAAGACTTTTTTTTTTTTTTTGAGGAAGATTAGCCCTGAGCTAACATCTGCCACCAATCCTCCTCTTTTTGCTGAGGAAGACTGGCCCTGAGCTAACATCCCTGCCCATCTTCCTCTGTTTTTTTCATTCGTGGGACGCCTGCCACAGCATGGCTTGATAAGCGGTGTCTAGGTCCACGCCTGGGATTCGAACCGGCAAACCCCAGGCCACTGAAGCAGAGCACGTGAACTTAACTGCTATGCCACCAGGCCGGCCCCATAAGACTTCTTTTAATGTTACCACTCATTGGCAATTTTCCATATGATACTTGTCCCATTAAGGACTTCCTCATTGGGTCAGGCCAAGCTCCTGGATGACACAGAAACTGGACACTCTGCCTGCAAGCAACCCACAGGGCACTGGCCAGGGGCCTCCAGGAAGTCAGACATAGCCACCTCGAGGTAGGAAATACCTCCTGGACCCTCCTCACTTCACAGGACTGTGGCGAGGGGCAAATAAAACAAAGACACCACAGTGTTTTAAAGAGAACCTCAAATGTTTGCCTTATTATTCTCTCCATTGCCTGCATCAGGCCCCTCATCCCTGAAACCTCTTACAAACCATGACCTTAACACAAGAGGGCTGGCCAAAAGGACAGGGCACAACCAGCTACCACAGCTTGAGCCCTCACTCCGTGCGGGACACTATACTGTCTCACATCGTTATCTCATTGAGCCCTCACAACAATACTACTCTTGTCCCCATTTCACAGGCCAGGAAACTGAGGCTCAAAGAGGATAAGTGACTTGCCCAAAGACACAGTGCCAGGTAGTCTGACCCCCAAGTGGGTGCCCTGAACCTCTATGCCAGAGGAGGAAAAAACACACAATCCCCCTTCCTGGCAAGAAGCACAGGGCTGCAACAGCTCACAGCGTACGCCCACGGTGCAGGGCGTGGAATCGGTTTCGCACGCCCCCAAAGAAGTGTTTGGGATTGCCTGGTTCCGCTGGCCGATTTCGTGGGCTCGACGCCATGAGGGAAACAGCGGTTCCCACAGAGTAGTTCTTAAAAAGGTGGGTACTGGGTGGCACAGACCAGGGAGGGGAGGGCGGGAGCTCAGCCATTAAGTCATGTTGTGGCTTCAACAACCCTCTCCGCGCGGGGTCGCGGTCCCCATCCGTGACAAGAAGACTGCGCGCGGCGCGAGAAGCGGGGGGACGCCGGCTGGGCGGGGGCTGGGGCTGGGGCGCACCTGGATGTCCTCGATCATGTCGGGCGTGAAGAGCTCGCGGGTTAGCAGAGCGTCCCAGAGCGAGTCCACCTGCAGCTCGCGGACCAGCCTCAGCCGGCTCCGCCGCAGGAGCTGCCGGTCGGCCTCGTTCATGGCAGATAGACGGCGGGGACCCGGGCCGCCTCCGTCCGCTTCCGGGCCTCGGCCAGCGCGCCCGCCCGCGCCCCAAGATCCGCCCCCAGACCGGCCACAGCATTGCGCCCCGCCCCCTCACCTCCCCTTCCCCCCACCCCCGGGTCCCGCCCCCAGGCCTGCCCCCGCCCCCGCCTCCCGCCCACTAGGCTCCGCCTCCGCGCCCCGCCCCAGGACACACCCAGAGGCCCCGCCCCGCTCCAGGCTCCGCCTCCGCGCCCCGCCCCCAGGACACACCCCGAGGCCCCGCCCCGCTCCAGGCTCCTCCGCCGCGCCCGCCCCGCCCCCAGGACACCCCCCCGAGGCCCCGCCCCGCTCCAGGCTCCGCCTCCGCTCCCCGCCCCCAGGACACACCCCGAGGCCCCGCCCCGCTCCAGGCTCCGCCTCCGCGCCCCGCCCCGCCCCCAGGACACACCCCGAGGCCCTGCCCCGCACCAGGCTCCGCCCCCGCACCACTGCCCCGCCCCCAGGATACACGCACACCCCCGCGGCTGCCGCCGCCAGCCCCTAAGCAGACCAACTCGGAGCAGGTGACAGTGCTGGTAAGAGGGCCAGCCATGCATGGAGCCATGGTCTGTCCCGCCCCATTCAACCTCTTCCCAAGTATAGCTGCCCTCTAGCCCCCTCCAGTGCCCACAAGAAAACCATAATTCTCCTGCCCCACTTCCGTGCCCAGATCTCGTAGTTTACTGTTCCAAACTCCGTGTCTCATCCAGAGAAGCCAATATTATAACGTCTTCCGTTCCCTTCTTCCCTCCTTCCCACCCTAACACCTCCCACAAAGAAAAAACACTGGCAGAAATCTAGTCCTCTCAACTCCCAGTTTGTAGGGCTCATTTCCACATTTCAAAAATGATTGCCCCTGTTTCTTGAGCATTTGCTAAGTCTCAGCCATTGTGCTAGCCATTTTATATTGCATTATCTCATTTATTTCCTGACTACAATCCTAGCAGGGAAGTACTATTCTTTTCCCCAACTTTACAGATGTGGACGCTGGGGCTCAAGGAAGTGGTCACCGTTCAAAGTCGCAGAAGTAGTACGTAGCAGAGGCAGGCAGGATTTAAACCCGAAGCTAACTCAAGTCCACCGTAGAATGTATTCTCTCGAGCAGCAAAACCTCAGCCTCATTCATTCATTTATTCCACAAATATTTATTGAGATTCTGTCTGTGCTGAGATCCGTGCAGGCACTGAGAATATATAGGGGAACAAAACAGACAAAAAGTCCCTGGGCCCGGACTGGTGGCGTGATGGTTAAGTTCAGTGTGCTGCGCTTCTGCGGCCCAGGGTTTGTGGGTTTGGATCCTGGGCATGGACCTACAGCACTCATCAAAGCCCTGCTGTGGTGGCGACCCACAAACAAAAAATAGAGGAAGACTGGCACAGATGTTAGCTCAGGGCGAATCTTCCTCAAGCAAAATGAGGAGGATTGGCAACAGGTGTTAGCTCAGGGCCAATCTTCCTCACCAAAGGAAAAAAAGAAAGCCCTGCCCTTACAAGCTTACATTCCAGTAGGAGGAGATAGACGATAAACAATATAAAGAAAAGATATATGTTACATAGCGATAAATGCAAAGGAGATTAAAAACAGGGCAGGTGGATATAAAATCTCTTTCTTTATATCCCCAAGGAAACTCATTGGCTCAATGAAAGCTTACCTCATTCACCTGTGACTCCCATGCCCCTCCACCCACACACAAAGCCCTTTCCCGTGCTAAGGGCAAGGCCTGGCCCATTCTGGGTGGAGCTCGCTTTTTGGTAAACGGGTTTAGGAGTCCTGGATTCTAGGCCGTGGGCGAGTCCCTGCCCTTCTCTGGGCCTTAGTCTCCAAATCAGCATATGGAAGAGTTAGACTAGAAAAGATCCCTAAGGCCCCTTCCAGCTCTGACGCTCTAGGATTCTATGAATAGGGTTAAAGAGAACAGGGACCAACGATTGCTTCCCCAACCTAGCAACTGTTGCTAGACGAGGGCCATCTCCTGGTAGGAGTGGAAACTCCTCCCCGGATCGGGGAGGTCTTTTGGGCATCCCATCATGCATCGCCACTTTGCCTCGCTAGCAGGCACGTTTTGGCCTCTTTGGTCACGACCGTCGCTTTGATCCAGCCAGAGAGCGCGCCTCGTTCCTATGGCAACCGCGCCTGGCCCACGCGCAGACGGCGGGTGACAAGGGTCAAAACAGATTCTCAAAGTGGAAGCTTTCGACCCATTCAGTCCGCGCCTTCTGTGCGCCAAGCCTTTAAGTGTCACGTGACTCTCCTCCGGCTGGTCCCCTCCTCTTTCCCCTCCCCAGGCCCCGGCGAGCGCTCGTGTGGACCGGAGGCTCCCTGCTCGGCGGACTAACTGGAGCACCGAGGCTGCAGCCGCTTAGGCCGGTGCCCTTTCCCGGTAACTCCTTCCCCGCGTGACGCGCGGAGCCGCAGATTCGGCAGGGCCGGGCAGGCTCGGGGATCTCCCGTCGGTTCCTCGCTCCTGGTCCCCGCTGGGCCCGAGGGGAACCGGGAGCCGACAGGGCCCGGCCCAGGGCTCTCGCGGGGCAGCGGGGGAGGCAGCTGTCTCTTGAAGGGTTGCGACCTCCGGCGGGAGCTTGAGGCGGGGCCGAGACCTAGAGCGCGTCTCTGGGGGCAGCTGCCGGGTCCAGGGATACTGCCCGAGGGCGGTAGCCTACCTGTTGGGCAGGTTGTTTCCTGCCCTGGGGCCGGCATGGTCGAGCTGTCAGCCAAAGAACTTCACGGCTCCCCGCCCCTTGGGCCCTCTGACTGAAGGCGACTGACACAGTTGAATAAGGCAGTGATTGCACTGCGTGGTAGAAAAAATACTGTTAATAGGTACCACTTACTGATTGTTGGCCCTGTGCTCAGTAAATCCTTTACGCACGTTTAACTCTCGTGGTGATCCTTTCAAGGTGGTATTATTCACCCCCATTTTACGAATAAGGTCACTGAGGCTTAGCAAGTTTAAGTAACTCGCCCAAGGTCGTAAAGTGATGGATCCCAATCTTAGTCTCGTTCCAGAGACCATGTACTAAACCAGCAGCCTTCCCGATTTTTAGCGCGCTATACGTGTTGGTGAGGATGGAATAGGTCATAGGTGCCTTAACAAGGAAGAAATTCATTTGTTTTAGGATTTTATTCAGCATGCATGCAGTCCTGATTGGCCATTAGGTGAGTCAATTTCGTGAGGATTCCCATGCAGCATTTAGACTTCCACTTACCAACATCCACCGCTGTCAACAGCTTTGACTCCCTTAAGTAAGGTGTCACGTTAGACGCTTGAACCTTAAAACTTTCATAATTTATGGGAAGTCTGGATAAATATGGTCCTTGAAAAATCATTGTATGATGTCTCAAAGATTGTAATCCTGGAGTGTAAATGTGTGTGCAATACAGCACTACTTTATCCATTAACCAGCCAGGATTATTTCCAAAGCCAACACTGAATTCAGTCATTACACTCACCAGAGATGAAGCTTTAACATTTGAAGACAGTGCCTGGTCTACACTCTGCCATTAATCCCCGTTCACCAGGAGTATTTCCAAAACCAACATTGAATTCAGTCACTACACTCAGGCGAGATGAAGCTTTAACATTTGAAGACCGTGCCTGGTCTACACCCTGCCATTAATCCCCCTTCACGTAGAAAACTAAATTTTTTCTCGCCACTTTTTCTCATCTGAGATCTCCATTTATAATGACCATGTTGCTCATGATTAAATTAAAGAGCAGCTTCTCATTTTCTTGTTCAACTGATGAAAAAGAACAGAATTGGAGCTTACCAAGTCATAATCGCACAGTTTTTTGAAAGTGTTTCACTTTCATATTTGTACTTGTTTAACCCGTGAGAACATCACAACTCGCTCGTTTTGTGGTTTTGCACACGGTAAATCTTATGATTTCATGAATTTATTTAGCACGCACTCAGTGAGGTGTTCTTAAGCCACGTATTTTAAATTTAAACGATTGTTGTCAGAATAAGTGAAATAGTGTTTGAGACGTAGTCACCTTGATTTTCCTATGTATGTTTTCCCACATTTGCTTATTATTTCTTCATCTCATTCATTTTCAGTCATTTCTAAAGCTTTTCTAATCCAAGGATTCTGGAGGGTTGCTGTTAATTCTTATTGCTCATCTTTTCATCTATAATAGTTCTTATTTGCGGTATTCGAAAATAGTAGTGAGATTTTGATTTTAAAAAATAGAGTCAAGCAGCTTGACACTTCTTGCAAAGTATCTTTTGTTTGTTTTGTTTTTCATCTATATATCTTCTATCTCTACGTAAAAAGCAAGATTGTCCAGGTTTCTACCACTGAAACTTACTGCCTCTTCAATCATTTCAGCTCTGGAAAGGAAGAGAAATGGAAGTGAAAAAGTTGAGCATTTCCTGGCAGTTCTTGCTAGTTCTGGTTCTGATCCTGCACATTCTCTCTGCGTTGGATTTTGACCCATACAGAGTCCTAGGGGTCAGCCGAACAGCCAGTCAGGCTGATATTAAAAAGGCTTATAAGAAGCTCGCCCGGGAATGGTAGGTGAAACAAAGAAATAGCAGTTTAATATAAGCTAAGCAGTTTTAGAGGGGAATGAAACCTAAAGTATGGTTAGCTTTTGTCTCTGTTTCTGTGTTCCATAAACATATAATATATACGTGTCTAAAATATTTTATTTGGGAGAACTAATGTTCGTGTTATTATATAATTTTTAGTGATGAGACCCCAAGCCTATATTACTATGAAACCCTTTTTTAGGAATTCTTTGACTTAAAGAATTGCCCTAGACACTGTTAGCATATTTAATGTTAAAAAGTAAAGTAGGAGGGAACTTTCATTTTAAAAGTGTGTATGTAGTCAGCAGTGGGTAAGCTACCCATCCCGTGGTGTTATTCATAAAGGAACTCTATGAGATGAGTGTCACTGCCAACGGGAGCACTATCCAATCCTGTTCTCTAATTTATTAATTTTTAAGCTTTCAAAAAAAATTTTAGAGTAAGAACTTTTGCCTTCAATTTAAAGATTATTCAGGAACTGAGTACATTACTTTTAAAAAATTATGCTATAGAAAAATCATAATTTTACCTGTAGATATTGTATGTGGCAGAGAATATACAAGGGTTTGTGAATTAGCAGAGTAGCAATAAATTTAAAACTTGTTTGGACAACATCATCAGTTTTTTCCACGCTTTGGCTATGCTGAAGAAGTAGAAGTGTTGGATTATATAGCTGGAGGGGAGCTTCACGAGGAGGAAAGGCTGGAATGGACAGAGGTGACTACAAGCTGGGTGAACCAACCATAAGTAATGAGAGAGGGTTTGGATGGGAACCATCAGTGAGCATCTGCTGCTGCTAGGTTCCAGGTTCTATGCTTTTTATCTCATTTAAACCTTATAATTACCCCATGAGGGAGGATATTGCTGTCTGTGTCTTATGGGTGAAGAAATCTAGGCTCAGAGTTGTTAAGTCTGTATTACCTCTGGGTTCCATACATAGTTTGACCTTCCGCACCAACAGGTTGTTTATTGCTTTTTGTTTTTTCCTCATTTACCTATCTGGGCAGAGGTATGAGTGAGTGGGTTAATGTCTGGGTCAGTAGGAAGTTATGCAGGAGCAAAGCTGACACATGCAAATGGCATTGCAGGCTGTGTCATGACTCTGCCTGACACCATTATTCTTCAACAAAAGATGTATCTTAGTTTTAAACTGGTTGCAATAAAGGTAAAAGTTTTAGAATATAATGTTTTGAATCCATAAACTCTTTAGACTGTGTTCATATCACGAGGAATCCAGAACTGGATACTAAAAACAATCTCTAATTATGCATGGCCTCTTTCCAGGGACTCTCTTTACAGCAAAGTTGCTTTCTGCATCATTTCAAACTCTTGCCTCTTTGTGTTTAAAGCGAATATATAAATCTTCAGTGAATTCATAAGGTAGCAGCATTCTTTTGGACAGGGTATGGCCTTTGACAACATTTTAAAAGCAGAAATGAGAGCTTTAGCATGTGGGACCTGTTAAAATGTACAGCTTTGACTTTTCTGTCTTCCAGAGCTGAAAAGGGTGTTAAGATATTAAATAAATGAGTCATATGCTTCTCTTCCTTAATTAGATTCTCTCTAGGAGTAATTCATCACCATAGAAATATAGAGTATCATCTAGTGAAAGTCTAAAATTTTGCTTTACCTTTGTGTTTTCACTGTACTATTATTTTCTGCTGTTTTGGCCATGGCAATGTTGTATCACTGAAATAGTTTGTTTCATTTCCTAGTGGTTTCGCATATACTGAAAATACGGGTGTTTCCCAGTTTGACTTTTCCGAAGGAGCTCCAGCAGGGGCATGGTTGACTGTTGAATTGGATTTGTAGCTTTTCTCTACCATGTTTTACTACTTTCTAGTGTTTCCTAAACGTCTCATGCGCTTTCCCCTTGCTTGGTGAAACCATTTAAATTTACTTTTTCTCTCAGGAAAGCTATGTTTCTCTCCCAGTGATTAAGTTTTATCAGAGGTGCTTCTCTTTTGTCATTTACGTTAGCAAAATAAACAACTACTCCTACCCCAAGAAAAACAGGTCATAAAATTTGATTTGAAGCAAATGCTTGTAACGTGGTCAGTCACCTGAACAGTAAATCTATTTGTCTAATATTTTGCTGTATTTCTTTTTCTCCCTTTGTTTTTATTCCCTTAGGGGTAGCTAGACAGCCAGTAGATACCAAGTATGGTATTTTCGTCACTTTGAAATTTAAAGGATGTGTATTATATTGTAGTCTGTGAAATGTTTCATGCACACTGGAAATAGCATTGGACAGTACTTTCCTAGAGCTGAATTTATCTTTTTCTAAATGTTTTCAACTTTGTGGTATCTTCCAGCGATTAGGAAAATACTCCTTATAAACTGAATCTGTCTTGTGGTTTCCTCCCTGTCCTTGGGCCTTGGCTTCCTCTGTTTCAGGATCTGTGGTTCTACCCCAGCTGCCCTCACAACTCTCTCTTTGGTTCAGTCTCCTTAGAAGCCCCTTCCTACCTTTCTCCTGTATGTTAAATCTTCATTTGTATGATTGCATAATTTTTTTCTTCTCAGCCTTTAGCCTAAGTTTGAATATTTAAAGCACCTTTTTTTTTTTGTCATCCAGAAGCATGCTTTGGAACCACCATCTTGTTTCCTTAAGTCATACTATTTTCATTATACCCAGCTGAAATTTTTTCCCACTAATATTCATAACAAGGATTAAGTAGTTGAGAGGAGTGATGTTTTAAATTCAGCAGCCAATCATTTGAAGTTTCTTCCTTTTTAGTGAAATCAGAATATGTGGCACAATGCATTCAAACATGTTCCTGCTAGAATAAGTTGGTCAAGTCATAAAGTTTTTTTATTCTGGTGTACTTGGCGCCGTTTTTAATAGTCATTTGCCTCCCAGTGGATTGTGTCTCTTTCCAGAACCTTTGCTAGAGGAAATTTATTAGAAGTTAGCAGAGGTGATTACATAGAGAATAAGCTCTGTAATAGAGTCTCTTAATAAGATGAACACTGAAAAATCAATCAGTGTAAAACACTGATTTAGATCTTAGGGAGTTCTAAGGAAGTAAAACCCAGCCCCTAATTTCCAGGACTTTAAAATCCCCAAAGCTAAAATTGGTATAAACACAAGCAGATTATAGAATAATATATGACCCCAGGATAGATACAGTTAATTGCCAGCTGTGTATGATGGCAAAAATTAGTTCTAATATTAGTTGCAACTATTAGTTGCAACCACTTTGCGTAAGTTGTAGACTTTTCTCACATCTTGAAACATGTGTCCTTGAAATCATTACCCATTTGTAGGCAAAAGGCAATCACAGGCCACAGGCAGGATGGGATAACCAGAGTCCTGATGAAAACTGAAATGTTCTGATTTGAACATCAGCAGCAAGCTGCTATTTGGAGCATGGTTGTTACTAAACAAATTCACGGTGCATCCTAAAACCTCTTTCCTCTGTCTCCCTGAGTTGTCAGAAGAAATACTTTCATTGATATCATTCTAACATTGGGATGAAATGCTGCCATCCCGGGAGAAGAAGTCAGTTCACTTATGCATAAGTGACTTTACCCTTGAGCCAGCTTTAGCAGCCGCCTTTCCTGGGTGCAATGCTGCTGTACTGTCTGGTGCTGTGAAAATGTGCCCAGCTCAAGTGCTTTTGGAAGTTGCCTGTTTCAGAGTTTGGTTTACTATGTCAATGTGAAGCAAGTGATTGCTTCTACCATTTATTTTTTAAGTAACTGTCCTAACAAAATGGCCTTCGATTTGCCTCTGATGTAGTGAACTGTGTGTACAAGGATGTTAACTGACCATGTGTAGAACATTAAGTCCATTCTCACTGCCTGCCCATTTGTGTTTCAGGCATCCTGACAAAAACAAAGATCCTGGAGCAGAAGACAAGTTCATTCAAATTAGCAAGGCTTACGAGGTATTGTGGCAGACTTTGTGATGCATCCATTAGTTCTGATAAAATATGCCTTAGGTGATCAGTTTTGTGAAGTCCTCTCAGAAAGCAGTGTCTCCTGTGCCCTTGACCCAGTTTCTACATGTTGGTAGAGAGAACATATTTGGCCACATCCAATATGTTGAAACTAGTGCCCGAGCACTTCAGCTCTTGAAAAAAACTGGCCTATTTTAAAGGCTTTAATTGGAGTTGTAGAATTACCCTGAATGTATGTCTGTTTCCTTTTTAGAAACTTACATTACATGCTTGCTTCGGCAGCACGTAGACTGGAAACATTAAAAAATCACAGACCAGGTTCCCATGTTTATTACAGTGACACAAGGTTACAAGTACATTTAAACACAAGATTTTCAACAGTTTTCCAGCATGTCAGCTTAAGTAGGTTGGTCCAGAACACGCGTAAAGATAGGTCCATGGGTCCTGATTTGTGGCGGGTGACGCTCTTCAACAGGCAGTGCTTAGTTCCTAGCATGACACGTCATCCTAAAACAGCTTCTGGAATTCTAGACTTCAGAGTTGTTTCTAAGTAAAACAAAGTCAGCTAACATACAGGACACTGAGCTCAATTCTGTGGCTACTTGTTGGTGTTCATAGCTTTTCATATCTTGATTTGAAGTATTCCAACTTACATGGTATGACCGAGTCAGCTTTCCTGTGGTTGAGCCCTGGTAATCAACATTACGTTTTTTCTTTATTTTACTGGTGTGTGACTGCATTTAGAACATCTAGCTATGCCATATCTTTCCATTTATTTTCTTCTTATGTCTTCCAAGCTGCTTACAGGAAAGCCCTCTGCGTGAACCTTTTTTTCCATTTTACAGATTTCTTATTTTTTTCCCTTTCTTCACAGATTCTTTCCAATGAAGAAAAGAGATCAAATTACGATCACTATGGAGATGCTGGAGAGAAGCAGGGCTACCAGAAGCAGCAGCAGCAGCGAGAGTACCGCTTCCGCCATTTCCACGAGAATTTTTATTTTGATGAGTCTTTTTTTCATTTCCCTTTTAATTCTGAGCGGCGGGACTCAATTGACGAAAAGTATTTATTGCACTTTTCACATTATGTCAATGAAGTGGTTCCAGATAGCTTCAAGAAACCCTACCTCATTAAGATCACCTCAGACTGGTGCTTTAGCTGCATCCATATCGAGCCTGTTTGGAAAGAAGTGGTTCAAGAACTGGAAGGATTGGGTAAGATAATTTTATTCATTGGAAGATGTTTGTATAGGAGAAGGTGACTTTTGTGTCTCCTGAATTTTGTGGGATGTTGGGGAGAAGGAACAGTTAATGAGATGTCCCTTCACAAATTCACGGTGACTGGTGTTTTCCAGGGACCCATTTTCAGAGAGGGGACTTGTATAGCCACTTTCATTTTGCATTACTAATTTGCAGCTTTCTGTAGTCTCCTAACATCTAGTTGGGGGCCTAATAGATAGGAGAAGCTTAAAAACTATTAGTGGAACAAAGCAGCCCTCCAGCATCAATTTTAATGCCGGTAGGATTTGCAGATTATTCTGTGAGTATTTGCAGGTATTCTTATGGTGTTTCTCTGCGTACTGGTTTGCCAGGGCTGTCATAACAAAATAGCACAGACTGGATGGCTGCAACAACAGACATTTATTTTCTCATAGTTCTTGGGGTTGACGTTCAAGATCCAGGTTTCGACAGGTCTGCTTTCTTCCGAAGCCTCTCTCCGTGGCTGGCAGATGGCTGCCTTCTCCCCGTGTCCTCACACGGTCGTCTCTCTGTGTGTACTTGTGTCTGTGTCTCACTCTCTCTTTCTGTGTCCTAATCTCTTCCTATAAGGACACCAATCCTATTGGACCAGGACCCACTCTAACGACCCATTTTAATTTAATTACTACTTTAAAGGCCCTCTCTCCAAACTCAGTGGTTGGGGCTGAGGGGCCTGGATTTCTCTGGAGAGAGCATATAACTGAAAACCATCTGTTCATTTCTTCTAAAACAGAAATTTTCCACCTGTTGTTCAGAGGTACTTAGATTTGCCAGAGTGCTTTCCTGAGGTTGAATAAAGTTGTTCTTGGAAGATGAGGGAACAAGTTTAGCACCGTGTCTTCCCTGTGGTGGGCGGTCAGTAGATGCTCACTGCTGGTGCATGGCGAGTGAGTGAGAGGTTGAGATCAGGTGGGAGCCACTGGCTGAACCGCTGCTTTATCACAAAGCATAACTGCATTTTAAGCCAGGCGAGGTGCATGCTGAAGACTGTTGAAACTCTTCAGTCTTAGGAGCTGACGTTAAGACCCAATAGCAGAACACAAGCATGAAACCATTGCATAATTTAGGATGGTAGTGTGTTTACACCAGCGTCAGATCAGAGCCAACGTGCCAGGCAAACATATGTGACGTGAAGCAGCATAGCTCAGTGGCTACCACTGTGACCATAGGCTGAGGGGTCAGAGAGAACGGGCTTCAGATCTCACCTCTGTCGTTTACTATCTTTGCGTCTTTGGACAAATTATTTAACCCAAGTGTTTTCATCTCTATAATGGCTTTAATAGTCTCAAATCAACAGATTGTTACAAAGATTAAATGAGGAAAATGTATGTTAAGTGCCTGATACATAGTAAGTACTTAAGAAATGAACCTTAGAGAATTTCTGATTAACTGGGCTTTCTGCTTTACCAAAGTAAAATTTTTTAAAGCACCTATTTTATAAACTTCTTTTAAAAATCTTTCTTAAATGTATTAGTCTACTTTGTTCAACTCACTGACTATCAAGCACCAACTTTTGACTTATTTTTAGTTAATTCTTGAAAGGAGATTAGCAGTTGGCTGGGCAGGGAACAGAGGAGTAACGTTCCAGGCAGAGGGAAGAGCGCAGGCAGGGAAGCAAAGAGCACCCACAGAAGAGCCAAGAGTGGCGTGTGACTGGGGTGTGGGTGGGAGAGGAGCACACAGGGAGCATGCTGGGAGCCAGGCAGTGAGGAGGCTGAAAGTCCAGGCTGAGGAAGCTAGACCTTATTTATCATTGGCTTTGGAAATCCTGGACTTAAAAAAAAAAAAAAAGACCTTTATTCTATTTCATCTACTTTGATAAAGACATCACTAAAGAAATATTCAAAGACTGTGGTTGGATCCTCTTCAGGTGCCTGGTTTTTGGACTTTATTTTATAGTATGTAATAAAGCCAGGAAAAGTATTTAAGTAGAGGAGTGATCTAATCGGAGCTACACTTTTCAAAGCTAGCTTAAAGCTGCATGCAGGACAGATTGAAGAAAGCGAGAATAGAGGTGGGGGGGTGGGAGAGCAGTTACCAGCCCTGGCAAGACAGCAACCTTTGGCCTGAACTAGGGTGGTAGGAATAGAGAAGAGAGGACGGGTGTAGGATATTGCAAGGGTGGGATCATAGAGGTCTGGAGGAGCCTGGCTCCTGGAGAGCGTTTGAATGTGAGAAATGAGGAAAAGAGGAGAGAGAAGGTCAAGATTGACTCTGCATTCTGTCTTGAGCTACTGGATGGGCAGGGAATACAGGGAAGAGTTGCATTTGGGGAGAAGTGGTTCTCAACAATAACTACAGCTTGGACATACTGAGTATGCTGACGTGAAAATAACACAAGCATAATAATAATAATAGCCTGTGTTTATTGAGAGTATACCATATGCCAGGCACTGTTGTAAGTATCAACTCACATTAAACAACAACCCTTTGAGGCAGGTGCTGTTGTAATCCATCTTTTACAGATACTTAGCTCACTTTTGGTATCTTGTCAAGGTCCCACAGTTGGTATTTGGCAGAGCTGGGATTCAAACCCAGGTAGTCTGGCTCCACAGTCCACGCGTGGAACATGATGCTGTACGGCCTTTCTGTGCCCTTAAATCTTAGATGATTGAAGATCTTGCCAGTCTTTTGGGTTATTGTGCTATATAATCCTAATAGTCAGGACTCAAAATGACAAGGATAGAAGCAGCCAGATTTAGATCCATAGAAGTGATATTTACTGAATATTTAGTCCGTTCCTCCACTCCACCCCCCAAGTCCCCTGGAAGGCAGGTTTTGACTAAATGTGTTAGATTAGTTTGCTCTATAAACCATTTTCCTCTTTGGAACATTTGGATTCATTGAAGATTCCTAACGGGTTCCACTTGGTTATGGTTGGGAGGCGTTGAGATGTGATCCTTACAGTACCTGTGGCCGTTCCCCGTCCAGGTGAGGCAGCATTATCCTTTAAGACAGTTACTGCAGCAAATGTTTCTATTCTTAGTTGACAGAAGGAGCAGACAATCAAAGATGAGCTGAGAGGTCTGGGGAAGCCTGGACATTATCTCAGAATAACATAAACGCCTGAGTTGCAGTTGAAGGAGAGACAACAGTCCTACCCCAGGAGAAATGCTGCAGCCGTTCAGGTGGAATCTGTGTTCATGCAATTTGGTAATAACTAGCGTGCGAAAGCATCCAGTGTTTATAGACAGCCATGCTGTGAAGGAGGGCCCAGAAACGGTCAGCTGACCTGGAGGAGCTTACTGTTTAGTTGAAGAGAAAATCTGTACCCAGGGAATTCACACCACCCTCACATTTGCACATACAGAATAATACAGAACTGCAGGAGTAAGTAGAGGATGACAAGGAATTCCTTCCATCTTCTCATTTAAAACTTTTTTCTTGATGAACCAGGTACTATATTAGACATTAAAGTGTACATTGTAATAATAGTTTTTAGTGAGCATTTCAGTTGTTTCGCATTATGCTGAATGTTTTGTATGGGTTGTCTTTATCCCCAGAGTAACCCAATGAGGGAGAGACTATTGTTATCCCTATTTTACAGATGAAGAAACTGAGGCCAGGAAGGTTCAGGAAATAGTCGAGGTCACACTGTTCATAAACAGCTGTGTTGGGATGTGGGCCCAGGAGTCTCACTCCCGGGTTCACTCTTTTAACCACTGTGCTGCCCTGCTTCAGAAATTAGTAAAACCTGGTCCTTGCACCCAGGAAACTCACATCGGAGATGCCCTGAATCGTACATCGCACCCAGTGCTTGCTGGGAGGTGCAGACAGAGCTCCCAGAGTGTGAGGGAGGGTGAATGTCTTGAAATCAGACATCATTTCAGGGAAACCCAATCTGGATGATCACGCAGCGATGATTCACCATGACTTCTTATTTACAAGGAAGGAATAATTCCTCTCTTTCGAGGAACTGCTAAGTACAGAACAATTTCATACTCTCTAGGAAAAGGGGCTACCTGGATATTGGGGGAAAAAAATTTTTTTCTGCTTTAGCTCCATGTCCTTGATTTTGCTTTATGTCGCATGGTTTTGCGTCTTAGTAGTTTATTTACTAACAGGTTTGTAGTTAGCCAGGTCTGACAGTTGTGTATTCTTCTACCTGGCTCTGTAGCCTCCCTTAAGGCATATGCAGAAGTTGAAAGAAAAATGAATGTGTGTATGCTCCAGAGAGGAAACAGAATTTCCCTAAAGGATGTGATACACATGTAGGATTGCATAATGAAGGCAAATATAATTTGGCACCTCAAAATAGAGGCATGACACAGAGATGTTTAGTACTGCACAGAAAGAAGACCCTCCTACAAACTCAAAAAGAGAAGAAAATATTAGTATTTTTAATTCCCCAGGCTCTGCAGATTAGCCAGAAACATCAATCCATATAAAAATCAAATAATATTTCTGAAAGAGATCACATATGCTTTGTCTTTCTTTTAAATTTGCTGCTAAAGTTCCTTCGGATTCTGGGCACCTCCCTGTCATCTAGCCAGGCAGGTTATGCTGAATCTGGATAAGGACATGTGAATAGTTGTACTTGCTGTTCGCCTAGCTGAGCTTGCTTTATGAACCCTGAGCTTTGGAGTGTAGAGAATTTGAAGGCAGAGGAGGAGGGGTGGAACTGTTGTTCACTGTGACTCAGAGACCCTAAGTCAGCGCCAGTCATTGTGGTCATTTCCCAGCTTGAATCTTAGGGAGAAGACAGTGCTGCCAACTTTTCTCACTCTTCCTTCCCAGCTGGGATGGGGGCAGGGTGAGAGTAGACCTGGACTTAATCTGAAGGGGAGAAGTAAAAAGCCTCTAGAGGGGGCTGGCGCCGTGGCTGAGTGGTTAAGTTCGTGCGCCCTGCTGCAGGCGGCCCAAGGTTTTGTCAGTTCGAATCCTGGGCGCAGACATGGCACTGGGCGCAGACATGGCACCGCTCATCAAACCACGCTGAGGCAGCGTCCCACATGCCACAACTAGAAGGACCCACAACTAAGAATATACAACTATGTACCGGGGGGCTTTGGGGAGAAAAAGGAAAAAAAAAATTAGAAAAAAAAAAAGCCTATAGAATTTACGAATGGGATTATAATAGTAAGACTCGAAGTCCTTTGTAGAAATGATCCAAGATAATAGCCTTTTAGATTTGGAAAACATTATGTGTAATGAAGGTGATATATCTAATTCAAAGGACTCAAAGGTAATTTTAAGTAAGAGAAATGAAACCTAATCACTTTTATTCTGTTTTAACTGGAAAAAAGGTATATTATGGGAGCATGGGAAAGGTGGGGAAAGGACAACATAAAGAGCAAGGGTTTGACGTTGTTTCTCACGCTCTGCACAAGGAAGAGGCAGGGTCAGTTGGAGGACGAAATCCACTCACATGGGGCAGTCTCGGTATCAGACTTCACCATGGTCTGGATGAAATAATACTTAATAGTAATAGTTGTGGTTAATTAGGCACCTGCTGTATTCCAGGCTCTGGGTTAGTTTCTTTTTTATATTATGTCATTTAATCCTCACAACAACTTGTTTCCGTTTCACCCATAAGGAGACTGAAGCTCAGAAAGCTTAAATGACTTGCCTAAGGTTGCACAGCTAGTGGGTAGCAGAGCTGATATTTGAATCTGGGTCTGTCTGACTTCAAATGCTTTACTTGATTCATTTATTTGTTTAAAAAAAAGTTGAGTGCCTACTAAGTGTCAGGAACTGTTCTAGATCTTAAGGATAGAGCAGTAAACAAAATAACCAGAAATCCCTGCACTCACAGAACTGCCATTCTGCTGAAGGGAGACAAACAAATAAATACGACGTGCGCTCTGTCCTGTGGCGATACAGTGCGGCGGAGCGGGGCGGGCACCGGGGAGTGCAGGGGAGAGGCTGCAGTGCGAAGTTGGGCAGATGAGGAAGGTCTCGCTGAGAAGGCGGCCCGCAAGGGGCAAGCAGGAGCTTCAGGGGCATCTAGGGGAAGAGCACATTGAACAGCAAGGGCACAAGATCTCTTCAGTTTGCCTTTGCTCTCCCAAGACTGCCTGTGCCCCTTGTCCTGATTCCAGGCCCACCAGCCATCTTTCTGATTACTGATCCTGGTCCCTGTGTGTCCCCAAATCTGGTAGCGGGTACCCTGAATGATGCAGTTACTGGAAAGGTGCGTATTCCCTGGGATCTGTTAATAAATTGGCATCTGGTCTGGGTGGTAATCCCTGGTAAGGTTGATTAGGGTGAGTCGGCCTCTAAGAAATTGACCCCTCCAGTCTTCAAAACCTAGGCTGGAAGAGGTCATTGGAGACGGGAAGGAGCCAGGCTTTGCAGTCAGCTGGGCCTGGGTGCACACTAACTGTGAAGCCAGGTAAGTTTTCCTCAGCCTCTCCAAGCCCCAGTTTCCTCATCCATGACGCTAACAGTCCTTACCACTCGGTGTTTGTGAGTGTGAAAAGTACACTGTATATAAAGTTCTAACTAGAGAGGGCTCAAGACGTGGTAATTCCACCCCTGGGCCTTTGCTGTGTGGCCACTTGACCTCCCTAGGTGGTGTTTCTTCTGACTTTACGTAAGACCAAATCTCTCAGTGTATATGCGCCTGCTATACTCTTGTTCTCTCTTCTGCTCACATCCTTCTTACTATATTCACGCTGTTCCATAGTTATTTCACTGCCTCTAGTGTGATTTACTAATGTACCAGACTTGGCTCTAGAACATCCAGTTTGGATTCTTGTTCTGCAATTTTACCAGCTCTGCAAACGGGGATACATTACTTAACCTCTCTGAATCTTTTATGTTAGCTGTAAAATGAGGGGAGTGGACTGTGTGGTGTCTAAGGTTCCTCCTTTCCGTACCTTGAGATTCTTCAAGGGTCACAGTCAGGTGACCTGCAGATAGATTTGTTTGTATACTCAGCAGTTTTAAAGTGTTATGTTTGTGAGCCAGGCCATTTCCTCAGCAATTCCATTTTTGGAGTTTAACTAGGAAATAATCGCACAAGGGCACGAAGATGTGTATACAAAGATGTACAAGGAAGCCCATCAAAACGCTCCTTATAATGGTCAAAGGCAAAAGGAACATCAAAGTGCAACAGTAAGGAATCGGTTAAATAGATTGATGGCCCAGTTTCAGTGAGCTCCTGCTGTGTGCCACGTTCTGTGCTGGTGCTCGGGGTACATCAGAGAACTAAACAAAGATCCTGCCTTCATGAGGCTTACCTTCTAGCAGAGGGAGACACATGAGAAGCAATCGACGGAATAAGGAAAGTGTGTGAGATGTTAGAAGATGGTAACTGCTATGGAAAAAGGGAAGGTGAGCGAGTTGAGGGGGGATCCTGAGTGTGGGGAGCACAGTTAAATATGGGAGCTGGGTGGGCTTCATTGAGGAGGACTCGCAGGTGGTGAAGGAGTCAGCTACACAGATGTCAGGGAGATACTCCAGGCAGAGGGAACAGCCAGCACCGAGGCCCTACGGCAGGGGCCTGCCAGAGCGTTGAAAGGAGAGCAAGGATGCTGGGGCTGGAGCGAGGTGAGTGTGAGTAGGAGAGGAAGGAGATCAGAGCGGGCCAGGGGCCAAATCACAAAGGGTCTTGTCGGCTTTTCTGACCAGTGTGGCTTTTATTCCGAGTGAAACGGGGAGTCTGCAGGGTTTGAGCAGAGGAGTGATGTGATCTGTGCTTATATTTTAGAAGGAACAGTCTGGCTGCTATGCTGGGAACAGGCTGCAGGGGACAAGGAGAAACAGGGGCACCATTTAGGAGGGTACTGCAGCAACCAGGGAAGAGCGATGATGACTCGGAGGGAGTATCACGAAAGTAGAGGAAAATGGTGGAATTTCTGGTATATTTTAAAGACAGCACCAGCAAGACCCACTGACAGATTGGATGTGGGATGTGAGAGACGAGAGAAGTTGAACATGACTCAGGATTTTCCGCCTGAGTAATGGGAGGGAGGGTGCTGCGATCAAGCGAAGTGGCAAAGGCCTGAGTGGAGCAAGTCTGAAGGCGGAGATGAGCAGTTCTTTTGGGGAACGTTAAGCTCGAGAAGTCTGTTAGACATGCAGGAGAAAAAGTGTTTTCACTGGCTGTTAGTATTTTATCTCCACTGGGTCCTCCAAATATATTGGTTGAATGAAAGATGAAGAAAAGTTATTCAAATATTATGTGAAAGAAGTATTAGACGATCCTATTTTATGTATACATGTGTGTATACAGACACACACACATACACTTATTTGTATAAGAAAAAATATGTATAGATACCAAAATATTAACAGTAGTGATATGGGTTATGGTGTTTGAGTGATTTTAGCTTAATTTCTTTCTCTTTTTAGAAATCTGTATTTTCTAAAATCTCTCTCTATATAAAAGAGAGACATGCTCTGAAGAGTGAGAAGACTATGACTTCTGTCAATAAATCATAGGTTTTTTTCAACCATTGCTAAGTAGTTGAAGAACCCTTGGATTGTTTGCAGATTTTTTCTTTATGAATAGGAACACTGTGAACAGCTTGCTCTCTTTTCTTTTGAAGTATTTCCTCATGATCTACTCCCAAAATTATAAAAAAGATGTAAAAATTTGTAGCTCTTCTTAAATATTACGAGATTACTCTGCAGAAAAACTGAACCGATTTACAGTTCCAGCAGTGAAAGGATGCTAGACAGTGCATTAGGAAAGACATCCCCTCCTACTATTTCACACCGAAAATTACTTAGCAGCATTTCTTTAGCTGCCATGGGGGCGTGAAAAGGCTTCACGTAACTCTTCCCTACTCACAGGTGTGGGAATCGGCGTGGTCCATGCCGGGTACGAGAGACGCCTGGCCCATCACCTGGGAGCGCACAGCACACCCTCCATCCTAGGAATCATAAACGGGAAAATCTCCTTCTTCCATAACGCAGTTGTCCGCGAGAACCTCCGACAGTTTGTAGAGAGTCTTCTTCCGGGGAACTTGGTGGAGAAAGTAAGTACCTGTCGAGGAAAATCTGGGAGAGTGGTTTACAGGGTGCCCAGAACTGCTGACTGCCCTGCGCTCTGTCTGCCGTCATCTCAGACCCGAGTTTCATTGTGAGCAGGGCAAGACACATAGTAATTAATTAATAACTCACACTAAATCATTTAAAGGAAGTCTGTAGGAGACTGAAGTTTGAAACAAATGAAGCACAGATTGAGAGAATTCATCCCTGTTAATAACCACTGTGAAGATTTATACTGTTGTGGGAATCTGAGCCTAAAATGACAGTGAGTCTTATTTTCTAAACAAAAAATGAGATCACAACATAGGATGAAGGATTTCTTTCCAACTCATGGATTTATTCATTTGAAGGTATTTGTCTTATGAAAGTATTCAAATTAAATTACATTTGGTTATATATATAATGATCATATATCTATAGAAAATAGCAGATACCATGAAATCAGCTATTATTTTTGGAACTTTCAAAACTTAGAGCAATGCAACAATATGAATAAATTTCACAAACAAAAGACTGAGCTAAAGAAGCCAGGCACAAAGAATTCATACTAGTTTATGGTTTTTATATTTAAGATGCATCTAATATTTTTCTTTCAGTATCTTAGCTTAGGGATCAAAGGAACTAGAGCTGGATTCTTATTTTGCTTTAAATGATTCATTCCTTTAACAATACTAAGTACAGACATTTCCGTCGTATTTCTCCATGCACTATTCATATACCTTCCCACAAGGATTATAATCATTATCCACAGAAGAAGCATTTATTGGAGTTAGCTTGAAAGGAAATTGTCAGAGAGAACTGTAGGCTCCTAAAACAATGATAGGTTGTCCTGAGGGTCCTCAAACGTTTATAAACTATCTGTTCTATGTCAGGCACTATGACAGGTGCTGAGGATGCTTTTCAAGGAGCTCCCTGCCTGGTGGGTGATTATTTCCATCCAATATGTTAAGAGCCCATCGTAGGGGCCGGCCCAGTGGCGCAGCGGTTAAGTTCGCACGTTCCGCTTCTCAGGTGGCCCCGGGTTCGCTGGTTCGGATCCTGGGTGCGGACATGGCACCGCTTGGCAAACGCCATGCTGTGGTAGGTGTCCCACATATAAAGTAGAGGAAGATGCGCATGGATGTTAGCTCAGGGCCAGTCTTCCTCAGCAAAAAGAGGAGGATTGGCAGTAGTTAGCTCAGGGCTGATCTTCCTCAAAAAAAAAAAAGAGCCCATCGTACGTAGAGAGTTGGGAAAGGCTTCCTGGCAGAAATGACCCTGTCCTGAGTCTGCCACGTGAGGGGAGAGAAGTAAGGAATGGGTTCCAGGCAGGCAGAGGTCTGGGACACGCAACAGCCTGCTTTGTATGAAGTGTCATTAGTGAGCAGAGAGGACCAGGTTTAGAGGGGTTGACAGAAATCTCACTGTGAGGGCCTCAGAGCCTTGACACCCCTTTAAGGAACTTGGGCCTTGGCCTGCAGGTGATGGAGCCATTGAAGGAGCAGAGGAGTGAAGTGATCAGATTCAGGTTTTATATAGATCATTCTGGAAGCAGAGTCGAAAAATAAACTATTTTGATAAACTATTTAAATTATGAAAAATTTCTAGATAGAAATTTGATTTATTCATGTTTTTTACTTGTTTTCTCAGGATTAATTTAAGGCATAAATAGTAAGAGTTCGAGTCTGTAAGAGCTGGAACATGTGAAAATATGAAATCAATTTCTCTGTTCCTTTAAATAGTTTTAGTTAAATGATGACAAAAGATTAGTTGTCTGCATTTTTTCTTTTTTATAAAACAATCTTTTACACATATTTGACTTTGTTTAATTATCTCCAGTCTGGATTATAATACAGTTATTGAAAATTAAATATTGAAACTAACACCCTCTTTTCAATTTAAGGTTACAAATAAAAATTATGTCAGATTCCTGTCCGGCTGGCAGCAAGAGAATAAACCACACGTCCTCCTATTTGACCAAATGCCCGTTGTGCCGCTGCTGTACAAGGTACTTCAGAGGCTGGGGTCATGTTTCCTCTTATTTTGGTGGAAAGAACTTGTCCTTTTTGTAAGTAGTAGCTCGTTCTGTGAGAAATGTTTGAAGACCAGAAATTGGCCTTAACCACCATATATTGAGCACCTAGTGATGCCACTACTGTGCTAGGGCTTTCCACACACATAATGGCATTTAGTCTTCAGAATACCCAACGATACGGGTATTAGCCCCATTTTCTAGACCAAGATACTGAAGCTTAGAGTGGTTGTATAACCTACCCAAAGTCTCCTACCGCGTACTGAATATTGATTCCCTTGAAGCCTGTCGTTCTCCACAGCGGCCCTCTGAGTGACGCCTGGTACTGCGCTTCCAGCACACCTCTGGTCGCCACTGTGACGTGAGATGGGAGAGGAGGTATCCCATGTAACCGCTGGCATGGTCACTGCCATCTTGCATAATTGGGGTACAGGTCATTCCTCAAACGCGCCATGCCTCCCACCCAGTGTAGATGTCAGTAAGATGAATATTTTGCTCTAGCTGTGAAGAAAGAGTTAGTTGTATTTAGCTTTGTTGGTACAGTTTTTGTGCACGGAACACCATAGACTTCCCACAAGGGTCCAAAGGTGTGGCAGCCCCAGCGGGCTGTGTAAGCTAGCATTCATCTCTATCCGCTGATGTGAACAAGTCACACTTGGTTTGTAGTTTACATGCAGTGCTGTCAGGTTAATTTCTTCCTCTCTATTATGCCCTAACAGTTGACTGCTTTTGCGTACAAAGATTATGTATCGTTTGGATATGTATATGTCGGTTTGAGAGGGGCGGAAGAGATGACGAGACAGTACAACGTCAACGTCTATGCCCCCACCATCCTGGTCTTTAAAGAACACACAAACAAGCCTGCAGATGCCATCCAGGTACGTGAGGGTCACCTTGTTTCAAGATTACTTTCGGGGCCGGCCCGGTGGCACAGCGGTTAAGTGCGCATGTCCCACTTCTCCGCAGCCCGGGGTTCGGCGGTTTGGATCCTGGGTGCGCACATGGCACTGCTTGGCATGCCCTGCTGTGGTAGGCATCCCACATATATAGTATAGGAAAATGGGCATGGATGTTAGCTCAGGGCCAGGCTTCCTCAGCAAAAAAAGGAGGATTGGCGGTGGTTAGCTCAGGGCTGATCTTCCTGAAAAAGAAAGATTGCTTTCACATTTTATCTCATATAAATAAACAGCAAAATTGAACAAAGCAGGTAAGGAGGAGAAACTAGTCTTTAATTTCTTCCTGCAGAGGTACAGAATTGTTTTTTAAAGTTTGTTTTTCATCTGATTTGGTCCTATTTTGCTTAAAAAATAATTTTTTAACAGAAAGTAGAATGGTGGCTGCCAGTCCAGAATGGTGGTTGCCAGGGACCGGGGGAGGAAGAAGTAGGGAGTTAGTGTTTAATGGGTACAGCTTCAGTTTGGGAAGATGAAAAGGTTCTAGAGAGGGATGGTGGTAGTGGTTGCAGAATAATGTGAATGTACTTAATGCCACAGAATTATACGCTTGAAAATGGTTAAAATGGTAAATTTTGTGTTATGTATATCTTACCACAGTGATAGAATAATAAATAATAATCTTTTACCTCTAAATTGCCCCTGTTAGAAAATCAATAATCTGGGGCTGGCCCATGGCCAAGTGGTTAAGTTGGCGCGCTCTGCTTCAGCGGCCCAGGGTTTCACCAGTTCAGATCCTGGGCACGGATGTGGCACCACTCATCAAGCCATGCTGAGGCAGTGTCCCACGTACCACAACTAGAAGGACCCACAACTAAAAATACACAACTAATGTACTGGGGGGCTTTGGGAGAAAAAGGAAAAATAAAATCTTTTAAAAAAAAAGAAAAAAAAGGAAAATCAATAATCTTATTCTAAAATAAATTTTAGGAATAAAATAAATTACAAAAATAAATTTGAGTTATATCTAAAATAATAATAAAAAAGAATAAAAAGACAACCGTAGGGGCTGGCCCCGTGGCCGAGTGGTTAAGTTCGCGTGCTCCACTGCAGGCAGCCCAGTGTTTCGTTGGTTCGAATCCTGGGCATGGACGTGGCGCTGCTCATCAAACCACGCTGAGGCAGTGTCCCACATGCCACAACTAGAGGGACCCACAACGAAGAATATACAACTATGTACCACGGGGGCTTTAGGGAGAAAAAGGAAAAAAAAATTAAAATCTTTAAAAAAAAAAAAGACAACCATAAACTAACTTAGAGAACATATAAGGGAATATTTATCTGATCTTAAGATAAGGAAGGGCTGAAAGCATTGGGAAAAATCTTGTTGGTAAATCTTAGTAACTTGATTATAAGTTCTAAAATTTTAAAGTTAAACAGCAAGCTGGGGAAATATTTACAACCAATATAAAAGCAATTAATATCTTTAATTTCTAATGAGCTGCTTTTAATCAAGGAGATCGGGGCCAGCCTGGTGGTGCAGCCGTTAAAAAAAATAAAGAAAAAATTTTCTTTATTAAGGTGAAATTCATATAATACAAAATTAACCTTTTTTTTTTCCTGAGGAAGATTTGCCCTGAGCTAACACCCACTGCCAATCTTCCTCTTTTTTTCTTTTTTATGTGGGCTGCCACCACAGCGTGGCTGCCAACAGACGAGTGGTGTAGGTCTGTGCCTGGGATCTGAACCTGGGCCGCCAAAGCAGAACATGCTGAACTTAACGACTAAGCCACTGGGGCTGGCCCAAAATTAACCATTTGAAGTGTGCAATTCAGGGGCATTTAGTACATTCACAGTGTTGTGTAACCATCACCTGTATCTAGTTCCAAAACATCTTCATCCCCCAAAACTCTGGACCCATGAAGTGGTCTCTCTTGGGAAGCTGTGGGTTGATCTCCTTTTCGTTTTTGAGGAAGATTAGCCCTGAGCTAACATCTACTGCCAATCCTCCTCTTTTTGCTGAGGAAGACTGGCCCTGAGCTAACATTTGTGACCACGCTGTGGTGGCAGCCCACATAAAAAAGAAAAAAAGAGGAAGATTGGCAGTGGGTGTTAGCTCAGGGCAAATCTTCCTCAGGAAAAAAAAAGGTTAATTTTGTATTATATGAATTTCACCTTAATAAAGAAAATTTTTTAATAAAACTTCCCAAGAAAAATGGGCTAAGAATATGAATGAGATTCTGAGAAGAGATTTAATAATCACTTTTTAAAAATTGATGTTCAAAAAAGAAATTGGATCTCATTAATAATCAAAGAAAGGCAAATTTATTTCTTCTCCCATCAAATTGTTAAAGATTTTCAAAATAAAAATACTCAATAGTATTGAGAATGTAGAGAAACAAGCACCCTTTTTTTTGCCTTGCTGGAGGAAGCTTCAGAAGTTTCCAGGTTTTCAGGAAAGCAGTTGGGTGATAATGTATCAATTGCCTACGTTCATTCAGCAAAAGAGTACTCCTGAGTCCTTGTTCTGTGCCCAACGCTACTCTCCGTGCTGGGGAAACCAGCAGAACTCCCTGTCCCATGTTCTGGTGGAAGTGACAGACCATCAGTATAACATACTTTATTATATGTAGTCTGTTATATGGTCATAAGTGCCAAGGAGAAAAGGCAGGAAAGGAATGTGGAGTATTGGGGGCAGAAGGTTCCCATTTTTAAGGCAGACTGGCCAAGAAGGGCCTCATTAAGATGATACTTGAGTGTAGACCTGGGGGAAATGAGGTTCCCCTTTAGGAATCTATCCTAAGGGAACAGGAACTCAGACGAGGAATTACATACGGAGACATTAAGTATATCCATAACAGCGAAAATGGGGAGGAAATACAAATATCCAACAGTAGATAATTACTGGAATATCCCAAACAGGGACTGTTATATACCCATTTAAAATGGCAATTCAGGGGTACTTAATGATGGGGATGATTTTCATAACGTAATGTTAAAGAACAAACAGGGTGCAAAATTGAGGTCCCTCAACATATATCAGGTCTCAACTCTATCTGTGGTCGTCTCAGACCTGAGTTTCACTTTGAGGCGGGCAAAACACATAGTAACTAATTTCTCCAACTTAATCATTTAAATGAAGTCTGTAGGAGACTGAAAATTGAAACAGACAAAGCACAGAGACTGAAAGATCTCAGCACATATCAACTGTATATACAGTTTAAACATTCATCTCAATTTCGTAACGTGATCTGTGGGTGTGCATACAGGTGCATAGGAAAAAACTGGAAGTAAATACATCAAAACGTTAGTAGTTATCTCCTGATGGTAGAATTATATGTTATTTTAATATTTAAGTTTTCAAAAGCCCCTATAATAAACATGTGTTATTGTATTTTTTAATGTTTTTTTTTTAAACAATCATCAAGGACCCTTTGATTTACCTTCTTTGAAAGGAGGCTAGAATGAGAACAAGAAATTCTATAAAATCCTTTATTTCATTCACTCAGAAACCTTTCATTTCCTGCCTGCTACGTAGTAAATACAGAGCCAGCTCTGACATCCAGAGGTAGTCTTTTTTTTTTTTAAAGATTTTATTTTTTCCTTTTTCTCCCCAAAGCCCCCCGGTACATAGTTGTGCATTCTTTCGTTGTGGGTTCTTCTAGTTGTGGCATGTGGGACGCTGCCTCAGCGTGGTCTGATGAGCAGTGCCATGTCCGCGCCCAGGATTCGAACTAACGAAACACTGGGCTGCCTGCAGCGGAGCGCGCGAACTTAACCACTCGGCCACGGGGCCAGCCCCCAGAGGTAGTCTTTGTCCTCAAGCAACTCAAAGTCAGGAGAGGAGAGAGACCTAAAGGCAGTTTCCATCCATCTTCATAGATGCCTCACTTAGGTGTATCGTAAACTCAGTGCCAGGTGAACATGGAGGGTCCCTGAGACTGGGGACAGGAGAACGATGTCATGTGTGGCAGACCGGATGGGAAAGTAGGTAGTAGGGAAAGAAGGGCTTGTTTAGGGACAAGATAATAAATTCAGTTATGGGTATATTGACTTAGAGCTGCCTATGGGGCATCGAAGGGGAGACGTCCATCAGGCATGGGGTCTAGGCATCTGGATCTCAGGAAAGGCAGGTGAGCTGGGGACAGAGATTGGTGGGTCATCAGTGACCGGTTAGAGGTTGAAGTCTTGACTGTGGGAGATTCCCAGGCCTGGTCTGTAAAGTAAGGAGAGAGGGGGCCATGGACACACTCTGGGCAACCACCAGCAAAAGAGGGGGTACCTCGTGGCGACTGAGAAGGACTGAGAGAGAGTCAGGAAGAGAACAAGTGCCCAGTTGGAGAGAGAAAATCGTCTCAATCCAAGGTTAATCTATGGAGATTTCTTAAATTGCTTTTTAGTAATAGCTTATACTCTTCAGAATTGTTATTTATGTATCCCCTGGAGAAAATTGTAAGTCAAACACGTTTACAAAATTACTGGTACAGTGGATGCTTTACCAGTTTGCTCTTTATGGATATAAATGTGTGCTTATAAACCGGGTCCTCCCAACAGCAAGTGGCTTAGTGTAACACAGTGGCACCGGTTGTTTCGTGTAGCTCTAGTTCCCTCGTTTTCATTTGCTGTATAGTGTCTATGCCACATTATAGTGTGTTTACTCCGTCTTCCGTTGATGGACATTTCGGGGCTTTAGGAGCAGTACTGCATGGACGTTGTGTGTATCCCAGTGCACCCATGCACACGCTTCTGTGGGACAGCGGTTTTCAGAATGTGGCTCACCGACCCCTGAGGGGGGTCCCAAAGGCCCTGTAAGGGAGTCTGTGAGATCAAAACTGTCTTCATGATATGAAGACGTAATTTGTCCTTTTTCTTTGTATTGACGCTTGCACTGATGGTGCACAAGCAATAGTGGGCAGAGCCACCTGTGCACAGCGGAGTGCACAGCCAAGACCTGGGCAGCCGGCTGCTGGTGGGCGTGTGTTCTTTGCTCCTAAGCCCTTGCCGTAGAAACAACCAGAAACAGCACTCATGCCACTCAATAGCCTTCATGAAGCAGTAAGAAGGGTAAATTGAATCAGTCAATAAACTGCCCCTGAGTTCACCTCTTCTTGATATTTTTAATCTCCTGTGTGACGGAATGGGAGGTGTGCATAAAGCACTTCAGCCACTTGCCCAGGTACAAAGATTGTCTAGAGGACAAGCATTTGTGTGGTTGCTTAACTCGAGTTTTGAACTAGCCACTTTTTTAAGACAGAACATCATTTTTACTTGAAAGAATAACTGACAGACAACAGGGGCTGGCCGGTGGCCAAGTGGTTAAGTTTGCACACTCTGCTTCAGCAGCCTGGGGTTCATGGGTTTGTATCCTGGGTGCAGGCATACACACTGCTCATCAAGCCATGCTGTGGCAGTGTCCCATATACGAAATAGAGGAAGATTGGTAACAGATGTTAGCTCAGGGCCAATCTTCCTCACCAAAAAAAAAAAAAACAAAACGAATAACTGACAGACTACTACGGTTATTCAGACTTGGGTATTTGGCAGACATGTTCTCAAAAATGAGTGAAGTGAGCAGTTTAAGGGAAACAACTGACAATGTTTGCTGCCGGTGGTAAAATTTAAGCTTCTGAGAAAATGACAATTTTGAAAAATTTGTATTGGCCACCATGACCTTGACAGCATCTCAAAACTTTCTGATGAGATTGGTGCATCCATACGATTTTTTTGATGTGTTTAATAAAATTCCTCAGCATTTGGAAGATCAGTGAACCAATATTTTCCAAATGACTGATGCACGATATTACAAAATCACACGTGAGTAAAAGACCCATTCTCAGTGCAAGGTGGTCAGTGAATCTTCATTTAACACAGTATTAGAAGTTCATTGGATTTGCATGGCAGCTGACCTTTAAGACATTGCCATTTATCAAATTTTGGTGTAGTGGCAAAGAAGAATATCCTCAGTTATCTGAAAAAGCTGTTAAAATAAACCTCCCTTTTCCAATTATATATCTGCATAAGGCTGGATTTTTCACCCGAAACAATCTATCACTACAGGTTGCGTGTAGAAGCAGATATTAGAATCCTCCTGTCTCTTCCGTGAAGGCAGACGTTAAAGAGATTTGGAAAAATGTAAAGCAGTGCTTCTCTTCTCACTAAACATTTTTGGTTTTAGAAAATATTATTTTTCATTTAAAAATGTTATTTGTGTTAACTTGTATGGGTTTGCTGTTATTTTTAAATGAATTAAGTATATTTTAAGTTTCTCTTTTAATTTATAATGTATCTAATAAATATCAGTAGATAAAAATCACATAAACAAAAGCTCTTTGGGGTCCCCAATAATTCTGAAAAGTGTAAAGGTGTTCTGAGACCAAAAAATTTGAGATGTGTTGCTCTAGGTACATCTGGTTGCAACACTGCTGGGCCCTGGAATATGCAGATCTCCAACTTTGCTAGATGATGTGTTTTCCAAGGTGATGGTGCCGATTTGCATTTCCCCCAGTCATGTGTGAGCGGTCTGTTGCTCCACCTCCTTGCCAACACTAGGCCAATTTAATTTTTCTGAGTTGACGGAATATGTAATGGTATCTTGTGATTTAGCTTTGCGTTTCCCTTATTTACAACAAAGCTGGAGTGCCTTCTCATTTGTCTCTGGGCCTTTTGGATTTCCCCTTTTGTGACATGCCTGTCAAGTCTTTTACTCTTTTTTCCTACTGGATTATCTGCCTTTTTGTTAGTGATTTGTAGAAGTTTATTTGTGTGTTATGCCTTTTTCCCCTCCTCTTTTATCGTTTATATGTGTGGCAAACATCTTCACCCATTCTGTAACTTGTCTTTTCATTCTTTCTGTGGTCCCCTCCCTTTACATTATTTACTGAAGTACGATGCACATGTAGAAAGGTGCACAAAGCAGAAGTGTAGAGCTCAGTGAATTATCACAGAGCGAGGACATTCATGTTAGCAGCACTTGGGTCAGGAGATAAAATATTGTCAGCACCCCAGAAGGTGCCTTCTTCCTCCTCCTTCCCAAGGGTCAGCGCGGTCCTATTTTCCAACAGCAGCGATTAGTTTTGCCTGGTTTTGAATTTTATGCACATGGAGTCACGCAGCGTATACCTCTTGCGTCTGGCTCCTGTCAGCTTGTTTGTGAGGTTCACCTGTGTCATCTGTGGAGCCTGGTATGAATATGCCACAGCGTATCTGTCCGCTCTACTGTTGACAGACATTTGGGTCTTCCCAGTTTGTGGTTATTTGACTAATGATGCTATGAATATATTCTTGTATTTGGTGACTTTTTGATGAACATAAGTTCTTACTTTTAATATATTCACTTGCATCAATATTTCCTCTTATGATTGGTTCTTTTTCTTTACTATTTAAGACATCTTTCCATACACCACGATAGGGAAGATTTTCTTCTCATGGAACTTCTATAAGCTGTATAGTTTTGCCTTTTCTATTTAAGCATAAACCATCTGGAAATGGTCTTGATACCCGGTAGACAACCCTTCTCACTTTGTTTTTTGGGTTTTGGTGGGGAAGGAGTCTCTTCAGAAGTATCTTAGCTCCTCTTGGTCTTTTGTACTTTTTGTTTACATTTTCAGTTCTGTCTGTCAAGTTCCATCAGAACAAACCAAAAAACCCCTGTTGGAGTTTTACTGGGTTTGTGTTGATTCTTTAAATTAGTTTGAGGAGAAGAGACATCTTGACAAAATGGAGCCTTCCAACCCATGAACATCGTATCTGTTTCGTTTAGGTCTTCTGTACTGTATCTCCATAAGGTTTTATACTCTTCTCCATAAATACCGTATTTCTTTCCAGCATATTTCTAGGTACTGCATAGTTTCATACTTTTTTAAAGGGCATCTTTTTTTTACTACTTTTTCTGTTGGCTGGTATTAAGTAATATAATTGTTTTTTAAATACTGACTTTGTATCCAGCAACCTTGCTAATCTCTCTTATTGATTTTAATAATTCATCTCTGTCACCTTTTGGATTTAGTAAGTATGCAATCATGTCATCTGAGATTAATGTCAATTTTGCTGCTGCTTTTTCCAGCCCTGTTTCATTTCTTTTTCTTACCTTACTGCCGACCTCTGGTGCGACATAGAATAGAAATGTAGTGATGGGGGCATCCTTGTTCTCGATCTCCATTTCCCCTACAAGGATGATGTTTGCAGAAAGCTTTTTGTAGATATCCTTTATCAGATGATGGAAGTTCCCTTCTATTCATGAATGGTATTGATTTTTATCAAATACTTTTTCCATGTATATTGAGATTATCCTGTTTTTTTTCTTCTTTAATCTTCTGTAATGTGCTAAATCATATTAATTTAGTTTCTAATGTTAAACGTAACTTGCATTCATTAAATAAACCCAACAGGATCCTGATTTATATTATGCTTTCAGTACGTGGGATTCAGTTTGCTAACATTTTGTTTAGGACTTTTGTTCATTTCTGTTCAGAAATGAGATTGACTTCTGACTTCTCTCTTCTGATGGCCACCTGGGGCTTTGCATCATGAAATGAGTTGGGGTATGTTCTCCCTTGTTCTACTCTTAGAAAGACTTTATATAATATTGGATTGTCTTCCTTGATAGTTTGGTTGAAAACATCTATAAAACCATCTGGGCCTTCACTTGTGTTTAAGGAAAGATTTTTGACTACTGATTCACCTTCTTTAATAGTTATAGAACTATTTAAGTTTTCTCTTTTTTTCCCTCTGGATATTGCTGTATTTTTCTAGAAATTTCTCTATTTCATCTGAATTTTCAGATTTGTGTGTGTGTGTATGTGAGGAAGACTGGCCCTGAGCTAACATCTGTTTGCTGATCCTCCTCTTTTTGTTTGAGGAAGATTGTCACTGAGATAACATCTGTGCCAATCTTCCTCTGTTTTATGTGGGATGCTGCCACAGTGTGGCTTGACGAGCGGTGCTAGGTCTGTGCCCAGGATCTGAACCTGCAAACCATGGGTTGCCATGTGGAGCATGTGAACTTAACCACTGCACCACTAGGCTGGCCCCTAAATTTTCAGATTTAAACAGCTTTTTCTGTTTTTTAACTTCTGCAGCATAGGTAACGATTCCTCCTTGTCATCCTTGGTAATAGTTATCCGTGCCTTCTCTCTCGTCATGATTGGTTTTACCAGAGGTTTATCAACTTTATTTAGCTCTTCTAAAGAACCAATTTTGGTTTTGTTAATTCTTGTTGTTATATGTTTGTTTTGTTTCATTGATTTCTATTTTTATCTCTATTATTTCCTTTCTACTTTTATATTTTTGCTGTTTCTTTTTAACTTCTTGATATAAATGTCTAGTTCATTAGTTTCTTTTCTATTACATGCATTTTAACAGTACCCTCCCAGTACTACTTTTTCTGCATCCCAAAGTATTTCCAAACATAAAGAGATTTTCTGGTTTACCTTATGTATTGATTTCTAGGTTAACTGTGGTCAGAGAACCTGCTAAATATAATTTAAATCCTTCAAAATGTATGAAAGTTGGTAATAACAGAGGTCATCATGCAGTTTTGTAGTCTGCCTTTTATACTGAGTAACACTGTTACTTTGGAGTTTATTTTTAATTGTTCAGTTTGCTACAAATCTTGAATGGAAGTAAATTTGCCTAAAATTCAAAATGATTAACTTTTTAAATCTGCCAGCATAAACAGTATCCGAAAGTTTTCCAGTGGAAAGATCACTCGATTTTCCTTTTGACCCGAGACAGCTGCATCGTTGCTTTCAGCCCTGCATTGTTGAAATGGATAACTGCGTGTTTTATTTGCTCAAACAGGTCTGTCTGATTTGGTTGTATTGGTTTAGCCACGCTCAGCCACATTTTTAAGTGTGTAAGTAAAGCCCATTTGCAGTGAGAAAACTGAATAAAAATCAACCCTTCCTTGGTTTTTCTGCAGGCCCGAGGTCTGAAGAAACAGGTCATTGACGACTTCATCACCCAGAACAAGTATCTATTGGCAACCAGGCTCACCAGCCAGAAGTTGTTCCAAGAGCTCTGCCCTGTGAAGCGGTCTCACCGACAGAGGAAGTAAGGACTCAAGGCTTTGCCTCTGCTTGTCACCGCAACAGAGGGGCGTGTGGATTTTACTAGAGGGCAGTTACCGTCTACCTGTGACAGTCAGAAGTTAGTCTTCACTTAACAATATTGACTAACAACTGTGATAGTGGTAGGGTGTGCTAGTCTAGGACCAAATTATTGGATGTGCCAGCCTGGCCTAGGGGTGAGAGACAGTCTCCCTAAGAGGTAACACTTCAGCTGAGACCTGAAGGATGAGTAGACGTCAGTCAGCTGTCAGGCAGAGACTAAGGCACTTTAAAGAAGCATGGAATATGAGAGAGTTACTGTTCCTACTAGAGTACTCCACACAGGGTGAGTCTTTGCTGGCCTTGGAGAGGGTCTTGGAGTGGAGTCAGGATAATGACTATACAGGAGGGAAGTGTTGGGTACTAAGGAAATGTTAAAATAGTTAGCTGGGGATGAGAAGGCTGAGGCATACTTATTCATACAGAGTGTCTAAAAAGTTTGGAAATACAGGGAAAATATTTATTATACCTCTTTCAGATTAACGAATCAGTGGCTTTAAATTGAGGGCTGTTTCATCTGTGAAAGCTGTCTGGATATGAAAGGAAAACATGTTGATCATATTATTTGAAAATATAACTAAAATATTGTTTAAAATAAGAAAATTCCCCTGTTTCCAGACTTTTCAGATTCCTTTACAGACTTGAGAGAAGAAGGACTTTAATTGAATATAAAGAAGAGAATCTAGACTTTAAGGATTGTTAGTTACACAGCCTTTAAAAAATACCCCAAATCCACTCGCTTCTCACCTTCTTTACCACTGCCCCCCAGAAAAGGCCCCCGTCATCTCATCGAGACCACCGTGTTAGCCTTCCAGCCAGGTCTCCACACGTCAGCCAGGGATCTTCCCAAAACTGAATTGGATCAAGTCCCACTCCAGCTCGGGGTCTTTGCACTTGCAGTGCTGTCTCCCTCGAATGCTCTGACCCCATTTCCTCTTATGGCACACTTCATTCAGGTCTCTGCTCAAACATCACCTTTGCAGGTGACATTTCCCTGACCAGCCTGTCTAACTGAGTGTGACTCCCAACCCAGCCTGGACTCTCCCTCTGCCCTTCTCTTCTTTGTTTTTTTTCCATAACACTTGCCACTGTTTGTCACGATGTATCTATTTATTTGTTGTCTGTGTTACGTGGCATATAGTACGTGCTCAGTAAATACTTGGGCGGCTGAATGAATGATTAGCTCACTTTCCATTGGGACCATTGCACAGGAAGCCCTTCAGAATGAGGCTCAGCAGCCTCGGGCCTGCGACAGCATCGGCCAGCCCTGCCTGCGGTGGAGGAACTTGAGCAGATGGCTTCTGAAGGGCCCCCTGCATCGAGGCTTCAGTGACCGTTGCCTTAAAAGAAATTCCTAAACTTTGTAAAGTTTGGTTTGGGGAAAACCTCACCAGTGTGGAAAAGAAGCAGGTCATTAATGGCCTCGAAATCTTCTCTCATTAGAAACTTGCAGGGTACAGTTTCCTTAATAAAATGTGTTCGCCTCTATAAGATGAGCACAACCTCTTCTTCACCTTCCCCTGCCGTCACAGCTTCCAGCTACGGCCTTGGGGACTGGTTATGAAGTCTTGTCTCTGGTTGTTGTGCAGGTATTGTGTGGTTTTACTGACCGCCGAAGCTACCAAGTTAAGCAGACCCTTTGAGGCCTTCCTGTCCTTTGCCCTGGCAAACACACAGGACACAGTGAGATTCGTGCACGTCTACAGCAATCGGCAGCAGGAGTTTGCCGACACCCTACTACCGGACAGTGACACCTTTAAAGGGAAGTCAGCGGTGAGTCCTGGATTCTCTCTGACCCCAAGCGCTTCACGAGCACATGGCACTTGATTCTGTTTCCTCCTTCCTCAGGAGTTTTGAATACAGATCCCAGGAAATACAGAAATCTCTGAGCCTGTTTCGAAAGCCTACCCTTAAAACAGTCTTTTGCCCTGGTGATTTCACCTCCTAGGTTTTTAGCCTTGGACCTTCACAGAAAGCATCTTTCCTATGAGTACAGATTAAAATGTGTCAGTCCTTGTCAGCAGCTCTTCCCCATGGCAGGTCTAGTCTTGCAGGACCCAGTTTGTGCAATCTTCCTTAGGCTGCCAGGAATATGCTTTCAAAATTCCTCCCTCCTGTGCTTCAGCCTACCTCGTCTCTCCTTCCTCTCCCCTCCTTTGTCGTCACTCTACAGAAGCACGAAATTCTTCTTTTTCATTATTTTGGTAATCATGGAAAATCTTTTTAAAAAACAAAGATTTCCTTCAGTATAATATTAAGCCAAAGGTTATAAAACAAAGTCTGTTGAGAAGAAAGAGCTTTAACTTCTAACAAAAGCTTTGGAAAGTTGCCATAAAAATAATTTCTTTTGAAGGAAAAATTTAAATCCCTTGCAGATATTTTATACTCATGCATATCTGTGTTTGAGCTTATTGCTGGCTTCACTAGACTCTTTTTTCCATCCTCCGTGAAAAAAAACCCGAACAACAATAACTGACCATTCTTTTGAGACTTCTAATGGTTTTTCTCTCTGTCTCGCAGGTGGCTATCTTAGAGAGGCGCAACACGGCAGGAAGGGTGGTATATAAAACCCTGGAGGATCCCTGGACGGGCAGTGAGAGCGATAAATTCATCCTTTTGGGTTATCTCGACCAACTGCGGAAAGACCCAGCTCTGCTGTCCTCGGAAGCTGTGCTCCCCGACTTGACCGATGAACTTGCCCCTGTAAGCATGTGGCCCGGGAGAGTGGGCTCCGGGCACGGCTCCTGAGCTCCCAGGGCCCACGCGGAGGTTCGGCAACAGCACCGAGTTGGGGGCAGGGACTTCCCCCCAGGACTCAGGGATTCAGTCCTGACCATCGTCCATTTTCTCTCAATAGATTTTTCTCCTTCGGTGGCTATACTCTGCTTTTGACTACATCTCAGACTGCTGGGATAGCATATTTCACAACAACTGGTAGGAATATTGCTGGATTGAATTTCTTTTCCTCCATTAATACCAGGACCACTGTTCTGCTTTTGAAAAGACTCTGTTCTTTGATTTCAGTGTGCACTCAGTGTAGGCAAGTGCAAGAATGTTTACACATTTTCAACAGCTGTTCCCTTTTTCCTCTCTTTCAGTAACTTCACATTTTTTATATTTGCTGAGTGACCCTTTCCCACTAGTTGGGAAAGAAAGGATCACCCTGGCTGCCCTTGCAGACAGCAGGGCCTGGGGCTGTCCTCTGCACTGGGGTACCCCTGGTGCCACTCCTTGGCCTGACACACGTGGGCTCCAGCATATAGATGTAAAACGGATCCGTGACTTAACCAGAGGAGGAGGGCTGTCCCACTCCCACCCCAAGAAGCCTGTGAGCTCCTGAGGGGCAGACCACTCCTCGTTCATGTCTGTGACTCCTGTCCCCCCGCACAGTGCCTCTGATGGCTGTTTGTAGGTGAATAAAATTAGAGCGCCGATCCTAGAGAAAATCTTGAAAAGTCAACTTTTTCTCCCTACTCCGTCGCTCTGGGTTACATCTGAATTATTCTGGCCAGAAAAAAATTATTAAAATAAAGGAAATAATTCCATAGACTTTTTAGTCAGTGAAATTGCCCGCAACATCAGTATGTTCTTCCATGTTCACAACTGAAGTTTTTGTTACCCCTCTGTTTCCTTCTGCAGAATTTATTAAGCACAGCCTGTTATACTGAGAAACAAAATCCAACCTTTAGCGTAAGCTGTGAATTAGAACAGTAAGGAAAAAAGAATCTCTGCTTTCCCCACCTCCACGACTCCCCCCAAAAAACCCTCTATTTGCGTGAAATTAGAAAGTGTTTATTGATATGAAGGCATTTTGGTTTGGGGTTGTTTAGGGGGTTCTTTTGGGTTTTGTGGTTTTTTTGAGCCAGAGAGAAGAAACCTGAAACCATTAATGGACACATCACAGCAACCCAGCTAGAGCTGAGCCGAGTTTGTTAACTTTGTTTTAGGCGGGAAATGATGCCCCTGCTGTCGCTGGTCTTCTCTGCCCTCTTCATCCTCTTCGGCACCGTCATCGTTCAGGCTTTCAGGTAAAGGCGTCCGTGCTTCCCAGTGCGATTTCGGAAGGGTGAGCCCCAAGCCTCCAGGGTTGTTGGTACGCTTTTTTAGTAAAACTCCTTTTTTCTTACTTTAGTGACTCAAACGATGAGCGAGAGTCAAACCCCCCAGATAAAGAGGAAGCCCATGAGAAGGCCGGGAAGACTGAGCCAAGCTTCTCCAAAGAAAACAGCAGGTTTCTCTCACAAAACACCAACCCCCCCCGCCCCCCCCCTCCCGCCAGCAGCAGCCCGGCAGACATGTGGTCTGAGGAAGCGGCGTCTGCGTATGGAGTAAACCTAAGAACGCCGCTCCCTCCCCTTCGTGTGAGACGTGGATACAGGGAAAGGTTGCTGCCGATCAGTGGCTGCTGAGGAGGTCCTCAGGCATTTAGACACAGGACTAGTCATCTTCCACTCAGTACCTTCGGTTTCTCAATCCCAGATTTAATAATGAGGGCAGGCAGCAAAGAAGCAGGTCAAAGAGACGCTAGATGAGCCGGAAGCAGAGAATGGTGCGTCACCATAACTGTGTTGACGACCTTCGTCCCCTCCTGAAGCCGCTTCTGCGCCGACTGAACGGCAGCATCTGAAAGGCTCTTTATAGGCCCGGGATTACCTGGTCCGGGTCATCCCCATCCTGCCAGCGTGTCAGGCTTAAGACTATTAAATAACATGTCTAGTCTTGTTAGGACGTAGCATTTTCTTCTGCTTGTTCCTTTTAAAAGTAATGGCGTTCCCCTGTCCTGATAACATCTTAATTCCTCAATATTTCTCTACAGCAAGATTCCTAAAAAAGGCTTTGTGGAGGTAACGGAACTCACAGATGTGACATACACCAGTAACTTGGTACGCCTGAGGCCAGGCCACATGAACGTGGTCCTCATCCTGTCAAATTCCACCAAGACCAGCCTACTGCAGAAATTCGCTTTGGAGGTCTACACGTTCACTGGGTAAGCTTGTGTGTGTGTGTGTGTGTGTGTGTGAAAGAACATGCACATTTAGGTAAAGAGGGCACTAGAGGGAAATTCTGTCCTGTCCTCTTTGACCTTGAGGGACTTTATTTGTGCAGCAAGCTGTTGGCTGTGACCTTTCCAATCTGGAAATCTAAGCTATTGTGCGGGGACCTGTTCTCCCCTTGATTTCATGTTCTGTTGGTTCTGAACAGAAGAGCTTGCCTCAGTCGCCTTCCCTGAGCCCTTTCAGGACACTGACCATTCTCTAGCTTTTGTGTATTTTCCTGAAACCAGACTCTGAGGGTGACGTATGTGACACCCAGCAAGGGATGGGGAAACGGATGAGTGGCATTTTGCAGCTGCCGTAGGAGCCCCCCAGCTCCCACAGAAATCCTGCATTTTTTCTGTAGTCGGGCCCCATCCAACACAAAGCCTTTTCCTGTTATTTGAAGTTTGACTGAGGTATTTATGTTCCCTGCAATTAAATGTTCGGAAATGCCCTCAATCCTCATTCTCTTCTTCCTACAGGAGCAGCTGCCTACACTTCTCCTTCCTGAGTCTAGATAAACACAGAGAGTGGCTAGAATACTTATTAGAGTTTGCTCAAGATGCAGCCCCGATTCCAAACCAGTATGATAAACATTTCATGGAGCGCGACTACACTGGGTATGTCCTGGCTCTGAACGGCCACAAGAAATACTTCTGCCTCTTCAAGCCCCAGAAAACGGTCGAAGAGGAGGAAGCCATGGGGTCCTGCAGTGATCTTGACTCTTCCCTCCATCCGGGTGAATCTCGAGGGAAGTCTCCCTGTGGCCTTGGATCCAGGCCCATCAAAGGAAAATTGAGCAAGCTGTCCTTGTGGATGGAGCGCCTGTTGGAAGGCTCCTTACAGAGGTTTTATATCCCGTCATGGCCTGAGCTAGACTGAGAGGACTTCAAAAAGAGACTTGAACTCTTCAGACTGTTTAACAGGCCCCTGTGAACAGGTATTTTCAGGACTCAAACTATCACAATGAACAGAGTATAGATTTTAGATTATTCTTCTAGAACAATGGCTAGAAGAATCTTTCCTTTGTCCTCTTCTAACCTAGGAGTGAAAAGCACCACAAGTTGAACTCCCTAGGTCAAAATATCTTCCTTTGGGTTTTTTCCCTCATTTGAATGCCGCACTATTTAAAACAGACTGCTCCTTCCCTCTTCCTTTGTTGTCCCCGTCACGTGCACATGCCACCCTCCCCTGTCCAGCCTCTGTGCTGTGGGAGAAGCACAGAGCTCAACGCTGCAGCAGGACCCGGACGGACCCTCAGGAGCCTGGCGTGCTGGTCGGGTCTGTTCCTTGCCCTCTCTGCCCGCCTCCTGGCCCCCGCTGTGCCTCTGCCACGGTGCATGCTGTAACAGTGGAACAACCCACAGCAGCTTCTAGGCCCTGCATCCTGAAAGAGGCCTAGTTCCAGGCAATCTTACATTTTGTGGTTTTCCTGGTAGTAAGTGGCTAAAAGTCTATTTTGGGGGTATCCCCCTACAGCAGTCTGTCAGCCACAGTTTTAAAAGAATACGGATGATTAGGGGTTCTGCACATGAGTTTGGTTTTCTTCCCAAGACAAGGGAAGGGAGGGCTGGGCTGTGACTGAAGTGACCCCTTTGTGAGTGTCTTATTATAGCAGCCTCCACAGCACTAGCTAGAGCCGGGGAGGGGTCCACGCGGCAAGGAGGACTGTGATGGCTTTGAGCCCTTCACGTGTACGTTTTCAGATGCCTTTCTGCCTCTGTCGATTTTAGGGGATGGATATTAGGAGCCATAACTCGTAGTCTTGTTCTCTGAACGTAGAGATAAGCTGCTATAAGCCAGTAGATGTTAAACTGAAGACACATTATTCATCTGCCATGAGTCAGGCGCGAGGAACCTCTTCCCTCCAGGGGTGTCTCTTTAGTAATATCAGACATGTCTGTGTATGAAGGAAGCGAGCGTTCCTCAGCAACTGTATTTTGAACACCGTCACCCTAAGAGTGCTGTGTCTTCAAGTCCTCTTTGTGACAAGTCAACCAAGACTTGTTCCTGTTTTGCAAAAGGCTTACTTTGAGCTTCTGGCCTATGTTTGATGGTTCATCTTAATTGTTTTCACTCTTACCTTACAACTGCTTCACCAGTAACAGGCTCAGACCTATCATCAGCACCCCAGCTTGCTGAGCTCCGCTGCGCGACGGGCTCCAGGCTGAATCACACCAGCCACTTAGTGAGCTTACCTTTTCTTTTTAAGGCAAAGCCACCAAAGGAGTCTGGACAGCCTCAAAGAGTGGTCTGTTCAAATGTGAGAGCAGATTGCCCTTTTGTAAAGTAAAGGGTCAAAATCAGCGATGGGGCAAAATAAGTTAGTATTTTCTTTAATTATAATTGCTTTAAATTAAACCATTTGGATCCTGAATAATTCAAATGTCGAGCTACAGTAGCAAGTAGTAAATTATTTGGGTCCAGGAATTCCTATAGTTTTAATGGGATCTATAGCTTTATTAAAAAAAAATAAATCACTGCCAGGCTTCATTTTTCCACATGATCCTCTAAAAACGGATGCTCACTCTGTTGCCATCTCTCATGGCACCCGGCCCAGGCAGAAGTGACCAAGGGATTCGTTTGGCCCCTTGATGGCACCAGTCCTGAAAAGTCTCTGCTGCGTCTTTTATGGCCAGGTTGCTCGTACTTGGGTTCAGTGGTAGGTTTTCATTTTTAAATTCTGATACTAATGGAATTCCTGACCTTAATTTCTGAAAACCAAAAACTCCCCAGAGTTGTTCATTTAAAAAATTTCTATCATTAAAATAAAAAGTACCTTCAGAGAGCTGCGCCTCCCATCTGTACTAGGACAGGAAAGTAATAATAGGATTGGAAACATTCCTGGCAAATATTTCAGTCCAAAGATTGTACAGATCTGTTTATGGTTTGGTAGGTACGTCCCCCAAGAGGATGCTAGGGAGGTTTTATTTTAAATTGAACTTTACCCTTGACCACCAGGCCTTCCCTCCAGAATGTTGTTTGCATGAATTTGTTTACTTTTGTGTCAAATGGATGAGCCGTTGTCATGCTCAGCCAATGCCACCATTTCCCTTTCTGATTTCCCTTTCTGATATGTGTCATCACTCAGACCCAATGCCACCATTTCCCTTTCTGATTCCCCTTTCTGATATGTGTCATCACTCAGACCCAATTTGGGTTTCAAGTTACCGTCCTAGTCTTTGAATATCTTTAAACTGACAACATTGATATTTTTTAAGGTAGATTTTTCTCATTGATACAGACTATGCATCATGTTTAGCAGATGGGATGAAAACTGGCCTAAAACAAGTCTCTGTAGAATACACGCCCATTTAAAAAATATTTTTTTATTGCCCAGATGTCTGTTGCACAGTTGGTCTGACATAGAGGTCGTCAGCTCCTACTAAGCAATTTCAGTGAGCAGGACTGCCCCAACTTCAGTAGGCTCCACGGTCTCACTGCCATCACTTCACCATGAAAATTTGGTTGTAGTTTTCAAATAATAGGTTTATTTCCTCCTCATTCAGTATATAAATGTTTTCCTGATATAAAAAGAAATGGGACCTGATTATGTTTTAAGTGATTTGCTTTATTTGAGAAAAGGGATTAGAAGCAAACATTCAGACTTTTTTTTTTAAAGTAAAATTCTTTAAAAGCTGATGCACAGCTCTTTACAGATGAAACGTTGCTCACATCCAAATACCTGACATCGTCCCTTGAAAACAAACGCAGCGTGGCAGCTGCTGAGTCTGTCTGATTTGTCAAGGAGGATAATTATGCTTTCGAGACAGATCTGAAAAGAAGGTGAATATTTTGCACTTTTGATACTCTTAGGAACAAATAACTTATTTGGCAAATGGTGTCTTTTTATGTTGTTTTGTTTGTTTTGTATCGGGATCAGGCACTGAAGCTGATGTCATTTTTGTTTGAAGAATATCACAGACTGGAAGCAGAAATAAACTGTTTTAATGTCTGATGATTACGCGCAGCTCTCCCATTACGAGATGATGATTCGATCATGGCCACGTCAACAAAATTGAGTTTGCATGTAACTCGGCACATGCTTAAGGTCACGTGTTAACTGCCGATTTCGGGAACCGTCAGAGAGGGTGCGCCGGCCTGGAGAGGGGGTAATGCAGAACTGAGGCTTGCAGGGAGGGGGCTAAGAAGTGTCATCGGCCCTTGGGAGGCCAGCTGATGTCGTCTGGTTTAGAAGACATTTCATGCACCCTCCTGGGCGTTTGAGTGGGAAGTTTATTTATTAGGATCCACCTGTTACTTTCTTTCATACTCTTTGTTTATGTTCAGGAACATAAAATCAAGATGCAGCCCTAAGCTTCTGAGAAGAGGAGCTATATTTTAAAGGAAGATACTAGAGAAATATGGAATGTTTATGTAGTATTATTTCATAGGGTTTTTTTAATTTCATTCCACCAATTTTTGGGTAATCTTGAAGTAAATTCTCCATCCTTTATTTTTTCCCCTTTATCCTCCACCATCTTTCATTTAAGGAAAAAACCAAAGCAGCCCAAGTACTGCTTGTTTCTGTTTCTTTTTTAAGTCAGTTCAGACTCCTTAGAGATGAGCTGTTAGGATTAGAGTTCTACCAAACACCCTGATTTCACAGCCGCCAGTGACACTTTTAGCAGAAAGTTTTATTGGCATAAACTCTTTAGTACTCAGACTGCTTGCTCATAAATCCTGAGAATTTGTCGTTGGCGCACTCTGTTGTTTTATCTTGAAGAGCACAAGATTCAGACAGTTGTCACTTTGGGGAGCACACACAGCATCTCAAACAGCAGGTTAGCAGCCAGGAGGGCCGTGTTTCCTACGAGGAGGTAAACCTGGTGTGAACAGAGCCCCTCAGGACTCCTCAGCCTTCTCCCTTTGTGCCTCCTTCTCCAGGGGCCCTCCTTCCCTGCTCCTCTGGGCCACCCACCACCCCGGGGATGTGCTTTCCCTGGCATTCTGCTCCATCAAGCATCATTTGGAAATAGTCCTTTACAATTCAGAAGGTTCTTTACTCTGAGAACAGATTTCCCCCAAAGGAAAACCTATCATAATGGTGTGTATTGTAGCCTCTAAGGCTAATAGGCCTAACTCCAAGCTTTTCTCACGTAAAGTCATTGGGATGGCGTCTGCTGACTCTCTCTCCTAAACCAGCTAACTCCCCACTTTATTAATATTAATATGATTTATCCTTTGAGAATTCACTTGTCAATGAAATGTCAACAGAGGATGGAACCGTGTCACCCTGTCACTAAATGCAGGCTGGTTTCTTTCTCTCTTGCTGACTGGTGGGCAAGCTAACAATACTTAGCTGCCTCCCAGGGGTTTTGTTAGGGTTAATGAGCTCGTGTCTGTAAGGTGTGCGATAATAGGTTTATTTTCTTCGCTGTAGGACATACCCAGCAGGTTCCCAGGTTATACAAAACCACCCACCATCTTCCACTTATTAACTAGATTCACATAATGTAAACTAGCAGCTGCCTACGGATCCCGGTTTTCTTGCCCACTCACCAGAAGGATCGTATGGCGGGGAAACTTCCACAAGATCACAGCCCACCACGTTCAGGCCTTGACAACCGCGGATGATCTCCAGAGCCTGCCCAAGGTCAAGCCAAGGGGGTAAGCATTGATAATGAAAAGCAACCACAGAGGCTTCCTGGATTTCTCCCAACATGCCCACCTTCTGGCTTGGAACTGTTGCTTTCCCTCAGTAAACATTTATTGCCAGACACACTGGTGGACACCACAGACACACAAATGACCAATGCACAGTCCCTGCTCCCAAGGGCTCCACAGTGTGACTACAGAGATGAGCAAACCAAACATTTCAATATCATGCATTCAGGGCTTCAAGAAAAGCAAGCATAGAGCCAGCCCTGATGGCTTAGTGGTTAAAGTTCGGCGCTGTCACCACTTCGGTGGCCTGGGTTCAGTTCCCAGGCACAGAACCACACCACTTGTCTGTCAGTTGCCATGCTGTGGTGGTGTCCCTCATAGAGGAACTAGAGGGACCTACAACTAGAGTGTACAACTATGTACTGGGGCTTTGGGGAGAAAAAAAAGACGAGGAGGACTGGCAACAGATGTTAGCTCAGGGTGAATCTTTCCCAGCAAAAAAAAAAGAGAAAAGAAAAGCACACGTATCAGCCCAAAGAGGCAGGGGAAGGCTTCTCCGAAGTGGAAAGAGAAGAACTTGACCCAGCAGATGCACATGGGAAGGGCGGCCGTGACAGAGCAAAGACACGTGCAGAGGCACCAAGATGGAGGAAGTACCAGCAGTTAGACGTGGCTAGAAGACAGGATAGGTGAGGGGAATGGTGGAAGAGAGCGGCTTTGTCTGAAAGGGTTTCCATTCTGCAGGTGAAAAGGCCAGATGGATAATAAGCTGAGGAATAAGGATTGTGTTTTAGAAAATTCCCTGATGGGAACTGAGGGTGGCTCTGAAGAGGTGGTTATGACCATCCTCCTTTCTTAGAGGATGTAAGATGATCCATTAGGGGCCGGCCCATGGTCGAGCAGTTAAGTTCACGCGCTCCGCTTCGGGGCCCAGGGTTTCGCCAGTTCGAATCCTGGGCGCGGACATGGCACCACTCATCAAGCCATGCTGAGGTGGCGTCCCACATGCCACAACTAGAAGGACCCACAACTAAAATGCACAACTATGTACCGGGGCGGGGGGGGGGGGGGGGGTTTTGTGAGAAAAAGGAAAAATAAAATCTTTGGGGAAAAAAAAAAGATGATCGGTTAGGTTTAAGCAGTCTTCATTCATTTCCTCACAAATATCTTTGAGAACCAACTGTCTGTCTGTCGGTCACAGTCTAGGCTCCAAGGATAGTGACCAAAACAAGGCCCTGCCCTCTTGCAGCTTCCCTTCTAGCAACAGCCACACTGCAGCTCTGCCTCCCTGTGCTTACGCTCAGCGGGCCTCGGGGAGCTTTACTTGGGTGTTTCTAAAACTCCCCGACTACCTTGGTAGGTGGTTAATCCCATTGTGCGCACTTTTAAAACTTAACCCCGAAAGGTTAAGTTTAGTGTTCTTAAGAGGGGGTACTACAATATTGTCCCCATGAATCAACTACAGGTGGACCAGAGGCAGAAAGACCAAATAAAGGACTATTGTATCCCAGGTAAGCAATGAGGGCCCTTGCCAAAACCAGTCACTCCTCAAGAAGTGCGTATGCTCCTACGGTCAGCCCTGAGAACAGTGAAGGCGCCGGTGCTCTGCTTTTAAAATCCTCCCCTGATTCCTGAAGACAGTACAAGTCCCAGGAAAGTGGGGAGTTAAGTATCCTCACCCCCAGGAGTTGTCACTGGTGCAGCACCCTTACCTGACTAGGGGTGAGACCAGCAATTTCGGGTGTCCCTGTGCCCGGGGCATAGGCGGGATCCAAGCTGTCAATATCGAAGCTGATGTACATGGGTTTGCCTCCCATCTGCTGCCTCACTTCCCCCATCAGAGGAACCAGCGACTTCATCCAGCAGTCTTCTGCCAGGACCACCCGGAAGCCCTAAGGAGGGAGGAATGAAGGGAGGTCGACGCTTCTGCATGGCAGCACTTCCTGGGCACTTCCCATGTGCCTACCCCAGGCTAAGCTCTTACGTGTACATCACATTGGACCCTCAATCCCCAGGAGGAGGGAACTATCATCCCCATGTTAACAGGCAAGGAAGGGAGGGACAATGACAGGTAAAGAAACGGAGTAAGTAAAAGCTGACCCGTGACGATGGGATCAGAGAGAAGCTTGGCTAAAGCAAGAGTGAGAGTCAGGACAGCTCCTGCCAGCAGTCCCCCAAACAGCTCTGTCCAGAAGACTGGCCTTGGCACTCTAAAACAGGGCACTTGAGTCTTTCCTTTTGGGGTCCTGTCGTATGTTATTACCCAGGAGCCACTCTGGCTAGTGGGTATGAGGATGAGGACTAAGAAGGTGGCCACTCGCCTTGGGCTAGGACTTCCTCAGCTCTTTTCCAAGCCAGCACCAGTGAGGGCTTGGATGGTTTCTGCTGCTTTCCCCAGCCCAGCGATAAGAATCCTCCGCTGCCTCATGAACTAACAGCTTCCCTCCTCTCTGCTCCCTGTGACCCTCTTGATGCAAATTCAGCCTTTCAGCCCCACTTTCTGAACTTGATTAGCAAAGCCCCTGTTGAATCCATAGCCGCCACTGAGTGAGCAATGGAGAGGAGGGCACTTTGGGGGTCAGGGACGGAGGGAGGGCATTCAGTCTGTCACCTTGCTCCGGCTGTAAGTGTAGGGATCCAAGGTCATGGAAGAGCCCCGGATGCCGATCTGCACCACGCGCTTACAATCCAGGAGTCCTTCGTCCATACACCGGCGGAAGGGTGTCCCGTGATAAAGCTTCTCTCCTAGGGCCTTGTCAGCCGTGTCCGTGTGAGCGTCCACATGGAGCAGCCCCACAGGGCCATGCCTGATGACAACAGGGCAGCTCAGAGGCCAGGGCTCCCTGTGGGCCTGAGCACAGCTGCCCTCCAAGCCACCAAAACTTGATGACAATTCATAGCCACAGAGGGCACACTTGGCTTCAATTACTAGCCTTGCAACTGGTTTCTGTCTTCAAACCACTTAGCATCTCAGAAGAAGAATAAACTCAGAGAAGTCAGGCAGAAAAGAGACCTGTGCTTTAGCTTGCATTCACTACTAGTCACCCAGAATTTTCTTCACTCAGAGATGGAGAGGGCTGGGAGGATGAGAAGAAAGGGTGGTGGCTCAGGTGAGCTCGACTGAAGGGTGAACTAATCAGAGCCACGGTTTCTCCAGCTGCAGCACCCAGAAGCAGCTTCCACCCAGCTCTCTCTCCATTATCTCCATCAACGCTGCCAGGCACCCAAATAAACACACAGTACAAATCAGTGCTGGCAAACACAGCTTGGAGAAGAGACTTGTACCCACCCCCCCGAACCAGGATGCTACCGCCATGTCCCTCCCACATATGGATTCTGGAGCTGCCAAGGCCCTCCTGTCTCTTTCTCAGACTGATTAACCAAAGCCAGTGAATCCCTGGTAGACTTCCACTGCTGGAAAATCTGTCTCCTCACTCTCTGGGAAAGGGGCCCTCTCAGGAAAAACCAGGGCCTCCACTCAGCAAGCAACAGCATCGTGCCTGGCAGTATCTGCATCTGGCCTTTGAAGGAAAACAGAAACTGAAGTGAACTGGGGGTGTCTATTTCCCTAGGGCTCATCTTCCAAAAACAGAGGCAAATGCTGAGCGCGCATACCAGAGCAGATCTAAGGCAAGGGGGGTGGCCAGAAGTGTTAATAATAAACGGTCCTGGCTTCCAGCTGGTGACTGACAGACACACCTGGAGCTCGACCTTAATTTGGATCCACAGAAGCAACTCAGTCGGGAATTTCCCATCACCCCCCATAACCTAAGCCACTGAGGTCACCTGATGCCCTCCAGCAGCAAACAACTCATTCCTACCTCCTGAACATTGAAACCTTGCTTGGGCCTAGCCACTTGGCACTTACTTTTTTGCCATCGCTTGCAATATAGGATATGTGATTGTGTGATCTCCACCTGCAAAGAGGAAAAAGAAGAAAACATCTGCAATGTGGGTAAGATTAGAGGACCATGTATCACACAGAACAATCTTCAATTTGCCCAATTCTGCCACCCTTTCGAATAGAGTGAAGAACAATAATCCTAGCTAAAATAAGATCTTATTCAATAGTGAGAAAATGGCCCCTGGATGTTTGAGATTACACTGTCACTGAAAAGTGGGAATTAAACAAATTGAGGCTTACAGGTAAAATGTCCAGAACAGCGCTGTCCGATAGAACTTTCTGCAATGATGGACACGTTCTGTATCTGCACTGGCCAACAAGGTGGCCACTAGCCACATGTAGCCATTGAAATATGGCTCATGCAACTAAAGAACTGAATTTTTTTATTTTAATTAATTTTAATTTAAATAGCCACATGGAGCTAGTGGCTACCGCATTAGACAACGGAGGCCTAGAAAGTATTACTATTGATAATTAACGACAATAGCTAACATTTATTAAAACTTAAAACATGCCAGGCACGATGCTGGGCACTTTATATGCACTTTTGTTGTCTGACCCTCACCCCAATATAACAAGGCGGGTGTTGGTGTTATTATTCCCATTTTACAGATGAAGAAATGAAGCATAAACAGCTAGTGAGAGGTGGAGCTGAGATTTCAAACCATGCCATCCAGAAACCACACGCCTCGCCACTATGCTCTGCAGGCGAGGCCCTCCGATTTGGCAAAAATAAATTTGGATATTGAGAAAAAGGTGTGTGTCATTTTAACTATTTGTGAACCAGATGGGGAAGAAATGCTATAGCGAGAGTGGGGCAGGGTGGGGGAGGATAAGGGGCCAGCTGCCCTATGGATGGATACAGACCTTGAGGAGCAGGAAAAGACCCCTGTGCAGCTCTCTTCTCAAAGAAAGTCATTAAAACAATGTCCTCGAAATAGTTAAAAAGCCACAATTGAGCCCCTGTTGGCAGCCTTCCCCAGGGTGGGATCCAGAGCTGGGACAAAGGTGAGGGCAGTAGAGGCGCTTGTCGGAATGCAAAGATTAAGGGGTGCCAAAAAACTCAGCAATCAAGATAAACACTGTGTTGATGTAATATTTTTAAAAATCAAAATCAATGCAAAAAAAATTCCATGATAAATTTTAAAGAAAGACAGGATCAGTAACTATGTTGTTCTGAGCCATACTGGAGCCTGACGCAAAAGGGGAAAGTCAGTAATACTCGTTGATTTCTTTGGCACCCCTTAAATTTTGCACCGAGGCCAATGCCTCACTTGCCTCAGCCTAGTCCATCCCTGTCAATCATACTGGTCCCAAAATTTAAATATCCTCTCCCCAGGGGTTAAAATACATGAATTAAAAATGTTCTCTTGGGGCGGGCCCTGTGGCTGAGTGGTTAAGTTTGCACACTCAGTTTCAGCAGCCCAGCATTCGCTGGTTTGGATCCCGGGCACAGACCTACACACCACTCATCAAGCCATGCTGTGGCAGCATCCCACATAGAAGAACTAGAATGACCTACAACTAGGATGTACAACTATGTACTGGGGCTTTGGGGAGGAAAAAAAAAGTGGAAGGTTGGCAACAGATGTTAGCTCAGAGTCAATCTTCCTCACCAAAAAGCATTAAAAACAAAAGTTCTCTTGAGGCCAGCCCAGGGGCATCGTGGTTAAGTTTGGGCACCCTGCTTCAGCATCCTGGGGTTCATGGGTTCAGATCCCAGGCACAGACCTACACACCAGGATCAAGCTATGCTGTGGTGGCATCCCACATACAAAATAGAGGAACATTGGCACAGCTGTTAGCTCAGGGCCAATCTTCCTCACCAAAAAAAAAAAATGTTCTCTTTCCTACTGTCTCCACATTCACAATGGCTTGTCCTGGAGAAGTAGTTGTACTCAAGTCCATGATAAATAAACTCTGAGCACATAGAACGACACTTGTCCTTGCAGATGCCATTACCCAAGGTCAGAGGAATACAGCCAGCGGCTATAATTCTCTGATAGGCCTCTTGAATTAGGCGGCAGCTGTCCTGAAGGTTGTAAAGATTGACATTCACATCTCCTAGGTCTGCAACCATGAGGGACTGGAAGGGGAGGGCCCCCGTGCTCGGGTTGGCTGTTCGAAGCAACACTGATTCCTCCCGGATCCGTCGGGGTCCAAATCTGGAGGAGGAAGAATCATCCTGTGAGCCAATCATAAAGATTTAGAGGCCCTGCCTAGACTGGGGCTGCTCATCTTCTGCACTGTTGACATTTGGGGCTGGATGACTATTGTAGGGGCCATCCTGTGCATTGTAGGATGTTTAGCAGCATCCCAGGTCTGTACCCACTAGATGCCAGTAGCACCCCTCCCCCAAGTTGTGATAACTAAAAATGCCTCCAGACACTGCTAAATGTCCCCTGGGGGCAGAACCCTCCCCCCACCCCCCTTTCTTGAGAACCACTGATCCGGGCTACATATTGAAGAGATTAAAGGCACAGACTTAGGAGCCCATCTATCACCAATTTACTAATGGCATTAAATAATTTCTTAACCTCCCTGAGCCTCAGTTTCCTAAACTGTAAAAGAATAATAATGATGGGGCCAGCCGGGCGGTGCAGCAGTTAAGTTCGCACCTTCCGCTTTGGTGGCCCAGGGTTTGCCAGTTTGGATCCCAGGTGCGGACCTACGCACCGCTTGTCAAGCCATGCTTCGGGAGGCATCCCACATATAAAGCAGAGGAAGATGGGCATGCATGTTAGCTCAGGGCCAGTTTTCCTCAGCAAAAAAGAGGAGGATTGGTGGCAGATTTAGCTCAGGGCTAATCTTCCTCAAATTAATAACAATAATAATAATAATGATATTTATCTTAGCCTATTGTAAGAATTAAATGAGGTCATCTATGCAAAGTGCCTTGCACTTAGTAGACATTTAATAAATGGTGACATTTATAATTCAGACCAGTAGTCAGATGCACTGTTGCTGAGCTGAATGAAAATAGCTGATGCTCAATAATTAAGAAAATGGATTTTACTTCCTCTGACTTCATCTCAGGAAAATTGCCTTAATTTGAGCCATTCTTGAGTCAGGTGACATCTGGAGGTTTTGAGAAGGGGCAGCCAGCTCTTCTGTTCTCAGAGGTAATGTCCCCTGACACTGTAAGCTGGGGGGTGCTCACAGCCCCACCCCAGCAAGGCCCAGGGATAGGCCTGGAGAAGGCTCAGTGCCCTAGACCCCTTCCTGTACCAGTGGATGACACGTGCATTGAGCTCCCAGGGTTGCCTGATGAGTGACCAGGGAAACCGACTGTCTCTCAAACCATTAGGGGCACCTTGGAGCAAGGCACCAGCTTCCAAACTGACCCTGGGCGAGCCGCAATGCCTCTCCCTGTGTTTTGTGTGCACAGTGGCCGCCAGGCTGTCCAGACGCGTGTCTTCCAGTCCTTTAAGCCTTACCTCGCTCCGGGCCGGTTGGAGGTCCCAATGTCCAGGGGCACCCCGACGAAGGCAGCGTCCAGCCCCTCGGGGGAGGCCTGCACAGGCAGCCGCATCATGGAGCAGACACCCACCGGCCGGGCCACGAACTCAGAGCTAGGGGGCTGGTTCCAGGGGCCATCAGAGGCCCGGCGGCTGGGGCTGTGGCCAGGGTCGAAGAGTGCTGTGGCAGGACGCACGCCGTGCCCCAAGTGGCCCGAGAGCAGCCCCCGCACGCCCCCACCGGCCTCCAGACCCCAGGCGCAGCCGGCCCCCAGCAGCCGCAGCATGCCACCGGCCCTTCTGCCCTTTGGCACGTGTGCCAGCCCCCGAGCCGCCGGGCTCAAAGGGCAGGGGCAGATTGAGATGGGGAGGGGCCCAGGCTAGGCTGCTCTGTCCACACGCCCCTTTCTGGACTTCGGCCTCTGGCTCCTTTGGTAAAGAGAGCCACGCCAGGGGCTCCCATTCATGCCCACGTGCACTGTCCCGGGTAGGTCTGCGCCCCCAAAACCAGACCCTTGGCAGCTTCTTCTTCCATTCAGAGTAATATTTTCAAAACTTGAAAGATTTGAAGGAAAAATACCTTTCTCTAAGCGAGAGAAATTGGAAAAGCATTTTTAAAAAACAATGTATTAAGAAATGTCTGAGGGCTGGCCCCATGGCCCAGTGATTAAGTTCTCTCGCTCCACTTTGGCAGCCCAGGGTTTCGCCAGTTCGGATCCTGGGCGCAGACATGGCACTGCTCATCAGGCCATGTTGAGGCAGCGTCCCACGTGCCACAACTAGAAGGACCCACAACGAAAATATACCAACTATGTACTGGGGGCATTTGGAGAGAAAAAGCAAAGAAAAAGATTGGCAACAGTTGTTGGCTCAGGTGCCAATCTTTTAAAAAAAAGAAAGAAAGAAAGAAAAATAAATGTCTGGGTAGAATTCTCAGGAAGCAGAGTCTTTCTAAATAACGTTTTGTTTTGGTTTTTGAGGAAGATTAGCCCTGTGCTAACTGCTGCCATTCCTCCTCTTTTTGCCAAGAAAGACTGGCCCTGAGCCAACACCCAAGCCCATCTTCCTCCACACTATACGCCTACCGCAGCATGGCTTTTGCCAAGCAGTGCCATGTCTACACCCGGGATCTGAACTGAGGAAGCCTGGGCCACCAAGAAGTGGAACGTGTGAACTCAACCGCTGTGCCACGGGGCCGGCCCCTAAATAAAGTTTTTTAAAAAGGACTTAGAGGCAAGCCCACCAGCCTGCAGTCCTTTTTTCCCTTTGTTTTTTCTTTCATTTTTCTTCCCCTCCCCTGAGGAAAATTTGCCCTGAGCTAACATCTGTGCCAGTCTTCCTCTGTTTTGTATGTGGGTCACCACCAGAGCATGGCAGCAGTGGAGTGGTGTAGGTCCACGCCCAGGAACCCGGCTGCCCAAGCAGAGGGTGCAGAACTTAACCACTAGCCGTCTTTTTATTTCTAAGAGGAGAAAAAGATACACAGAGAAAAAAAGAAGGGATTTGTAATGAAGTTATGTAAGCCATTTGGTGGTGGTATATATTTTTTAATATTTAGAAGTTGAGATTGAATGGAAAAGGTCCGAGTTTGCATTAAATAATAACCTTTTCAGGAAAGTCACACATTAAACCCCACACCGGCCCAGCCTCCACTCTGCAGGCCCAGGGACAAGTTTCATAATGGTCAATCCAGGTATTCGGTGTTGGAAGAGGCTGCAAAGCAGCTCCCCACCATTTTCCAGAATAAAGACAACCTCTCTGCCCAGATGCCACCACTATTTCTTTCATATCGCTTGTCCTGAATGTATCATTTTCTTACTGCTGGTTTTTCTTTCATTCTTCTCACAAATATTTGAGTACCTACTTGTGTGGCAGGCACTATGTGACAATGATTCCAACTTCTCTCCATCTTTTGCTACTGCTGAACACTCCTTTTCTTTGCACTTTCCTCAGGTGGCCTCTTTGACCAAGGACAGCACCCCTGCTGTCCTTCCACCTTTCTGATGGCTCTCTCTCTTTCAATACCAAGGTGACAATTTTCACCTATAGGCGGTAATTCACAATGCCAAATCCCGCCCTTGACTCCAGTCACCTATTTGCTGACTTCCCACCTGGATGTTCTGACAGTGCCTCAGGTGGGCTGCAAGGTCAGCCAGTGACTTTCCACCTCCCTCTCTGGAACCTGCTCTCTGCCCTGTCCTTTGGTAAATCTTGATGGTTTCTTGCATGCAAGCCCTCCCCTCGTTTTGTCTGCTCCTACTCTGGTTCAGGCCTTCCCACCTGTAGCTTTCCAGTTGGTCTCACCACTGCTCGTATCACTGAGTCTTTCCTGCCAGATAACGCTTCCTGAAGCCAGTCCACTTGCTAATCGCATTTCCCATTATGCGTCTTCCCGTACTTCTCCCTCCAGCCATTGTTGACATTACACAGCCCCACTCTCTTGCCTCCTTCCTTTGCCCAGGCCGTATCCTCTGCCTGGAATGCTCTCTCCCCAGCTCCCAGCTCCACACGCCCAATGTTCAGCGGAAGCCCGAGCTCAAACCGCTCTCTCTGAAACGCTCTTAAAAGCTTAACAATTTTCTACCTGGGATTATTAGTACGGGACCTAGAATCAGAAAAGAGTTAAATCCTGTCTCCACCGTCAGTGTATCTCAACCACTCATGGCAGAAGAGAGAGCTCCTCCCCATTCCCCACGGGTCCGGGTATATAGCTCAGAGTAGCCCCCCATTAAGCACAATGTTTCTTTCAAGTTTCATGTTTGATCTTGCAATTTGTGCAAAGTTTTCATTTGATTTCATAATACACGTTTATTTTAGCATAAAAATATATATTATTTGTCAGTTAAATTTTCCCCCCAAATTTTCAGGTAAAGCTGTCAGTCCAATTATGCATCATTTAACCCAGCTCACCCCCATGTACACCCCTGAGGCACCCCAGTTAGGGAAGTGTGGACTTAGCGTGTCAACCTGAGCAACTTACCGTTTTGAACCTATTTCCTGCTCTGTCGAATGGGATGATAATTCTTACTGGTTGTTCTTATGAGGATTAAATGAGGTCCACTGTGAAAGAGCATTGTAAACCACACATTGATAAATAATAGGTAGTGTTATCATTGTACATTTATTTCCTCTACCGCAGAGTTTCCTAACCAGCAGTCATTGCACACTGGTGTACTGCAATTGGGTGACAGGTGGGGTGCAATATAAAGATCCCATGGTCCTTGGGTCCACCAGTTAGGCCAGTCACCTCCGGGGGCATGCAGCCCGTGAGGAGCTCCTCAGAGGATGATCCAAGCAGAGAAGGGTCTGACATCCTGCCCTGTGATCCCCACAAGTAGGCAGCAGGATCAGCGGTATTTGCCGTTTGCCACGTGTCACCACCTGGGCATCAACCTCAGAGGCCGGCTGCACAGCGCACTGCTGCAATCACAGACGAGGGCCCAGGGCCCTGCTAGAGGAGCTGGGTTCCAGGAGCCCAAGGAGGATGAGCAGCAACCCATGGTGCAGCTGGTCACGAATGGAGAGCCCAGGAGACTGGTTGGGGGAGCCTGGCCAGAGCAGCTCCAGCCAGCTGACCCAAATCTGTCTTCACATAGCGTCAGACATTTCTGTACACTTTTGGCTGATGCCCAAGCAGTGTCCTAGCTAACTTCAGGGTGACTGCTTCAACCATGCTTATGGGCAGGGTGATACTAAAAATATTTAACACCTGAGATGGCACAGACATTGACCAATCAGATCAGATGTCAGCTAGCGATAAACAGTGAATACCAGTATAGATCAAATGGACATCAACCCCGAAGGCACGTGCTTTAAATCAGAGCTCTGTCCTTATTTTAAAATGCTTGACATCAAAGAGTTTGATTGGATTCAAAATCCATTAATGTTATCACAAGAAATTTCAATTGTACAATTGTTAATGAAAGAAAATAAAACATTTCTTAAAATATTGTAACTTTCGTAAAGTTTTTAATGTTAAAATGTCCTTTTAAACTTTTATTACCTACTTGCGTTTCTAATTGTTCACGGCGATCCAGAACTTGAAGAGATCCTTCTTGAAAAGTCCTCGTCATTATTGCATATAGCCCTTTCAAGCATAAACACTCCCAGAAGAAAACTAAAATTTTGAAAACACTTTATTTGGCAATTTTACATAAGCTCAATATTTAATTCTGTCTCTAATACTTTCATTTTATTTTTTCAAATCATAATTATCCAATTTATAGAAAATGTAATTATTTGTTTTAGCCAAATCCCATGCAGATGCCCCTAAATCCACCCCCCACCAAGTTTACCTCTGGTAGGACATACAAATTGTATAATTTTCTATGTGTGCCATGACAGGAAAAAGGTTCAGAAGCACCGTTCTAATAACCATACGTTCCAGTATCTGCTTCGTCCTTTTGGCTGGCTTCTAAGGGGGGGGTGCCTTGTAAAAAACAAGTGATACAATAAACGTTTGGTAAGCGAGTCAATGTTTGAACAGATCTTCTGGAAGCTGTGGAGAGCAGCTCTCGGGTGATTACTATTTCAGCCAAAAAACTGTGACAGCCAAAGCGGATGAAGTAAACACCGTGTATGTTTCAGTGGTCTGCTTGGATTCCCTTTGGCCTGGAGAATGATGCAAGGACTCCTCAGGAGTCAACACTTTGAACTTGTCTGTGCTTGTGGAGGCTCAGAAATGATCCTGCAGCAACTCCAGCCTCCCCGAGACGCCCATCTAGGGGCTTTCTGTGACACCCCACTCCCCTTGTTACCTCATCAACGGTCACCTTTACCTTCCTTGTCCTCTAAAGAAAAATACAGATATTTTTGAGATGTTCAGAATACTTTTATCAGAGTTTGCCAAAATCTACACTCTTCTATTTATTTTTCCTAAAAAGTGACACATTCAACAATGCCTCAGGGAATACTTCACACATTTGCGTGGAGTTACCTCCAATTATAGCATAATTTTTGAATATAGAAAATAATATGTACCATTTGAACACAAGATTGGTCGTTCAGTCTCTCTATTCAGCTTGCTGAATGGCCATCTGGAGCCTGAATCATCCGACCACTTTTATCCACACGCCAAGTAATTGGCCCCGTCTGTCTCTCTCTAGTCCAAAATGACCCTTCTAGGGCAAAAGGGAGGGGAGAGCAGGAATTTGTTTAAGGAAAGTCCTAAGCAGTGAAGTTGGGAGTATCACTGTTATGCAGTTTCAAAGTCAAGCCAGGAGAGGGCACAGAAAACTTCTGCTTGATCATCTAACAAAGAAAAGGAGAATTCAGGAAATGGACAGAGCTCTCCTTCAATCCACTCAACCAGGTGACACACAATTTAGGTCAGTTAGTCAGTCTGATTTCATCCTGAGACTGCAACAATTTTATTATACAACAGACTATCTTAATGTAGTCTTTGCATCATTTAATTTTCTTGAAGAAAATGCTCAGATTTTTTTCAAGCCCCAGCCAGACTCCTATGCATTTCTTTTAGTTGGCATTTCTCTCTGCCTCTCTAAGGAAGGCAGCTGCTTCTGAAAAGCCCCTCTTCGTCTGCAAAGCGAGGACTGTTAAAAGGTCACCTTCCCTGACTTCCTGGTGATGATGTCAGCTCAAAGTACGTCATCACCCTGGTCCTTAGAGAGAAAGGTATGAGACAAATGCAAGCGCTGATTATTAATTATAATCTACATACTTTGGGTAAATAGATCTGACTCAGGTTATTAGACTGACCACTCAATAATTAATGACTACAGGGACTGTAGCTTAAAACCAAGTTCTAAAGTGACACAAAGCTCTGGGATACATGGGAAAATACTGTTTAGACAAATCCATCTGAGCCAACTCATGCTGGGCAATTCAAGCCAGGAGAACATCATTTTCTGATTACAAAAGTAATATACGTGCATTGTACAAAAGGAGAATCCACTGCAGTCTACCCCTACCCAATCAAGCTTATATTTCAATGTATATAAGGCTTTTGAAAAAATCAAAACTGGGTTTAGTCTATAAAAAGTGGTTGGCAACTTCCTTTTTTCACCTTAAAATGCCTTGGAAATCTTCAAGATAAGATTTTTTTAAAAAAATCTTTTATTTAGGTGTAATTTATATATCACAAAATTCACCTATTTTTAAGTGTACAATTCAATGATTTTTTATAAACTTGTATAACCCAGTTTTAGAACATTGCCATCAGCCCCAAAAGTTCCCTCATGCCTGTAAATAAGCTTTTTTAAAGGGTACATTTTTGTGGATAATTACAATCATGAATAAGAAGTCCCAGAAATTTCCATCTTGCCTAGCTTTCTTTTGCTGCTGGCAGGCAAGAAGAAAATCGCAAAAGCCTACCAACAAATGTTGGAAGAAAACACCAGAAGCAGATGGACAGCTGTTTGCTCAAAATAGTTTATTCATTCGCCAGCTTTTACTGAGTGTCAGCCAAGCACCAGGCTATTGGTTAAGTCTGTAGGGATGTAAAGACAAGAAAATAGCTGTCTTCGCCTGGAATCAATTGGATGTGAGTTCAACAGTATGCAACCTAACTTAAGAGTTTCAATATTCAATGGTTTTGGGTGGTAAGTGTTCCAGATGGGTGTGACATTTGGACCTCCATTTGCAGAAGCCAAGACAGAGAAACAAGGACCAGATTTACTTCCCCACCTAAAACAACCAAAAGAGGGACAAAAAATATGAAACAATGGTTTTCAATACACTGAGAAAAGTACAACAAAGGAGGTGAGGCTTAGTATTGCCCCACTTCACTGCCTCGAGTTCCCAGGCTACAGTGCAGGGAAGGAAAACTGAGGCAGAGTTCAGGGGAGTCCCAGAGTGAAGGAGTCAGAGCTGAGAATCTAGGGAGACCAAGACAGCTCGAGGTCATAGGGCAGAGCACCAGAGGAGAGAGCTGTACAGAGAGAGTTTTCTAGTGTGCCAAAGTCCTGCTTAACACATATGTGTAAGAAAACTACCCAAGGCTGGGGAAAGAACCACTTCAAAGGGTTAGAGAGAAAGGTGTTTGATGCACACACAGGCTGGGAATAGTGCCTATTCCCACTAGCCAGATTAATTACGGGGCATTGGGAAGAGCATTCATGTAGGTCTCAGGGGGATTAATCGGCCCTAGAATTAGCACTGGTTAGATGGTCTGGTCCCATCTAACAAATCTTAAAAGCAAGACCCAAAAGAATTGAACTATTTCCAAGTAACTTAACTGTACCCCAGAACAAAGCTCAAGAATTACAGGAATACAAGAATATCCAGCACTTCACAAGGTAAAATTCCTAATACCTGGCATCCAGTCAAAACTTACCAGACATACAGGGACTGGCCCGGTGGCACAGCAGTTAAGTTTGCACGTTCCGCTTCAGCAGCCCGGGGTTTGCAGGTTTGGATCCCAGGTGCGGACCTATGCACCACTTGTCAAGTCATCCTGTGGCAGGCGTCCCACATATAAAGCAGAAGAAGATGGGCATGGATGTTAGCTCAAGGCCAGTCTTCCTCAGCAAAAAAAAGAGGGTTGGCAGCAGATGTTAGCTCAGGGCTAATCTTCCTAAAAAAAAAAAAAGGAAAAAAAAATTACCAGACATACAGAGACAGGAAACTGTGACCCACAATGAGTAGACAAATCAGTCAATAAAAATTGACCCAGAAATGACACAGATGTCATTAGCATCTGTGTTAGCAGCAAGAAACTGCTGAATTAGCAACAAGCAAAGACATTAAAACTGTTATTATAACTGCATTCCATATGTTCAAAATATTAAGTAGAGTCATGGGAGATACAAAAAAGATTACAATTGAACTTTTAGAAATGAAAACTACAATTCTGGGGGAATAATTATCTCCTTTATTTTGGATATGACCACTTTATATATGCAATATAAAGCTGCAAAAATGCTTTCTCTCTCCCTTTCCTTTTTTTTTTTTTTTAAAGATTTTGTTTTTCCTTTTGTTCCCCAAAGCCCCCCGGCACATAGCTGTATATTTTTAGTTGTGGGTCCTTCCAGTTGTGGCATGTGGGAGGCCGCCCCAGCATGGCCCAATGAGTGGTGCCATGTCCATGCCCAGGATCCAAACCAGCAAAATCCTGGGCCACCATAGCGGAGCGCGCGAACTTCATCACTCAGCCACGGGGCCGGCCCCCCTCCCTCTCCCTTTTCTAACAAGCACATTATGCTAGTAATTTATATTGAGTGTGCAATCAGCCAAAATCACTGCTTTTTGTTTTTCACGCAGGAACTCAGGTCTCCCTTACCTGGGGCATTGAATGCTTGAATTCAACTACAGATTCTATATTTCATCTTGTTAGTTTTGATCCAACATTCTAAGCTGTCTAGATCTCTCTGAATCTTGTTCCTGACAGCTGACTTAGTGCTATCTCCTGACTCTGGTCAACTGAGCACTTGACACGCCTGCTCTCTTTGACTTCCAAGTTGCCAGTAAAGATGCTGAACGAGGCAGAGTACATTAGCACCATCTGGAGAGATTTCCTCCAGGTAAACACTGGCACCTTACTCATCATGCTTTGGGAAGATCTCAATCCTGAGATTAAAATCACACTGGACAGAATTAATGGTAGATGAAATATTGTCCCCCAAGATTAGTAAATTTGAAAACATAGCAATAGAAGTTATCTAAAATTGATGAAAGAAAAAAGAATTTTTAAAAAAGGACAGAGCATCACTGAGCTGTAGGACAACTTCAAGCAGCCTGATATATGCGTACTTGCAGACCTTAAAGGAGAGGGGTAGGTAGAAAAGCACTGGAAGAAAGACAGGCCAACATTTTTCCAAATTTAATGAAAATCAAAAACTCGCAGATCCAAGCAGCTCAATGAATCCCAAGCACAAGAAACACTAAGAAAATCACAGTACCATACCCTAGTCACAGTCTACTTAGGACATTCAAATCTTTCATAAATGATAATATACTGATAGTCATTAATTTTTACATATATGAAACCTCATCAATTCTATAAGTCATTGTGCTGAGTTTCTGGATATCTAATTTCTCTTTTATCATTAAAAATGTCTTCTTGTAAATAGAGCATAAATCGGCTAGCCTTCGCTGCTTAGTCTCTGCGCTCAGAATTGCAGGTGTGTCACCATTTGATGAAGCTTTTTTTTTTTTCTTTTTCTCCCCAAAGCCCCCAGTACATAGTTGTATATTCTTTGTTGTGGGTCCCTCTAGTTGTGGGATGTGGGATGCTGCCTCAGCGTGGTTTAGATGAGCAGTGCCATGTCCGCGCCCAGGATTCGAACGAACGAAACACTGGGCTGCCTACAGCGGAGCGCACGAACTTAACCACTCGGCCACAGAGTCAGCCCCTCATGAAGCTTTTAAGAGAATTAAAGGATGGGATGTTTGGTGAGTCAGTGGGAGTCAACTCTAATCTATAGGTCCTCTAAGTGAAATATACCCTTCAACGTCAGGGGAAATTTCACCTCATTTGTTTAGTTAAAGCCTTTTAAAACAACAAAAAAGGTTGATAACTTTAAGTTCATTATTTCAAATACTGTAGATTCTCAGATGATCAAACTAACAAAATAACCAAAATGAATCCTGAATAGAAATTCTGTGTGGACTATCTGCGCTATTCGTCATTTCCATCTTAAGACTGTCCCTTCATATGTAACTGAAAGTTCACAGATGTTAAGAAATTGTTGTTTTGGCACAAAATCAGATATGGAAAAGAGGGAACTGTGCCCTTAACTAGGAATAGCAATTACCTAGGGCTACTGCTATTCGAAGTATACATCAGGCCCACGGCATCATCTGCACCTGGAGCTTGGTAGACATGCAGACCCTCAGGCCGTGCTCCAAAGATTCATAATATGCATTTCAACAAGGTTCTCAGGTGTTTGCTATACACCGGTTGCTACACATTCAAGCTTGAGCAGCACTGTTGTCTGGCAAATAATTTCTCTGATATTTCCTTATGCATGGAAAAGCAAAAGCTGCTCACCTTATTTCACAAATTGATAGACTAAGTGAAACCCAGTCCATCTATGAGTTAGGTACACACGAAACATCAAACTTTCTAACAAACAGCGAGCCACATACACGTCCCAGGCACACCACAAGCATTCGCGGATTGAAAATGTTGAACAGCAGACTACCACTGTTATTGGAAATCCCAAACACGAGGCCTTTTTAAAGAAATGTCAAATATATAAACAACAAACAAAAGTATTTGACTCTTTTCACCTCTGGGAATATCTTCCTTTTTTTTAACCGAAATCTGTTTTCTTTCAGTCTGCAACTATTCAAGTAACAATCTTTTCAGGAAATAAGCATAGTACACAGAGTCCCTATTGCCCATTTCCCTTCTTTGGTCAAACAAGCCTAAGCGTTGACTCGACTCGCAAGGAAGCTGCAGGAAGCCACGCCTGGGACCACTCCTGGGCACTCGTTTCTTGGTCCGCCACTGCCTCAGTCACATCCCTGCCCGAACTCGAGTCTGAGCCAGTCTCTCGAGCAGAGCTGGGCTCGTCAGTGGACCGGGCCTAAGCTGCGCGGCCCTGCGGCATCCCAGCCGCCGGGTCAGCGCCGGAGGGGCCGGAGCCCGCCCGCCCGCGCACGCCGGGACGCCCGGGGTCGAGCCTCAAAGGCGCAAGGGCAGGGGGGCCGCCATCCAGGTTTCCGCCAGAGAGAAGGTGGCAGCCGCGAAAAGCCCTCGCAGACCCCCGCACGTCCAAGACCACGGGCCGGCCGTCGCTCCCGGGACGATCCCAGGCAGCGGGAGTCCGGCGGGGCGGGGTCGCCTAGCAACCAGGAGCCCAGCGCGCGGACTCCAGGCATTGGCCGGTGTGCGTCACGTGAGAAGGCGCCGCTGCCCACTGGGAGATTCCGCTGCAGGCATGTGACGCGGCGCAGGCGCGTTTCCGCAAAACCCTGGGAGGGCGCTCTGGCGGACGAGGTCGTGGGGATGGCGTCTTGGGGATGAGGGCGCGGGAGCGTTCCCTCGGGTTCCGTGCCGGCCTCGCGCGAAGCGCCTGGTCCTGGCTGGCGAGAGCGAGGAGAGATGAAACGGGCAGTTGAGGCCTTTCCGTGCTGGCTGTAGCGAAGCGATAAGACGGTGCTAAGTTGCGCTCATGTGGCTAGTTTGGTGGTGCAGGAGCATTTCCTGAGAATAAGACTCGTCAGATGCTGAAATCTGCCTCCTGTGGAAACAAAGTTTTGACCAACCGGTTCAACAGCAGCAACTGTTGGGATGGCAGGAAGTTCCGTGACAAATAAGAAGTGAAGATTAGGGATATTAAGGATATTGAGTTAGTATATTCAGCGCTGCCTAGAAGAGAGGTACTGCATCTGGGGCGAGAGGAGGGGTCTTTTGGGGGGAGGTATGGGGACCGTCTTGCTAAAGTAGTTATTGGAGGGGTAGAACTGCCATTGTGGATTTCAAGAGCTAGTTCAGTTTCTCATAAGTAACGAGGCAGTGCCTAGTTAGCCACACGTCAGTTCATGAAATCTAGGTCCCCGTGTGCAGACCAGGATGTATGGGGACCCCGCCACAGTACTGTGATGCCTGGCCAAAAGAAGGTCGAATATGAAAGGGATTTGAGGAGATAATTGGGACGGCCCTGCTCTTTTTAAAAACTGCCAAGGAGGTTGATTGCATGCCGTCCTTTGATTCTAATAAATTTCCTGCCAGCAAGCAGAGAAGTTTCAAATACCATGTCTACTCTGGAACACTGGCACATAGCCTATAGCCATCCTTGATTCCCCTTTCTTTCACAGTCCATATCCAATGCATCAGCAAGTCCTGTTGGCTCTACCTTCAAAATGAATTCAGACCCTGACCGTTTCTCACTACTTCCACAGCTACCACCCTGGTCACAACCCCTAAGATCTCTCACCTGGGTTATTGCAATAGCCTTCTAATTAGTCCACTCTTGCCTTCCTCTACAAGCCAGCCAAAGTGATCTTTTAACACACGTGTCACTTCTCTGCTCAACACCCTCCAGTGGCTTCCTATTTCAGTCAGTAAAAGCTAAAAGCCAAGGTCCTACAAACGCTTACCGCATAACCTGGTCCCATGGGCTCCTATCTGCTCTCCTCCTTATTCGTTGATCTCCAGAAGTGCTATTCTTCATGCTGTTTCATGAACAGGGCAAGTATGCTTTCACATTTAGGTCTTTGCACTTGCTATTACCTGTGCTGAGTGTTCTCCCTGGATGTTCGCATAATTTACTATCACTCCATTCGTCTGCTCAGATGTCACCTTATAAGACAGCCTTTCCTGACCACCTGTGTAAAGCAGCAAGCACTGCGTGCCCCAATTCCACCCCCCTCCCCAAAACTCCTCTCACTCCTCCCTATCTGCTGCTTGCTTTTTTTTTTCTTTATAGCACTTATCACTGCTGGCACATTTTATATGTTCTTTGTCTGTTACCTCTACTAGA